GAGTTACAGGCGAGGACCGGGCCCTGGAGCTGGCGGGTGGATCAGGAACGAGTCTCCTTCTGAGGAAAACGACAACCTGAGCATCATGACATGCCCTCGCATACCAGCTTGCACATCGGTGCACGACAACCTACTGCGTTTACAGCGGAATACGTGCCCCTAAACCTCTAGCAGAAACGGGATCACGATGCTCATGCACCGTCCATCCGGTGGGAAGAGCGTGCATTTTATTTTTTGATAGAGGAGTTTTCTTTTATGTCTGCGGACCAACCTGAAGTCAAAACATCCAGAGGTCAAGGGGGAGTTGGAGTTGCGAGCAGTTCCAATGAAAACTGTGGGGAGCTCTGAGCATCACTCCCCCCCCCCCCCCGAGAGGCGCTGCGTCCCACCGTTGGTGTGCGCCTCCAGGGAGCCCTGCATCCTCTTCTGGGCGATGTTGGGCCGGATGTAGAGGTCCTTGAGCTTCGGGTTGCTGCGGTTGAGGTTGATGACCAGCGAGTCCTGCTTGACGATGCCCTCCTTCTCCTTCTCCTCCGCCTCCCGCGTCTTGTAGCGCTTCTGCACCTCCTTGATGATGCGGAAGGCGTTCTGCAGGTTGGTGGAGGGCACCGACGGGTCGCCGGGGGTCTTGAGGTTGGACGCCCGGTACGTGCTGGGCGGAGACGGAAACGTGATTCACACTTAAAAACGCTCGTCGACAATCGGATCATTCAGAAATCTGGACCTGCCGCCTTCCATCAAACAAGTCATTGACCAAAAGACGGGACGCAGACATTCTTCCATCACTTGGACTCACATTTCTTTGACGAACGTGGCGTCGGGGTTGGGGAAGATGTTGCCCTCCTGCCGCCCCAGAGAGCTGCCCGGCACGTAGAAGTTGATCCTCAGGTAGGTGTAGTCTCCCTCTACAGACATACTGATGTTCTAGAAACAACGGCAGAAGGAACCGATGTGAAAAGGGGACCGGGCGACCGGGTGGGGGGGGCGGGGGGGGGGGAGCAAGCGCCGGCGTTACCTTGATGGTGGCGATGTGGAACGGCGTGGCGATGCCAAACACGGGCATGACGACCGTCTCGTACTTCTTATCGATGAAGATCTTCATTTCTCGGATGTCCTTTTCTCTCGGCATCTGAGACACGTTCTTATAGGACACGTTGGATTTTCTGGCCCTGGAGGCGATGATGATGATGAAACAGACGAATTCAACACAATAAATAAGCTTTATGATTCATACGAGTCCAGAGAGCTCATAAAAACATATCAAGCCAAAAACATCTATACGACTTTAGCTGAAACATCTCAAACACGTTGGGTTCAGGAGCATGCTGGCAGCGTGGGACGTTTGGGTACCAACACTCACACTAATCGGTTGGATACACCTTCATATTTTAGAGGCAACTAATAATATATACATACATGAATTAAAAGGAATTCAAAGCGGGATGAATTCACTCACTTCTGAATCTGCTGCTCTCCTTGCCGCTCCGTCAGCCGGCGCTTGGCCTCTTCGTTCAAATGATTGGCCAACTCCTTCTGGTGGGCCCGCCTCTTCTCCTCCGCCGTCAGCTCGTTCTGAGGTGGAGAACGGACACAAATGAGCCGTCGCGCACAGAAAAAGACTCCAGGATTGACTTATAAATATATATAGAAGAGGATGGAGGGGGAGAAAAACCACACATGCAGAATGCGGACATGTGTTGCACGGCTTTGGATGGTCAGAAAAAAATAAAAATCGCACACAAAAAGAAAAAGGACGATAACTTTCTCCCGATCGGTAAGCGGATTCTTACAACTGAAGCCGATGGGACTTGAGAAGAAGCTTTGAATACTTACCTTCCCGAGTAGCTGGTAGAGCACAAAAACATTCACACTCTTAGTTACCAACACGCTCAAAGTGCCAAATAAACAAAAAGCAAAACGCATATCCAACCTCAGAGGCCCTTAACACTTACTCTGGTTCTGTCTGCGAGCAGCGCGGCGCTGCGAGCGCCCTTCCCCAGCAGCTCCTCCGCGTCGTCCCCGTCCTCCTCCTCGTCGTCCTCGTCGTCGTTCTGAGGAGCGAAGGAGACATTATGAAAAGGGTTACTGAAGGAAACTGAGTGAGCTGCACAGCCGTCACACGATGGGTTTAAAGCAGTGGTTCTCAGCTGGTCCGGCTCCGGGACCCCCCACCACCCCTTAATGACAAGCCGCGACCCAAATCGAGGAACATTCTCAACTTCTCGAATTTATTCAATGAAAATATGGTGCAGTTTGAACCGGAGACAGAATACGTCTGCCAACACAAAAACAAGTTTAATGAAAAAACTAAACAGCCAGCTGGTAGCGATGCTAGAGAGGGAACTATTCTCTTTTACAGTCAATTAGCTAAAAACCCCAAAACGTATCTTAAGGACACGAGGTATTACAACACACATAACAATTAAGAATCTTCAGCCATTTCAAACAAACTCAACAGCTTTCATGCACAAACAAAAAAGTCGAAAAAAGACTCAAATGACCAACTTTAACAGCTTTTGCACAAATTAAAAATAAATTAAATAAACCTGGCACACGCTGCTGAAAACATGGACGGACGAGCCGGCAAATAAAACGACACTCCGCTGCATTAAAAAAGTCCCTTCAAAATAAAAAGGCACAGGATTAATTTTTTTTTTATTAAAATTTTTATTTTCCAGGGCAAAGGCCCGGGTCGCGACCCATTAAAAACGGGTCCACGACCAGTTGAGAATCACTGCTTTAAACTGCTGCCATCTTGTGGCGTTTGTACGCAACAACCAGCTTGAGGAGACACTAACGAATACAACAACGACGCTTTAAATGAGTAACAACTTGTAAATGGAATGTAGATATTGTTGAAATCATGAACCCACAATAACTTTAAAACCGCTTGAAATAAATACATAAACACAACGTGATGCATCGTACACATCAGGCGACGCTCAGCATGAACTTGTTTCTTCGGTTTTCGCTTTGTTTGTGCAAAAGGAAAGCGGAGAATCGTACCTTCAGGAAGATCCCCACGTTTTTGATCTTTTTCTTCACAGGCGTGAGTATCGTAGCAGCCTCTTCCTGCAGCAGAAAACAATCCCTAAATTAAATTTCTGTGACTCGTCGCTGGTAAGGAGGTCCCGCGCGGCGGGGGAAGCCGGTCTCACCTCATTGATCTGTATTGTGTCGCCGATGAACAAGGCGTACTTCTTCTGCTCGTCTTTCTTGGCGTCTTTATTCACGAGGTCGGCGAAACCCAAACTGATACTCAGCACCATGCCTGCAGGAGACACGAGCTGCTAAGCGAGCTGCTGTAGTTGCATTTTATGGTGTTTGTGACACGCTGTCACTCACATCAAAGCGCGTCGGAATGTGCCAAACTCACCTTTTTTAAGTTTGTACTGGTTTTTAACGTTCAACACCAAGGATCCTTCCCTGAACTCAATCCCCATTGCAAAGCTGCACGGAATAAGAAAAGAAACACAAAAAGATGAGACGGGTGCATAAACGTGCGTGAGGAGATGAAGAAGAAGAAAAAGCAAATGTGTGCATCTACCCGAGGTTTTTGGTCAGCTTTGAAACGAGGTCCGACTTCTCCTTCTTCACGTAATCCTGAACGGCGTTGTAGGCGTCGCTGATTTTCACACCTGCAAACAAGAAAATTTCATGAAACATCAAAAAACACACATATATATTTAGTTTAGTAGTATTAAGTTATATCCAACCGATAAGTGTTGGTGCCCAAACGTCCCACACTCCCAGCACGCTCCTGAACCCACCGTGTTTGAGATGTTTCAGCAGCTCCTCTTCCACCTGCAGCAGGAAGTTGTAGTTGTCCTGCATCTCCTGGGGGGGGTCCACCATGAGGGTGCGCACCAGGTTGGAGCAGTACGACTTGTAGCGGATCCCCATAGCGCACGTGATGGCACCGAAGTGCATGTGGTTCTTGTCGCTGGAGGAGAAAAGGAGGGTTTCTCTTTTTCTAAATTTGACTACACGCTGAATATTTTTCTCCACTTTTCCACCATTATCTGATATCTAAAATCCGAAGAATAACTTAAGATAATCAGCAGATTAACAGATAGTGAAAAGAATGATTGGCTGCATATTTATGAACCTACATATTAGAAAGTGATTTAACCACAGACAGCTTTTAAGAACATGGTGAGCTCCGGTGAAGCGACCTACCTGACTACGCTGAACTTGAGGCTGTAGTTCCCGCCGCTCTGGATGATGGGGGGGTAACACATCTCCACCGTGGAAGGATCTGCACCCCCCAGGTACTTCTTCTCCTCGATGGCCTTCTCCACCGACTCGGCCAGTTTACTGTGGCGCACTTTCTGTTTTAGGGTTGGGGGGGGGGGGGGGGGGGGGTCCCAGACGGGAGTTATGCTTTTATCTTTACTGAACATCAAACACATCTTTTTTTTTTTTAATAAACACAGCTGGAACTACGGGTCCCTCCTGAAATTAGTCCAGTGAAACTTGACCCCCGCCCCAAAAATAATAAATACATCAGTCCAACAGAGACCCTCGTTCCTCCTCCTCTTCCTCCTCCTCCTCACCTCATCTGCATCCACTATCTCCATGACGCGCTCCTTGAAGAACTTGGAGTAAACCTCGCTGGTGATGGCCGCGGCCTTCTTCATCAGCGCCAGCTCGCCGTCTTCCTTCACCGCCATCGTGTAGGCGACCACAGCGCTGATGTCCACCTGCACGTCGGGGGGAGGAGGGTCAACAAGCAAGCTCAAGAAACAAGACGCAAAACCGCAACTCCCAGGGGCGATTTGGACGGCGTCGTACCTTCTCCAGCCCCTCGGCGGTGATGGTGTCGTTCCAGCTCTTCATGTAGTCTCCGGGGAACTTGTCTTTGCTGAAGAACCCCACAGTCTTGCCCTGCTTGCTGCCTCTGATCGCCTCGATCATCTTGTCGAAGTTGGCCTTGTTGCTTTCATTCTGAGAGACCCAAATGGCAAAGTAAGAATCTCAAAACCACAGTTCCGCAAATCACAGCCTCGTGTCTTTAAAAGCAACGTGCAGATGTTGTACGAAGGAGAGCGAGTGCGTATTCGGCCATTACCTCCGAGTCTTTACACGGGTTACCTTTTCTCTGGTGAGCAGAGTGATGGGCGGCACACCGTTGGCGTTCTCGTTGCCTTTAGTTATAGCAACCTGTTTGAGGAAATCCACCTTCTTCTTGCTGGCGAGGAAAATGATTTTGGTGTCGCAAAAGACCATGATGGTGTCCGTCAACTCGTAGCCAAACAGCCACGTCTGAGGGGGGAGACGGAGGAAACCAGCCAGTCACTGTGCAGCTTCCACAAGATAATGTCAGCATAATGTGATCTCATCATAAGAGCATCGATAAACCGATACGCAGCATTGGTAACATTGCCGCCATTGACAGCGATCGCTATCGAGCCCTGCAAACGCATCAGCATCTTTCCAGGACCCCTCCAGTGTGATCTTACCTGTATGGCCGTGGATTTGGCGTACACGATTTCCTCGTCCACTCCCACAGACACCACGATGGCGTCAACTTTGCCAAACTCATCGTCTCCTTTCTGGAGAAAAAAAAAAGAAAAAAGGAATACAAGCATATATTATTTAATGTTATGCATGAGGAGGAGCAAATGTATATTAAAAAGGATACCGGCGGGGTTCCTATTTCCACCCGGGGATTTATCTCTGGTAGACAAAGAGTGCCGGTTTCAGTTGTTACATGGGTCTCCCTGCAGAGTGCAGCCAGGTGGCTAGCTATGTTAGCATCACTGGAAAGTAGATTTCTTACAGACGGGACTCGATCAGCAACCTCAGCACCTGACGATACGTCGCTGTGTGTGTGGCAGCACACCGGGGTGGGACTTACAGCCCCAGGAAGCTGCTGTTAAATGTTTAAATAACTTACAATGCAAACAAAGCGTCCCTTAATGGAGCTATTTGCATAATTGGGCTGCAATAACCGAGTGGAAGCTGAACCAAAATACGTTACATTGAGTCCAGTACGTTGAGAACAACCCGCAATGTTCCGTTACACAGTTATAAGCATGTAGGAATTGAAAGAAAGTCCTTTCCAGAGGCTGCAGGCATCCTGCACATGTCACCGAGACGATGGCGTTTACTCGCGCTAACTAGCCAGCTAACGTTAGCATGTGGCTAACGTCAGGAAGGCAAAACCGACATGCAACACAAGGTCCAGGCGCCCGGCGGACGAGCGTCACGCGCGGCTGCGAGGCGCGCGTCGCCCCCCCGCGACGCGCCGGTGCGCACAGCGCATTTATTTAGGCTGCTCGGCCGGTAAGTTAGCTCGGTGGCCAACTTACTAGCTAGCTAGCTAGCTAGCACGCCAGCTAACGTGGTGGGAAGGAGGGTGTGCTAACGTGAGTTAGCTCGCGCGTCGTGGTGGGACACCGGCGAGGGGACCGCTGGCAGGCGCAGGCAAAGCGGGTACAACCGTGCTAACTGACGCCCTGGCTGCCGGGGAGGCCGGCAGGGAAACGTTAAAAGCCGCAACAGACAACGGGTCAACTCGCTCCCCCCCCCTCCCCCCTAAATAAAACGCGGCTAACTTAGCCGTCGGTAACGTTGTGTTCCGCCGGACCACTTTCCCCGCGTTACGGTCAACCGCAGCGGACGAATAGCCGCGTGTCGAGCTTCGACCGGCCCGTTTCTTACCTTCCAGTTGCCGTAAAATCTCTTGATCCGTCGGTAGTAGGCTTCCTTATCCAGGTTTACCGCCATGGTGAGTCCTCCGTGGCAAACTCCAGCTCCCGGCTTCGCTTCTCAGCAGGCCGGAAGAGGATGAGGAGGAGGAGGAGGAGGGTGGTGATGATGATGATGAGCGTCAACTAACAATAACGCACTTTCCTTCCACGCCTGGCGAGGTCCACACACCGCCGGCAGCCCGCCTCAGATATCACCACGGAGGCCTTGAGTAACGATGCAGGGAGTCACGGAGGAAAAGAGGAGCTGAACTTAAGCAGGCCTCTCGGTTAAAAATAAGATCAATAATTCAAATGTAATGTAATTTTGGCTTTGAGCCACGCTCGCACGCACACGCCAATCGGTTATAATTAAGTCCTCGGTCCCTCCTCCTTTCCTTTCTCCGGTGCTTCCTTTGCCTCTCCCTCCCCCCCTCCGAGTGTCCACATAGCAGCTTTTGCAATTAACCAGGGGCATGTAAAACAATGGCGCCTAGCTCAAGCTCCTGGTGCGATTCAAAGGAAACAACATGGAGGAAAAGCGAGATACACAAAGACTTTAGACTTTCAGTCAGTTGTCGTTTTGCTGTTTTTGCTACTTTGTTGATCCAATTTGATGGTTTGGTGAAGCAGTTGGACGTTGTGTGCAGCAGCAGCAGCGCCCCCTACCTTGTGTTGACCACGCTGCTTTTTCCCGCCATGATGGGTTTTTTCCCGCCATCGTCATCAAACTCTTCTGTTGACGTTAATCTCGCGATAGAAATCGCAGCGTTTAGGTCCCACGCGTGCAACAACTATTTTCTGTTTTTTTGGGAAAACACTTTCCACTAAACGTTTTATTTTATTAATATTTTACTCTGATCATATCCTCAACTGCATATTTCTAATCTTAACAAATTCCACATTAATTACAGAAAAAAGGTTTCAATTGAAAAGTAAATAGTATACTTTTTTTTGCATTCAGTTTAGATGAAATTAAAAGACGTGTCTATTTTATATCCATTTCTACTCCTTAATATCCCCCAATTAAAAAAATCAAATAAACCACTCCAGCTAGAATCCAAATGTGCATCTCCAATGTATTATTATGCATCTATACATTGTATTTCACTATTAAACATTTCCAGGATATCTTTAAAACCAGACCAGTTCCCTGTAATATTTCAACTGACTGAGATCTTGTTTTATTATTGGAAGCAGCCATTCATTCTTTCTTTATTTTGCAACAGACCTTAAATAAAACATAATTTAAACAGCTGTGATAAAAAGTAAAGCTTTTCGTATATTAATCTTTTCCCCGCTAAGAGTAGTGTCGTCAAAGCTGGTGTGTTTATTTCATTCCAATACTTTCACAATGTTTAACCACCAGTAATCCTCGTGAGAGAAAATATGCACCACATATTTAAAAAGCTCTTATTCACCTGAACCGTAGCACCTGTTTACAAGGTACATTTCACCTCTTAGTTTGACTCTCCGGAGCAGCTTTGCGATGGTTTGTGCTTTTCCCAGAAGTCGCTCATTTGTTCGTTAAATCTTCAGAGTAGCCACGGACACCCTTTCCGATCCACGTTAAGGAAGAACATTTAAGGTTCACAGATCTCCTCATGATGGACCGATCCTCCATGTGACGGTAAAGGGAAGAGCGAACACATAAGTGGAATTATTTTGAAATTAATGATAAAAAAAAACAAAAAAACAACAACATGGATGATTCCCCCGCCTGCACAAAACAATCAAAAACACCAGAAGTCCGTATAAAATGTTCTTTTTGATCAAGCCCATATTTCAGATTCACAACAGAAGGCCGATTGGAAGTTTCTTCTGGCTCCTTTTTTCTCAGTTATTATTCATCCGTCTTTCCTCTGTGTGAGCCGTCTCCCCGCCGCCGCAGCACAACCGGGTAATTCAGAAGTTGGCGTTATTTTCTTTCCTGCCGGAGAGTCGTTTGTGTCTCGATCAGAGGAAAAACCTCCTTGAGTGATTTTCAAGTACTTTGCTGCGACCTTCCTGGAAACAGGCCGCCGCGTGCCGCTCACTCCTCCGCCCTTATGTGACGGTGGTGGAGTTCTGCCCTCGGATGGCGCACCACGCCATGAACACGTCTCTGTGGAGGAGACGGCGTAAAAAGATGATTATTTTTTTAACCGTACTAAAGTAAAATGCCTGGATGTACTTGTGATGATTGAGAGAACATTTACAGGCGCCTCAGTGTTCACGTTGATTCTTATTCTTGTTTTGATCAGGATACAATGTCTTCACTCAACATCGGGAATAGTGTTCCAGCTGATTCTAACTGTATCCACGGGTCTAAATGTCTGTATACAGGTTATTCCACTTCAATGTCACTGTGTCAGTCATTCAGTTGTTTAGACCCTATGACCTTTTTCATTTTACTGAATAACTACGAGTGTTTTCCTGCTTTAAATGATATTTTCTTAAGATTAGATCATTTAATTTGAGATAATTTGAAGATAAGAAAGTGTAAAAAAAAAAGTAAAATAATTTAATTTAGGCAATTTAAGGATCTAAAATGATTAATCTATAAAATAATTAGCCAAAAGACTGATAAGTATTAAATCTCAACTGAGAAAAGCCCCCCCCGCTGTGACGCGCACACACCTGCAGTGTGTGGCGACACACTCGTTGCTGCAGTACTCCATGTCCCAGTCCTGGCTCTCCACCGCCGGCCTCGTGCAGCCGGCGCGCACGCAGATGTTGCGGCTGGCGGCGGCGACGGGAGTCGCACTCGGGACGGCGGCGACGTTCACCTCAACCTCCATCTGGGAGACAAGACGTGGATTTAAATGTTGCCGTTCGAAACCGCCCTCTGCAGGAGGCACGCATTCGCCTCCACGGCCGGGTGAGTTCATGCCTGAGCTTACCCCTTCCTCGGCCACCTCCTCCACGCCGGTCTCCACCTCACCCGCCTGCCCCACCTCCACGGCGGACGACGCGGCGGGCGCTTCGGCGGACGACGTCACGATGATCGCCGCTCTTGGATCCTTCTGCCGCGACGCCGCGACGACCTTGATCTGCAGCGGCGGCGGAGCCGCGACCGCGCCGCCGCCTCCTCCTCCGCCCCGCGGTTTGGCCTGGAGAGGGGGCGGGGCCTGGGCGTGCACCATCTGCTGCAGCCGCGGCGGGAGGGAGGTGCCCTGCATCTGCTGCAGCGGCGGCGGTTGGCGCGGCGAGGTGGCGGCGTTAATCGCCGTGACCGTCACGGCGCCGGAGGGCAGCTGCGTCTGCTTGATGATGATCTTGGCGACGGTGGGCGGGTTGGGCGGGGCGGGGGCCGGAGGTTGGGGGTTTGGTGGCGCCGGTGCGCGAGCGCGTGGTGACCTGCGGCAGGTCCAGGATGATGTTGGAGGTGCAGATGTTGGTGATGGTGTTCTCCTCCGGGTTGTATTGCTGCGACCTGGTGGAGCGAGCGGCGAAGGCGGAGGCCATGGCGGCGGCGGCCGCCGCCGAAGGTGGGGGCGACGGAGGCGAAGGGGAGGTGTCCATGACCTCGATGGGCACCTAAAACGAGGACAGTTGGACACATAAAGATGTTTATTAAAGAGATGTAGATTTTGTTTAGAGAGACTTTAATTTGTTTTACTTCATCTTTACTTCATCCGCCAAAATTACTAATCTTTTTCCAACCAATCACAAACCTTCCCTCGAAAACGGCCACATCGGAGGTCAAGACCCGCCTACACGCCGCTCACCTGAGAACTGTGTCCGGCTCTGTACTCGGTCAGCGCCTTCACGTACTCCTTCTTAGCCGCTTCGTTTTTCCTCTTGTAAACCTGAAGACAAACACGAGGATTTGCGGCTCGGACGCTTTGAAGCTCGGCAGGCGACCACTGTTGTTTCAAAGCGGCTGGTTTCCTCTCACCTGTTTCTGCTCCTCCCCCAGGCTGTCCCACATGGACGCCACTATCTTCGACACTTCTCCGAACATGGCGTTGGGGTTCTGTCCCTTAATGGCCGCCTGCGTGTCCCTGAAGAACAGCGCGTAGGCCGACACGGGCTTCTGGGGCTCGTTGGGGTCTTTCGCCTTCTTCCCCTTCTTCGGTCCGCCGCCGCCGCCTCTCCGCCGCGCGGCCGGAGAGGCGGCGGCGGGGGCGAGACGGGATTCTGGGAGCGAGGGGTCGAGGGAGATGACGCTGGGGGAGACGGCGAGGGACACCGGAGACTCCACCAGGACGCTCTGATCGGAGGGGACGGCACGAGTGAACAAACACTAGATTTCATTTGACACAAAAACACTGCGAGCAGGAAGAAAGATGTGAATGGACGAGGAGTTTTCTTTTCATGTCATTACTGTGTTTCAGATGTTTCTGTACCACATCAAATATTTGAGCATTAACCAAAATATAAAGTTCCTCTGCACGACGTGTGGCACATTTTAAAGACTCACCCTTCTGAAGTCGTCCATGTCGTCGTCCTGCAGCGAGCTGGTGGGCGACGCCGTGGCCGACAGCGGGTTGTCGGGCGACTCCGGCCGCTGCAGCATGCCTCCGCCCCCCAGGCCCAGGCCCAGCTGGGCGCTGAGCTCCGACTGGTCGATGGTGGTCAGCTGGCTGGAGCCCAGCAGGCCTTGGCTCATGTCCCCCAGCGGGACGTCGATGGTCACCGGGGACGAGCTGCTGAACTGGGAGCCGATCGGGTGGCCGAGATCCTGCAGAGGAGGGGGGGGGAGGGAGGGAGGAGGGAGCGCACGACAGAGTGAGCGGGTTCAACCGGCGCTCCGCGGCAGAGACGCGCGGGCAGGCGGACTCGCTCCTCACCATTCCCAGCGACGAGCCCAGCAGGGCGCCACCCCCCGACTGGGCGATGGCGCCCAGGCTCAGGTGCTCCAGCCCCTGCGAGGGCGCGTTGACGAAGGTGGAGGCGAAGGACGGGTCGTCCCCTTCCACCACGCCGTTGCCGGGCACCACCACGCTGTTGGAGGGGCCCGCCTCCGACAGCTCGCCGAAGTGGGACACCACGTCCGACGCGGTGAGGGCCGAGTCGGGATCCAACGAGATGGGAGGTATCTCGAACTCCTCATCGCCGAGGCTGGGGGTGTGGAAGGTCTGAGGGACACACACACACACACACACACACGTGTCACCTGTGTTTTGGTGTTCAGAGACTCGGAAAAAAAGGGCAGCGGCGTCGCTGAGTAACACCTTCAGCACCTCAGCGAACACCTCAGCGTTTGTGTGAGAATAAGCAATACTATTGCAAAGCTACACATGTTTAATATGGGATTCCTGAATGATGGACTTTGACGTGAGGGATCCACGTTTAGTGACATTTCAAGGGCGATGACGGACATGATGGAGCGCGACACGCAGGTCTGAAACTGGCACGTGTCATTTGTCCTTTGGCTCTGTGACTCTTACGCATCACAGCGATAAATTTAATTAAAAAAATTTTTTTTTTTAATTATCAAGAGAAGGATGCTGGACCGGCTGTGCGAGTCCAGATGTGGAGGCCTACCTCTGAAGAGGAGAGGAAGGGGTGGCCGGACCCAGAGATGGTCAGGTAGTTGTCGCTGCCTCCGGGGAACTGAAACGCAAGATGGAACAAGAGATTATTGACATGCAGTCAGAAGCAACAATACGCATACACGAGAGCACGCGGAGGTGCGTTCAGGGCACACATTAGTCCGTCGGAATAAGCGCGCACTGTGTCCGTTCGTGTGTGATGATGACGTGCGGCCCATTCACAAGACGGAGTCACCTTGCTGTCAGTGTCAAATCCGTTGAACGACTGCGGATCCAGGAACTGCGGGTCCCCGTCGTGCGGCCCGGTTCCGTCCGTTAGGTCCGAATAAAAATTCAGGTCCATCTTTTCAGCCGGGCCTCATTAGTTAACTATGAGCACCCCCCCACACTGGATTCAACGAGATGTTGCGCAATCAAACGATCTCGTTTCCCCCTCCCGATCTTTATTTGAAAACACGTGGGTTAAAAAGGCGAATGGCAACAAAACCGGTTGACAGCTTTCGCCCAGATGTCGGGTTAACGCGCTCGACTCACTACGGGAGCATGTGTGCGCGAGCGACGGGGGCCAAAAATAGCCCCCGTCTGCCGGCCGGCCGCTTAGCCGAGGAGGGAGGCGGGGGAGGGGACGTGGCTGTCGGCCGGCTGTTCTTGCTCTGCCCGTGCTAACGCGGTTTAGCTTTAGCTAGCTTGGACGCAAAGCTGTCCCTCCCTCTCCGTCCTCCCCCGGTTTGTCCGTCGGTTCCCCTCAAACGTCGGAAATTCAATAGTAGCGGGCGCGGCTGACGCAGCCCGCGTTTAACTCGCGAACGTTGTCCTTAAGCTGCTCGTGGGGGGGACAAAAGACACGCGAGTGTCGCGGTTCCAGGGTTTTCTGACAGCGGAGGAACGCAGAGCGGACTCGGCGTCGCTCGGTGGCGGCTCGGGCCAGGCCGCTCAATCGATCCAGAACCACGGATCGTGGACAGAACGAGGGGAAGAAGGGGTCGGCGCCGGATGTTGAGTGATGGGAGTTACAAAATAAACAGTACAATTTCATGTCTTTGTTTTAATCGAAACCATTGTACTATTTATTTAATAGGGGGCAAACTTTTTTTAAATACCCTATAACACTAGCCACAAGACAAATGTGGGGCAGTATAAACATTTTTGTGAGCTAAAATTATTTCTCCAATAAAGTGCAATTCAATTCATTCAATACTGAAGATTCAATATTTGGTTACAATGCTGAGCTACTTTTAGTCTCACCATAATCTTGTGTAATGTACAGTATCTGTTTTTCATTTCCACAACAGTGGCCTCTAACTCCCATGTACCTTGGAAGTATCACTATTTGCCCAAAAACCCAGATCTTCTATGATGGGATTAAACTAATATATAGAAACAATTGCACCATATATAGATGTTGATATTGGGCCGTATTATGTGTAGTTGTTACCCTGGTAACCCTGCTAAAGGGAAATGCAAAAAACACACCACGGATGTCTCAAATATGTGTTGGTCACTGCATGACCACCCATTGATGATTCCTCACTTTATTTTGACAGCGCCAACAGGAAGCCGCCTGTTATTCTGTTTACCGATTTTTATCAATCGACAAATGAGTTAATTTCGCTTCAATAGATTATTGTAGTTTTAACAACCATCTGACATGGCGTCTAAACGCACTTTTATTTCCCGCAACAAACTATTTTTGTAGAGTTTTAATCAATGTATTGACATGTATGCTACCTTTTAACGTCTTACTTTACCTTCTTCTATTTGATGGTTAGTGAAACGGAAGACCATGATTTTAGATTAAAGTGACCGTTGCGACTTGACTCGACTCGATCTTTAAAGAGCCAAATAGAGGATATTGAATTAGCTGATTAAAGTAAAGCTAAAGTGACGCAAATGAAACATGTTGCCTCGCAAATCAAACATGTTCTCCCAGCCTCAAAATCGTGTGTTAGAATTGATCATCACGTATGAAGACGAAGCTGATTTTATTTAAGTCAGAACTAGTACCGACTACTCTTACCTCCATTCTTACCCCCGAAATCTGAAATATGTTTTGTTTTTATCCCACTTTTGCAAGTGAACTTCGCCCGGAATTGATTTCCTCAAATATCACAACGGGACACAGACTTCCTGATTGTACGTACAAGTGAAAGTGACGTCATTACGCAAAAACAAAGTGACGTTGGTGTTCCAGAATAAAAGGCAGGTGCTACGATTTAATTTATTATGAATATAAAGTTCAACACTCCAGATGAGGCATTAGATAAAAAAAGGTTTGTGTTTTTTTGTTTGAGACATTATGATAAATACATTTCTTAAATTAATCATTAATCAGGAACATTAATCATGGATCATCTTGATAAGCATCTGCCTAGAATACCGACATCTGCCAACAAACATACACCTTGTTATTCTAGTTATTAGAAATAAAAGTAATAAAACAAAGTCACTTTTTTCTCAAAATTGCTTTATTTCTCCCCACATTTCTTTCAAGCAAAGTTTTTTATGATTCCTTTTTTATATTAATGTAATTAAAAAAAGATAAAACGTGGGACTTTTGTGTTTTTATGTACAAGCAAAAAAAAAGAAAGTTAGGAAAAACTATAAACATAAAATAATCCCTGCACAATAACACTGTAAAAAATAAAAAAGAACAAAAGCAACACCTCTAGTTTGCAGCTCCTTACTGTTGTAACAAGCTCACATGCGCACACATACACTTTCAGACACACACAGCGCGTCAGCGGGTTTCGTTTAGGTGAATGGTGAGATTTAGAGTTCCAGGGCACACAAAGCAGCCCACATTCTCCTCAGAGGGAATGGGAAATACCACAATGTGCCAAATGAACACACAGTGTCCTCCCCAAGGGACAGGGACATCTTTGACAGCATGCAGAGCCGCGTTCGTCTCCACGATGGTCCAGTGTGTCGACAGGGCCGCTTCACTCCTTTCTTCGCCTCACGCGACGACGCGAAGGCAGTCCAACGCGGGGAGAGTTTACTCATCACTCGCCTATGTTCTTAGTTGTCCAGGGAGCTTTTGACATCACTAGTGTGGAGCTGAAGAGAACAGCCGACCTCATGGCTGATCACACTGCTGGTGTTTGACTGAAGGTATTTGCTTTCATAAGCTTACGCAGTAGCAGATGTGCAGAGGACCATTTAAAATCAAGAAAGATGGGAACAAAATATACTTTAAAAATTAAAATTTTTTGGATTCAAGTATTTACCGTTTTTTGTTTTCTATTATAAAAAACAAAATGATTGTTATCTTATAACCGTCGTTATTAACTCAAGTCTAAAATGTCAGACATTGAAACGATTTGCAAGTTAAAAACATGCATTTCTTTGTTAATAGATTAATCATTTTTCCTCTAATCAAAATTTTCACCCTTCATTTTGCTAAATTTTGAATTCAATTAAAAAATATATATATTTGATTCTAGCCAAATTTAAGATAAAAATAATATTTTTCTTTCTTCAAAAAAGCATTTGTTTTAGTACAATATCAGATTCTGATAGAAAGCAGCAAGTTTCGACCAAAAGGAACATTTGAACACTAGTTGGGTCGCAACTTAAACAAATTTGAACAAAAAAAGTCAAAATGTTTGATGTAATTAAATACATAACAGGTACAGAAACTAACCGATTTTCTTTAAATGAGCCAGAAAGCAGTTTTAAAACTAAAGGCTGCTCGCTTGCTTTGATGCGGTCTTACTTCCGCATTACTTTAGAAGTAATATTGCAATAACTTTCAAGGTGTCTTCAAGGAGGAACAAACATAAAACAAAAACTACCACGACACACACACACACACACACACACACGATCCAGGCGTTCAGCCAACTCTCGAGTGCACTTAACGTCCTTTTCCAAAATACTTTCCGTACAAAAAGCAGTCCTGAGTCTCGTCAGTGGAATGAGCGCTCCGTGTGGGACGCTCGCCATTTAACACACCATCGCCTCCACCAACACAAGCACTGGTCCTTCTCCAACCAACCACACCGCCTTTCACACACACACACACACACACACACACACACACACACACACACACACACACACACACACACACACACACACACACACACACACACACACACACACACACACACACACACACGCGCGCGCTCAAATGTTTTTCTCCCGTTCGTGGAAATTGTTGTCGGCATTTCCTGTAGCTGGGCGCAGGTGGAACGGAAACCCTTGTCATGACAGAAAGGTGTGAAGGTGAAGAAAGAAAAGGAGGAGGTGTCGGGCTATGAACCCTCTGCCCCGCCCCGCCGCCGTCGACGTCCTCTGCTTTGTCCAATCAGGAGTAGATTGTGATGACTTCGCTGCCTCCGCCCCTCACCAGCAGGACGCGCTCCAACCCCTCGGTCAGGACCTCCAGGAACTCCATGTCTGGTCGCAGAGTTAAGGAGCGTTTGAGCCGAGTGTCCGCCGGGTGGATGAGGGACAGACGGGCGGGAGTTTGTTCGTGACGAGTCGGTATACAAAGAACCTGTTGTGATGCAACGAGAAAGTTCTAGCGGTTTTCTTCTTTTGAGTGTTAATAACAAGAAAGACACACTGGCTCTTTATCCCGCAGCACCTATCGCCGGCTTCACTAACAAACCCCCCCCCTCCACCCCCCCGATTACGTGACTTCCACGGGGTTGGAGGATACAGTTCTCATCGCCCTCCGTGTTGCGCGGCGGTCCGGGCAATGTTGAGCAAGACGAAGCCGAAGCGTCGTGAGACTTACTGACGATTGACCTTCGTTGAAGCTGACGGCCGGTGATCATTCCGCCCTGACGTTGGAGTGGTCCCTGCGGTGAGGAGACGTGAACCAGATTACCGACGACTTCTTAGAATGAACAACAGAGACGGAGACACAGGGACCAGCAGAGACTCACGGCCGCATGCTGAGCATGTCCCTGAAGCCCTCCGGCGTGGAGCAGCCAGAGTGCATGGCTCTGTGCTGCGACGACTTCTCTTTGGTCCAGGTCATCTGAACGCGCCGGTGGTGCTCGGCGCTGCCGCCGCCGCCGCCGGCCGCGCTGGTCGGCCGGTCTCGCTCGGCGCCGTCGGTGTCGTCGTCGTCGTCCGAGCCGATGCTCGTCAGCCGCAGCATGGAGTTGCGGTCCTTCACCAGCTGGGCCTGGTTACGCGCGCGGAGACACAAGAAAAAAAAGGTTCGGTCTCACCGCGTCCCCGCTGCGTGCGTCAGAGCCGGACACTATTTCCGGGTCCTTAAGGATGCCCGCTGAGCCGGTTGTGTGATGTCATCAATTAAAATCACACCACACAACAGACCTGAAGGAGATCTGCACATTTACAGTTCTACCTGCGTGCGTCTTCTACACCTCTGCTCTCCCTCATAAAACACAACACTCACCCGACATGCAACACAAACCACGGGCTACATGATCTCAGCTATCCGAAATCCACAGGGACGGACGTGAGACGAGACAAATAGTAACGAGAATTAGAGGATGTTTCTGTTACTGCAGGTTAGAAGTACATTTATTAACTCAATGTACGCTAGATTGAATCCTTCGGACAAAGAGCCTTAAGAACTGCAAATGTCGTACAAGCGCGGACTGAGCAGCCGGAGCGCTCAGTCGTTCATTTTGTTTGTATTCTTTAACGAGGTCAAAGGCTGGAGGACACCAGAGGACGGCGTTTGTGCAGTGAGGACTCACGCGTTCTCCCCCAATTGTTTCTGGTGCCTGCATCGGCCAGAGACATTCAAGCTTTTATTGTCTTGATCTGAAAGATTCACTGATCTTTAAGCACTGCTGCTACTCTGCTACCAGAAAACTTACATCGTCTAAACTCCAGCGTGGCCGCTGAGGAGAAAGACACCGACGTGAGCTTTGATATTAACGCTGAGTGGGAGATGCTGTTATTTATGAAAAGTGAATGCATTCGTTTGTGAGCTTTGTTTAAATCATTACATCTGGTGAAGATTACCGACGTGTCCTGGTCTCAGACGGGCGCATAGATAATATTTTATCAGGTCCTTTCTTTCTTTTAAGTCTCTCTAACGTTTGGTTTCAGGCTGAAATCAATGAAGAATATCACAAGTCTCTTATTTACTTCCTCATTAGAGGACTTTTCTTGGATGTTAGATCACATGTATCAGACGGTTTCTGTGATATTTGGAGTCCCTGGAGCTTTGGTTCTAACCAACAAAAGGACTTAAAAACGGTCTCAGGACCATCGTCTACCTTCTGGATCCATTACCACTGACCTCACCTGAGACCTTGTAGCTCCACCTGCCTCTGTCCTACTGCTGCTGCTACCACGGTTTTCCTGATAAAATGATGCACGACAATGACAAACAGATCAGACGCGTTTGCCATTGCTGATCCGTGTATTACGACCTGAGTGAACGGAGGACGCGACGAGCGCTCGACTCCAGTTTACCTCTTTCTCCCGGTCCGACTTAGACAGTCGCATCTGTCGCAGCATCTGCGACCTCTGCTCCATCATCAGGGTCCTTTCGTAGGTGTACGCGCTGATGTCACTGTCGTGCTGAGGGGAGAGGAAGCAATGACATTGATGAGCATTCTCACACTGTTAAGATTATTCATTTTACAGTGTGGAGAAAAGCTTTAGGTTCGCACAATTGGAATTAAATTCCAACGCTCTGGCTATTTAATGAAGAATCCCAAACCAAGAATGGTCTGAAAATAAAAGACGGCACGTCGATCAGCGATTAGGCAATTTGCACAAAAGGAACAAGGGTGCAGATTCTGCTCCTGGTTCTGTTGTTCCTCTATTAATCCTGTTCTGCATGTTCGGCAATAAACACGATTCAATTACGTTCGTCTTCTTGCATGTGGCAGAAAATAACTGAAAAAAAGATGCAGAGACGGTTTCCTTAACAATTCAAATGAGTGAGAATGTCCCAGTTAACCCCGTCCCCCCCTCCTGCCCCATTGTCGCCAGAAGCCTACCATCTCAACCACTTCCACCTCGGCTTCAATGCGTAGGTGGTAGAGGAAGGTTGCCAGGTCCTTCTTCATCTGGATGGAGTTGTCCTCCATCTGGGCCACTGTGAAGATTCGCATCCCACACTTCCGCCACACCTGAGACGCAGGGAGGACTTTCAGACTAGAGGCCCTCTCCATGCTGGCGAATCATTTTAAAATGTCTTCAAACCACCACCTTGTGCTGGCGCAGCAGGAAGGGCAGCAGCATGAGCATCCCCCCGTCGTGCACGATCCACCAGACGTCGATGTAGCCCTCTGCGCAGGGCTCACTGTTGCTGGGGAACAGCGAGATGTTTTTGGGCACCAGCAGGGCCAGGTGGGCAGCCGTCGTCACGCGCACCGTGTCTGAACGGAAGAGAGGGGGCGCCGTCAGCCGGCTGGATGAAAACACCAACGGGACGAAAATAGGATGGCGTCCCCCTTCCACTCACTGATGAAGGTCTTCCAGGCCTGCGGGTCCTCGCTTTGCCTCCAGGCGTGAGGCCAGCCCATCACCACCGTGTTGGGCTTCATCCCCCCCAGGCCGCTGGACTGGATCATGTGGCTGATGCCCTCCCGCGGCTTCTGGGCCACGATGCACTGGCAGAAGCCCTTCACGCGCTCCTTGTCCATCAGGTGCTTCAGGGTCTGAAAGAGGAGACGGTGACTACATCTACGGACCGACAACTCCCCCACCCACCCAGAGTGGAACGCCCCACCCTGAAGAGATGCAGAAACCGCCCCCAACCTGCTCGGCCGCGAGGGCCTCCCCGTAGCTCTGCAGGAAGTTGCCGGAGACGACCGTGCCGACGATGGTGAGGCCTTTTCCCGCCTTCAGCTGGCTGGCGAAGGTCAGCAGGCGAGGAGACTTGACGTGGGCGTCCTCGTCCAGTTTTAGCAGGACCAACACCTGGGGTCTGCGGGTGGGAAGGGCAACGTGTGTTAAAAGCAATAAAGAATCAATGAGAAGCTCCCTTCTGAAAGTCTATGGAGTAAATAAAGTACACATTGAATTGAGTGGAATCCGAATAACAATGTTTCACTATCCTCCGTTTGCTCGTCAACCCTTTTAAAGCTTCTCTCTGCTATGCAGGCTTGTGTCGGCGTGAGCTCCGCGACACCATCAACCCATTTATAAAAAGAGCATATGTCAAAAACTAGGAAAATGTATCTGACCCAATTTAAATATTCCACATTCATGAAGGTTTCGTGTAACGGTTTGTGATTCCTAAATTTGTGCAAATTTGAGGAATAAGGCAGAGCCCAAACGTGACCACAGATGGACCACTTCCATTGCACAGGTACCAGGTGATGGATGCCGTGTCTGAGGGACGGGGTGACCGGTTGTGAGAACGAGCGCCGGTGCCGTACCTCCAGTTCTTGGTGTGCGGCGGTCCCTCCTCCAACCTCAGGAGAGCATAGCGGGCGGCACTGAGCGAGAGACCGCGGATCCCATCGCCCCACTCTTTCTCCGCTCTGATACACACACACAACCGTTGACCATGCTGTACATGTACCATCATGTGAGGGGGCAGGGATACATCTCCATAGCAACGTACCCGTGGTACTCAATGTACTTGTAGATCATGCCGGCAATCACCATGGCAGCGATTGCGTAGTACCAGGAGGATATGAACATGAGCGCCAGGCAGATAGTCATTCCCAAAAATGACAAGGTCCTGGACACAACAGGGGGACAGGTCAGTGTGTGTTTTTGTATCAGTGTGCGGGTCTGTGTGTGTGTGTGTGTGCGCGTACCAGTGGTAATAGGAAAAGCGCGGCCTCCAGTTGGGAGACCTCAGGAGAGTCTGCAGGCCGCAGGCCAGGTTCACAAACAGGTAACACATCAGGAAGAACCTTAAAGAAAAATAAATAAAATTAGCTGGAGCACCTGAATGAGAAAGATCCAATAACTGCACACACACACACACACACACACACACACACACACACAAACAAACAAACAAGCACTCAGCCGTGTCTCACATTGTGAGGATGGGAGCCACTAGGTCCAGGGAGGCGATGAGGATCCCCAGCTCTGCTATCAGGGCCGTCAGCAGCAGGGCCCAGGTGGGCTCCCCGTTAGCCTTCCCGTGGCCAAACACCTGGACGCAACACACACAAAAAAAAGGATGTGCAAGAGCAACGAGCAAAGCAGACTGGAAACGGCTGACGAGCCCAGAGGTCAATCTGTTCGTGGAAACGATCGCTCTGCAACGTGTCGCTATGGAGACCGTTGGTGACTTGGGTCCCTGTGAATACAAACCCGAAGGAAGGGGATGATGTTGTCCTTGGCGATTGCCTGCAGGAGTCGGGGGGCGCCGGTCAGCGACTGGAGGCCCGCGCCGCACGTGGAGAAGAAAGAGCCGATCACGATGACCCAGGGGCTCGGCCAGGCCAGAGTCCCCACCACCAGTTGCCCGTTAACAGAGTCTCCAAACCTGCGGGGGGCAGGGGGCGGGGGAGGGGGGCAAAACGGAAACGTTTGGTGGCATCGAAATAATCTCCCACACGTAAGAAGGACAAGGTGGGTGTTGCTGCGGTTGGGTGGAGGGGCGGATGTACTGACTTGTCCCTGAGGGCCACCCCGTCGATGCAGGCGCCAAACAGCACCACGCTGGTCAGGTCTGGGTGGACGGCGCTCAGGAAAAGAGAGACACTCGGCAGCGGAATCGGAGCAAACGCAGCCGACGGATAAGCGCCTTTGAGTTGTTACGAATACATTTGGCTAAAGTGACCCGGAACAAAAGACGAAACAGACAGAAACTGGGGAGTCGGAAAGGCCAAAAGGTTCAGAATTATCTTGCACTTTGTAGTTTGTTGTATTCAGATTGCGGGGAAACGTTTTCCCCAACGTAACATGACGGGATACAGACGATGGAGGTGGTGACGATGGCGAGGATGGTCCCGATGGGGATGGAGACGCTGGGCGTCTTTCAGATCGCCCGACCAGTTGAAACCAACCATGATTCCTGAGGAAAAGAATATTGAGATTTTTTGAGACAAGTATATGATGCTGTACAGCTCAACGCAAGGGGGGGGGGGCAACGTTTGGCATTTAGAAGATGATTTCAATTAATAGCACTTTGCTTTGCGCTGATATTCCAGATGACTGGGCTGGCTTCCCGGTTCGTTCAGGTGAACCTGAAGTAACGTTACATGAAATGGTCACAATCTACAGGTTAGGTATGTTTAAGAGATGCAGAACTATCTTAAATTTACAACAAAATATTTGACAAACTTAGACTTCCCTTAATGAATCACTGAGTGGTGTTATTTATTCAAAATGTCAGCTTTGTACAAAAAGGTTAAAAATAATTGTTGATAGGTTGAGTAAAGCAAGTAGGAAGATATTTCAGAATAGATGCCTGACTCATGACAAAAGAAATCAATATAACACCTGCTGTATTCTGCCTGTCGATGATGCATTTTCATAACAGGATGCGAACAACGTTGTCTGCTACTGGTGACGGCGAGGAAGAACCAAAACCTGTACCTGTGACCGAGGGGAAGAAGATGCCCACCAGCAGCGTGAAGGAGGTGGTGACGTCCGCGAACACGTACGGCTGCTCGATGGAGGCCGGCTGCGCGTCACGGGAGGAGCTCAGGGAGCGTTTCTCCACCACGTCCCCTCGGCTGAGGTACGAGCTCCACAGGTTCTCTACGAGGACGACATTCAACACCTGCTGGTTAGGGACATGGTGGATTCGTGGTTTGCGTCGCCTTAATTTCCGGTGACCGGTGCACACGGGAGGAAGCAGACACGGTTCTGCAGCACAAAAATATCCTCCGCGTTTCATTCTAATAATCGTTCTGCTGCAGAATTATGGGGCTTCGATTTGACGCGGTCAACGATCTGCGCTCGCGTTTCGCCGACGGATTCAGTGTTTTAGCTGCGCTGGTTCCGTCTGCCGCTCATCAAAGTGCATGTTACAAGCTTTGCATTGAATGTTGTCTCTTATGCACACACAGACACACACACACACACACACATCTACCTGAGATGATCCCGCTGGCCAGACCGGGGATCGCGTTGATCCGGGAAAAGTTGTTTGAGAGGAAGTACTCGTCGCAGGAGGCGTTGACTTCGGGTCCCTGGCAAAACTGCTCCCAAATATACGTGGTCTTCTCCAGCAGGGCGGGGGCGAGGCTGGGGTCAAAGGTCGGGGTCATGGTGCCGTTTTCTAGAGCGGGAAGAGCGCAGAACCTGAAGCCGTGCGTGACAGAGGATCACTCCCTTGCTTCCCACGCGTCTCCCGGCGGACGCCGCTCACCGCTGGTCATGGTGAAGTTGTCGGCTCCTCCAGCGGCCCGTCATCTCCTGCAGGAAGGTTTTCGAACACTGGCCGTCACAGAGTTGGTGTCCGCTGATGGTCCGCTTCCCCCAGCATGCACACGCTGCGGATGAGAGCCCGTCCGGTCAGTCGGGGGGGGGGGTTAACGGATGGGACGCCGTGGCGTTTCGGTCGACACTCACGAGAAACTGGGCGGTTTGAAGGCGGAGACCAGCGCGCCGACATAGATGGAGACGATGGAGACGATGACGCAGGCCAGGAAGATGGAGGCCAGTTTGTTGACGTACTTCACGCCCACAAACACCAGCAGGGACATCAGGAGGAGGCAGACGGAGCCGTACACCCGCATGTTGTTCAGCATGGCCGCCCCTTCGCCGTCAGGGTGCTTGGACTCAAAGATGGCCGCCTTGGGTGCGATGTACATCTGGAGGAGGGAGAGCAGGGGGAGAAGAATATTTCCTTCGCCATCGCTGGATTACGGATGAGTCCGAGAGAAATGGGGAGGGAAGATGATGGGAAAAACCCACCAGCAGGATCTCGATGGCTCCCAGGATGTACATGGCTCCGGCGAAGGTGGTGCCCAGGTAGAAGCAAAGGCCCACCGCCCCCCCAAACTCTGGACCCAGAGAGCGACTGATCATAAAGTAGGCGCCTCCCGCTGGAGGAGGAGGAGGAGGAGGAGAGGGAGCAGGGTGGGATGTACAAAAGAAGGAGATGTAGAGGAGGGAGAAAGCAGAGAGGAGGAGGAGAAGAGATGGGACATAAACAGAGAGAGGGATGGATGTTAGTGTCATTACGAGGTGAGGAGGTAAAAGGGCAGAGAGGGAAGTTGATGAGAGGAAGTCGTCATTAGCTTGAAGAAATAGCATAATTCATTTATTTTATTTAATTATGATAAAATAATATTGTTTTAATTTAGCGTATTTAGGGACATTTTAGAACTTTGCACACTAAAGTTGAATGCTTTTGAAGACATTTGTGCTACTGATCAACTTCAGAATGCTGATGTTCTGTCACCGTGTAAAGTTATAGAATCCACTACAGACCGGAGTGCAACTTGGCCTCAAACAAAAAGGTTTAGATTAGACAAACAATGAAATGAATGGTAAACAGAAAGTGCAGGTGAACGAATGAATGAATGATGTATCCAGGGAGTCAAACGCATTCTGTTAACACATCGAGCAGAGTGAACCTCGTGCAGACGGCATCAACCACCATCTGAGACTAGATGGTGAGGAAGATGCAGACTGACGGGAGTGAAACAACGTGAGATTAATTCTCTACGGTTACAGAGAGGTTTGCGTTCTACATGCAGTCATCGGAGACGGAAACATGGCACCACTTTGGACGTTCGGGATATTCGTGTGGAGGTAAAGAACCGAATATCCAGTTTGTTTTAAAATGTGTGTTCGGACAGACAGGGGAGAGGTGGAGGGAGGGACAAACAGAAACACGCATTAGAACAGATGAACTTCCGCCTCAGAACGATCGAGTCGGTCCCGTTACGTCCGGCTCACTGTGTTTCACGGAGACATAAAAGTCCTGCATCGCTACGGAAACGGCAAAAATGACAGCGAACGTGGACACGTGAGCTGTAAAAATAATGGAATGTTCAGGGATGTTACACATATTTGGGGGGGGGGTGAACTATTTACAATCTGTGCCTAGTAACCTGCAGTTTACTCAAAGCGTGTCAGACTTTTCCAAGTTGCAACTAAGTGAAATTGAATATCTTTTAACATCTAGTTTGTGCAAATGTACATAAATAATTTGTTTTAAGCATTACTTTGTTAAAGCTGCCAATTTCTCAAAGAAAACAGGTTATTTGGCGATTTTGCTGCTGGAAAAAAAGGAAGTCAACGGTCTGTCGCGAGTCAGATTAAGAGATTAGCGCGGAGGAGAGTGAAAGGTGGAGGAATACCTGGAACGACTCCGTTAGTGGCGATCGCACTCATCGATATCGCCGTCAACAGCGTCTGCAGAGACACGGGGGGAGACAGGTCAGGAGGAGGAGGGGAGGCGGGGAGGGGGGCGGTCTTCTTCTTCTTCTTCGGAAGCACTCACGCAGCAGCAGCATATGAAGACGATGCAGAGGCCCTGCAGCACGCCGGCGTTTCCCACCACCCAGGTGAGCCGCAGGAAGAGGATGACGCCGAAGATGTTCTGGAGGCAGGGCAGGTAGACGCCCATGAACGTCCCCATCTGGGGCGACTGCCGGAGACGCGGGGCAAGAAGACGGGTCAGCGGATTGGGACATCGCGTGCGTTATTCATTCACATTTTCTTCGGGCGAAACTGAACGGCCGGCTCGCGTCGTTTGAGAGAAGACTAAAAAGGACATTTGTCGGTTTGATGATCATATTTAAAAATGGCCGATCTGTAAAACAGATTAATTCCTCTTTTGCTTTCTGTTCACTCTTTATATTGCTCACAATCGTACTTGTGATTGCTGTAATATAAAAACGTCGTACAGCATGACAAAGTACACCTGGGGACAGATACTATGTCGCCGTGAGCATTTCAAACAGAAAACAGCTGCATATCTTCGTATAAATGCCGCCTCCCCTCCCCCCCCGAAAAGAGACCTCAGACTGGACGGGTACATTTCACACCTTGCCGGCTTTCTTCTTCTCGCCGATGTTCTCGGCCTCCTCGTGCTCCCGGGCCCCCTGCGTCAGGTTGGTGTAGTTGGCCAGGCGGTTGAGCAGAGACGACACCTTCGGCCGCGTGTCCATCTCCTCCTGCGATGTGGACAAAGAGCCGGCGTGAGGACGTCTTTGAGGGCATTAGAATGGGCGTGGATTGATCTGCCAGCGCTGTGTTCCAACCTCAAATAAGGCCAGGTTCTTGTCGTAGAAGTCGTCGTCATCCCCGCCGTGGGTGTTGTTGATGTACACGCTGGAGATCTTTGAGTTTCCATCGCCTGGTGTGCATAAGAAGGAAGGATTGCTTCACAAGCGGTCAAACCTCCCCAACTCGCAGACATGAGAGCTCTTTTATTGAAAACACGTCGAGCGGAAGCGACTGTGGGGCGAGCCGCCCTTCTCAGTCCAGTTGGAACTAGAGGAACAATTACAGCAGCCTGAAATGATCAACAAAGCTTTAAACATTGATCATCTCCACATAAACGTTGTGGCTGGCGAAGGTCGATGACTTTAAATCCGGGATCGCGACCAAACACTCAGTGATTAATCAACAGCCGCCTGAAGCGAAGCCCGACTCAAAGTCCACACGGTCACCTGACAGACGGATTAAAACAAAAGGTTTGCCCTTAACTTTCTCTCTCTCTCTCTCTCTCACACACACACACACACACACACACGTTCTGCCTCGGTCAGCACACACCACTGCATCAGCAGCAACTGAGTCAGCAACATCGCTTCCCTCTCCTGCAGCAGTCACGCCAACGGCAGCGAGCGGCTGCATGCGGGTCATTCTGTTAGAGAAATACGGACCCGTGATTAATGTGGTTCGTTCATATATTCTATGGATTTATGTACTTAATGGGGTGGGGGGGTTTCTTGGCCTTTGGCGGTGAGCGCCTGCTGCACTTGTAGATCAAGTCTTGTGACTGGGGGGGGGGGAAAGGTTGACGAACCTCGTCAAGATCACAAAGGAATGTACGATTGATTTGAACCCAATGACGTGTCGGGAGGTGACGACCCCCCGGCGCCATGACGAGACGACCCCCCCCCCCCGCCACTCGCAGGGTTCGCCTTATTAAGCGGACCTCGTGGCGCCTCGGGCCACCGAAGCTCCTTCTTAGGGGGTTTGTGTCGAGGCCTTTTGTTCTTCTTCATTTGAAGAGAACACAAACCACGTTAAGAGGAATAACTAACAAGCCACCAACAGCTTGTGCCGCCTCACAACAACACCTTTACGCTGCTTATTCTGATGGTTCCACATGAAGCAGTTTCCTGACATTTTACAACAACGATCACAATGAACAGAAAGTAGCTGGTACATTCATCACTCATGTGAATGATGTGTAGTTGCAGTGCTAAGCTTTCAAATACTCTCCATGCAGCTTCTTAAATGTGAATATTTTGTGGGAGTTTATGGATTGATGCATATATCTTTTAGATTTACATCCTAACAAAACCAAAACATTTCAACCCAGCAGTTTAACAGATTTCATTGATAACGAACAATCTGTTTTAGTGCTCAAAAAGAAGTCGAGTCACTCAAGCAGAAAACAGTGGAAACACTGAAATCGTGGCCTATTTGTGTCCGTGCGGTCCCAAACAGACAGACCCCACACCTGAGCTCAGCACGGCGTGCGACGCTCAGTGAGGCTGAAAAACACCGGGGCCACAGATGTGGGACGCATGCTGAGACCAATAGGCGACTCCAGTGGTGTCAGAAAGACAGACAAGGATCACGGAGCATGTGACCTTTCTGAGAATAGCTCTCCCCTCCATCTCCCCTCCATCGCCTTGGAGGATCTGGACTCTCGTTTCTCAATACAAACAAACCGCAGCATCACGGACCCTGATCGATGCTCCAATCAGATTAACCGGCTCCATTTCTATTCATGGAGGCTCATCAAACAACGCGGGGCATCCCCACTGCTGTGGAGCGCTTAAGTGGATCAGCGGCGCTAATACGGTTACATCGCTCCACTGTTCAGCCCTCGCAGCTACTCTTACAACACAGCGCCGATCACAAGGGGTCCACATCGCTGTCCTCTTAGGGTCCTCAACGTCTGCTGGTTTCGCGGCGCAGGTCCCAAGTGAAGCCGTCAAACAAAGAGTTTCACGAGCTCGATGCAAAAAAGCGTTTTACTTTCACTATTTTGACACGTTCTTGTGTTTGACCCGAATAATAAAGCCAGAATAAAGACACGATAACACACTGGACTGGACTGGAAAAACGAGAGCGAGTCAGCGTGTCCGATGTGCTGCCAGCGCGCCCGTACTCGGGGAGCAGAGCGAGCAGATCTCACGGAGGGGATTCCTCGGTTTAAACTGTAACCGCCGAATGACACTTTGATCCATGAGTGTGATAACCCATATTAGATAACTGGAGACTCCATCTAACAATTATTATGACCCCAATGACCCTTTATTCATAAAGCATTTTTATAATGATCTAAAAGAAAATCCAACCATTTATTGTTGCTGTTTTGGGGACATCTTGGATTAGTTTCTACACACCGCTGGATGGAAATCAAATGAACTCAAGTGTGTGTGTGTGTTTGTGTCCCTCACCTTGCTCCACGCTGCTGTGGTCCGGCGTGTGGGCCCCGCCCGCCGTGGTCGCCGGGCCCCCCCAGGCCTCGCTGAGCGGGTCGCTCCGGTTGACGCTCTCCCTGGAGCCGAAGCGCACGCGAGCGCCGGAGCGGGAGCTGATGTCGGGCGACGTGTCGGACAGCCCGGGGAGGTCCTCCGCCTTGGTGGGCGTCACCGTGAAGCGCACTGAGGCCATGGCAGAGTCACTTTGCAAGGGGGGGGTGAAAAGGAGAAAAAGGGGAGGGGCGGTGCGGGGGACGGGGTCACCGAATAGCTACTGGGGGCCGAGCTGAGCCGAGCCGAGCTAGGCTATCTCCCAGGAGGGGCTGAGGTACTGGCGGCCTCTACAAACCGCTCCTCTGCAGCTGCAATTCGCCATCGGAGCAAAGACGTCGGCTGCCAGCAGGCATGTGAAAGAGAATTAGACAGCAGGCCTCCGTCCGGCCCGTTTTTTTTAAAAATGTAGGGGTTGTTAAAGTGACACCAAAGTCATTCCTTCACTGTAAACGCGTGGATGTGTGTGGCGGCGTGAGGTCAGCTACCGGGGGGGCGATAAGCGCACACGCACGACGACGTGAGGGAGTCCAACGGTTCCCTTCATCCGCTGGAACGGTGACGAAATGATGCTCTTTGCTTCCTACGTCCGATGAGCACTATGGATCAGGAGAACAGGCCTGCAGCGTGTTATGGGGAGAGAGGGAAAAACAACAGATGAGTTCACGCGGGCAAAACCTGCAGTGTTTTGTGAAGAGACGCCGAGCTGCCTGAGGACGGAAGCGGGTTACACGCGGCGTGGATTCAACTCGGCTCAACTCGTCTGGATGGAATCGTCTGTACCACATGGAGTCTGCGGACTTTGCCTTGTGAGCTCCTGTGGGCAGCAGGTCCTACTCGTCGCCGGGCAGCATTCCCGATGTGTTTACGGAGTGAAAAAGACATGCAATCGGTTTAAAAAAAAACGATTGCACGAACTCTCACGCACGGCAAGAAGGAAGCACTGCCAGTCACGTCCACGTCACAGCGTCAACGCGCCGCCCCACACAAACGCTTTGATAAGAGAAATGATGTTTTCACAAACACCATTCCTTGAATTCTTTGGGAGGGTGGGGGTGGGGGGGGGGGGGGGGGGGGGAAATGGCTGAACTGTTGTCTTAACTCGGTTCATCATTTCCTTATTAAAAGAAAGCGGCCTCCACCGGTTGCGCCGGGGGAGGCGGCTGGCCTTTTTCTCCTCTTTCTCTGCATGCAAGAGGCACAGCACACTTCCCCGGGTTTCTTTCTCCTCCTCCTGCAGTCTGCCTGCCCCCCTCCACCCACCCCCACCCTCGGTCCACATGCAGAGATGGACTGCGGGGGTGGAGCAGGCAGGCGGTAAACAGAGACGCGATACTCGTTTTGCTCGTTCCACTAAAAAATGAAAAGGAAAGGGTGCGGGCGTAGATCTGCACGAACCTGCGGCGTCCATCCGACACAGCAGGGGGGTGGGGGTGGCGGGGGGGTGGGGGCTTCAGTCCGGCATGCACTGTGCAAAAGGAGGCTGGGAAACACACGGGGGGAGGGGGGTGTTTGTCTAGGCAAACATGTTGACACCTGCGGCCGATCAGGCGTCTCCAATGAAACTCAATGGGTCTGGACTGAGAGGGGAACCAGTTGGACACGTGAGGACGGGGACGGGCGAAGGGGGGGACGCTGCTATCGGCACGCTTGTTATCTTCTCCCTCGCATCCCGGTCGTGCGCTCGCCAGGTTCCCACAGTTTGTCATCATTAAGACACATGTTCCATTGTGAGGCGAGGGTGTTTCCTTTCGTCACAACATATGTGGTTACAGAAAAAACGTTTCCTCTTTTTGCACAAACAGTTGGTCTCCTCCGTGATCTTTTTGGGCTGTAACAGGTTCTGTTTTTCCTCAACTGTGATTTATTCTGCATATTAGACGATTTTTATCCTGTTCGGGTAACGTTACACAAATACCACACTGATAATAATAATAATAATAATAATGTTTGGGAGTTATTTATGGCTATATAGAAATAATACATATAAATATGACATCAAACCATCACCTGGGACTTTTGTTATCCAAATACTTACTGCTCCCTCTGATGCTGCTGCAATAACTATACATAAAAGTATAAAGGGGGGGGTATTAGGGAGGTAATGTAACCCTGCTGTCTCACCAGGCCGTCTGTCTCCGTCCCGGACCGAGCTGCCGCATTAAACCAGATCATCCAATATGAGCCAAACGCGCCTTTGTCAGTCGGGATGAACATCCTTCCCGTTAGTCCGGCCGGTGAGTTAGCGGCGATCCCCGCGTGCTAACCGCCCGCCGCTCGGCTGCCACCGTAAGCCAATTAAGCTAGCCATAAGAATTCTGGCTTGAACCGGTCAGTGAACGCCTCCCGGTATCGATACGGGGAAAAAAAGACACGGGAGCTCGGCGTGTTTATGAAATAAAAGAATAGAATGAGGAGCAGGTGTTTCAGCTCCGGACCTCGGACGGCATGTTTATGTCCGGCCGAGGCTGCGGGTTTTTTTTGGGGGGGGGGGCGTCAACAAAACGCATTCGACAACCGGCGAAATTCAGAAAGGCGCGCAGTTGAATTCGGGGATAAACCGTGTGGAGTAATTAGCACCGGTGCTGACAAAGTTGTGGCTTGTGAAAATTGGCCGTGGTGCGATGGAGAGGGTCCGGCCGAGCCGTCAGTCGGGTGGGCTGAAGATACCCGGGGGTGTGTGTGTGTGTGTGGGGGGGCTGTTCTCGGGTGAGAGCGGTGGCTCGGCTTCAGTTGGTGCAGCTAGCCGATGCTAACTTTAGCCCAACGGCTAGCCACGCCGACGATCAGCTCCCCGCGGACCTCTCAGCTATTTCACTGACAGCGACGAACGCCCACTGGAAATGTGGAAACTTAACCGTTAGTCACGTAAAGCGCCTACCTGGCTCAAGTCTGCCGCAGAAAAACGCCTCCTCCGTTCGGTGGTTTTCAGTCACATCTGGAAAGATTTGCCTCCTCTCCCGGGTTCTATCGGCACTTTTTTTTTTTTTTTTGTCTAACCGACCGAACAAGAAAAGAAACATTCGAACGCCGTTTGCTTGCCGTCGTTATGACAAGCAGGTGGCCGTGGGGCTGCTGGGAAATGTAGTCTCTATGTGACAAATCTCCGAGGAGCCGTTTAAGACATTTGTGACATAAATACCAATGTGTGTATTAATGTTAAAGTAGATCAGTAGTATAAAACAGGGAGTGTCAACCCGAACGAGTATTTAGTATACTAAAATAATAACTAAAAGATGCTAAACTTGAAAAATGATGCATTGTTGAAGCTGCGGTGTCAATAGGAATATTTTTTTTGCAACAGTAGTATTAATTTTACCTGCTATTGAGACTTTTACTTAAGTAAATTAGAGTACTTCCACCACTAAATGTCTTCCTCACCCATCAGAGTAAATGTATACACGTACCACTGAATATGTAGTGTTACGTATTTGTGCCTGTTTGCAAGACTATTTTTTTCCTTACCCTAAAGTTATAAGACATGGTGTTAAAATACATCTCGCCCTTCTGCCACAAAAAACACATTAAACGTGCAGTTGACATCTTGGCGATTTATCAAAGATTGCAGACGGTAAGCATTTGGAAATGTACGGTCATTTTAAAATCCCACAAGGAGACAGGAACGTATCAAAAAACGTTTGATAATGACAGAGAGCAACGTCTCACACGCCAAAGGAAAACGTCTCATTGGTTCATCTGGGAAAAAATCTGACTGCAAAGGCTTCAACATAAGATTCACAAGATGTTTCTCCACCTTTCTTCCTAAATGTATCACATGTGAACGTATACACATTGAAACAATCAGATAAATTAAAAAAAAACATCAACCGGACATTTATTCCATATGAAAAACAAAATATCATCCATGAAATAATGTCGACAAACTAAACGGTACATAAAATGAAGATCAATGAGGTGGAAAACAGCCCCAGATCCCAGCTGCTCGGTCACAAGTTGGACTCCTGAATGTTTTCTTTTCTTATTTTTGCTTCACAGTCCTAATCTCCGCCTGCGGTGTCGCCTCACAGAACCGGTCTGGGCTGCTGGGTGAGCAGAAGGCCGAAGCGTTTCTTCAGCGTCACCCGGTGTCGGGAGAACTTGTCGTCCGGAGAGAAGCGAGCCGGGTGGGCAGAGCTGGTGGGCTGCCCGGCCGGACAAGTCTTCTGTTGAGGGGGGGGGACGAGAAAAGAAAATCAGCTCGGCAGCAATAGATCAACACATCTGACTGGATCTGCTCTTTGTGGTGTTAAGTTAGAAACAAGTCAATGTCCCGGGGCTGCAAATAATTATGTTAATCATATGATTGATTGACTATTTTTATTGGTATGCGGTTAAAGTTAATTATTTTGAGTAAACTACTGGGAGGAGACAATGCCATTATTTTACTTTAATACATTCTTTTGAAAGACTGTCATGACACTCAACATACTTGTTGTGTATTAACTCCAATAACGTTCTGTGTTTCATAAGCACAGCTGCTTTCGGCGGAACTATAGACGAGTATATCCGACATGAAGCTGCAATCTAAAACTGAATGTTACACGGTCTATAGAAAATAGGATTAGGAACCTTTTAGTGTTTTCTTACAAATGCAAACTTGTGCTTAACAGTGCTTGATAAGCCACGTTATTTAAGTAACTTTCAATTGAAGACTAATAACCTTTCTACTCCAGCCAAAGGATTATGCGACTGTTCCAAGTCAGTTTTCAAACACTCTAAATTAAAAAAAGAACATTTTCAAAGTTACATTAAGTTATTTTCAAGTAGCTAGCTAATGGTAGCTAACAGTAGCTAACCTTACTTTACAAATAACATGCATCGACGTGTACTTGGACCAGATATATGACCGCATATCACTTTGAATACAAAATATTACGTTAATTATGTTGTACTCTACTGAAGTACAACATATTAAGACTATATTCAGAGTCGAAGGACGTAAACAAAGTCACGTTACCTTCAGAGTGTAGACTCTGTCTCCGTCCTCATTCAGGTAAAACTGCAGGAACATCTTGAAAATGGAGCGTTTTAAGGGACCAAAATATATCGAAGATATATGTTTTATGTTTTAAAAAAAGATTTTGCGGGTAGCACGTTCGTTCTCTTCTGGATTCCACGTGTGGCGGAGTTTCTTCACGCGCGGATGGCGGACAGGATATCCGGTTCGGAATCCGTAGCGCATGGGACCCTGGGAAATGGGGTTTCATAACGCAACACGCCATAAAATGCGTTGTAACGCTCCCAAAGGCGCATTTTTAAGTTGCATCTGATTAAATTTTGTAAGAGATTTAATCGTAAAGGTTTGTTGTTGAATTTGGAAATACTTTCAGCCACATCTCACGGCATTCATCAGCAGATGTTTGTCCTGTTGCCATGGAAACGTGGCCCCAAGCTTAAGCTCAAATGTATCATATATATATGCAGTATCTTTTGTTTAATGTTCTTGAGAAACAGTTAAACAAATTGATTAAATGGCTCATCAATATTTTCATCAATTCCTTTCTCTGCAACGAAAAAAATAAAGACATTCCAACAATTTTGTTTTACATTTCTGGGCTTTCATGCTTTATACAATGATAACTCCTTTGTTGAACATACATGAATTTAAATATTGGTTTTAGAACACTGTAAAGAAGCCAGTTGGATCAATGCGCAAACTGCTGTCAGATGTCCGGCAAGCTAGATACAGAATACAAAATAAGATAAAAGTTACATAAAACCTTTAAAAAGATTAGAATGTTTCCATGCACAGAACCTTCTGTCAAAAGAAAACAAATCAATGTCAAGTTTAATTTTAAACCTAAACTGAAGCAAACTGATTTCTGGATAAAGTCTGATCATCTCATACATCTCAGGTAAGCACAATGATTTTTGGGGCTTTTCACTATAAACTTGTTGCAATCAGTGTTAAAAGCACTTAATTAAGCAAATAAAGATTCATAAAAAAAGTGGACAACAGCTGAAATGTAAAGAGGTTAACAATAGCTGTTATAGTGTCACAGTAATATTAATTATATCTCGCGCCAAAGCATTTAAAATCCAATCATCTGGGTTTATAAACCTCCTTTATTTAGTAAATGTAAATGTTGGGTAAAAGGTTCATGAAGGTCACGTGAACACATGGTTTTTGTTGTTATTCTACACGATTCATTTCTGGGACTACATACTGTTTTATTTACTGAAGTTTGCTAGCATTTGAATGATATTTTTTTCTCTTTTGCCATGAAATACTATAAAAAAAAATCCAGCCAGTAGACTAGAGACACTTTAAACAAACGTATTTTGTGTGTTTGCCATTTGAAAATGGCTCCCGACATTCTGCCTGTTCCTCTGACAGCTAGACGCCACAGAGACATAAGATGGACCCCGTGATGTTTCCTCTTCCTGTGATCATCCTGAACGACAGAGGGGAGTCCGACTGCCCGCGAATCCATCCAAGCCGCCGGCATCCGACCCCGAGCTGGGGGCTGGCCCCCCCTTTCCAGAACGCCCCGCTCGGCCTCCAGACTCCGTCCCCGGGCGGCGGGTCCCAGCCCGGGTTGCCTCCGCTCTTCCCCGAGCTCGGGCTCGCCGCTAGCTGCCCACACGACGCCCGCTGGCGGAACGGGACCCCCCTGACCTCCGACTCGAACTCCATCTTCGGCTTGGGCCCCCACGTGCTGGTGCCCGTCGGCGGCCCCCCGGGGTTCTGCTGGGTCCTGCCGCCGGGGTTTCAGCCCAGCTGGTGCATGTGTCCGCGGGCGGCGGACCACCATCGGCCCCCGAGCCACGACCTGTAAGGGCCGACAACAACATGGCCGCGTTAACACACCGGGGCCGCCGTAACTGACTTCACCATGTTGGCCCCAGGGTGGCGAGAGGACCGGCTCCGCGGTGCGGCGAGCGGGGGAACGCGGCGGCGTCTGGGAGCGAGCAGCTGGAAGGGCAGGCCGAGCCGGAAGGTCAGAGGTCAAGGATAAACGCGAAAGTCCAAGGAGGAGACGGTAGAGTCCAGTTCATGCTCACCAGGGGATGAATCTTTTCTCTTCTAGAACACACGTTCAACATGTCAAACTTTGTTTTATGGTCAAATTCCCTCAAATCGACCTTGTAAAGTGTTAGAAATACTTTTCCTAATTCTTTTTTCAGTTTCAGATGTTTCTCCCCGTTCTCCTCCCTTTCTGGACGAAGAATCGCTGAAACAACGCGCCTTTGAGGACTACATGGCGATCATGGACTCCATATGTCCGCAGGTGACCCAACGCGTGTTGAGATGTCAAATCTGAAAATATCGCTGTGAGGAAAAACACTCACTGAGTTTTTTTTATCCTCACACACAACTTGCTCAGATCCCGAAGGACGTGCGGGACAAAGACAAAGCGGCGGACGAGGACGAGGAGGCCGGCCGCTCATTCCTGGAGTTGCTGGACGAACTGAGCGGCAACGAGAACTTTTACAGAGATGCAAGTGATCACGACTGAGGAACATTTTGTTTCATCGGCAAAAGTTCTTGTTCTCTCGTTGATTTCAGTCTGAGCGTTTGAATCCGTCTCCCAGGTGGAGTCGGCGCTGAACCCACCGTTCCTGGATTCCATCCTTTCTCCAGACCCGCAGCCTTTTCATCTTCTTCTATGTGAAGACCAAGAGCAGGAGGTGAGCCTGACAACACGCAGCGGAACCGCTTTCCATCGATAACGTCGTCTTGAAAATGGCTTTTTTCTCGTCTTTGCAGGAGCCCCGACTTTCTGCCCACGTCATCTTTAATCCTGCGACCGACGCCGCGTCACAGGTGGGCGACTCGTCGTTGCCCGTTGTGGGAGAGGTCGGCCGTTTTCATTTGAACCATCTGGGGCTTTTGTTTCATCTCTGTCACTCAGGCGGCGTCGACCCTGAATACAGAGGACCTGGACCTCCACCCCCCTTCAGATGAAGACCTTGTTTCATCGAGGGAACTTTTGCAGGAGGTAACGCGATAACAAATGACACTTTCAGCTGTGTGTTTTGTAACATTTGACATGTTGCCCTGGGAAACGCCAGGAAAGGTACCAATGACCTTTTTTTCCGGATCAACAGATCGTGAATGTGCTCCGCGGCGAGGACGCGGCGCCGCTCCGGAACCCGCGAGGGCCCATTTCAGATCCTCCAGAGCCGAACCGGACGGACGGACAAAGAACACCCCCGAGGGACGCGGGCCCACAGGACGGCCGGACCTGGGGTTCTCCCCTCCTCCGGTCGTGGCTCCTTGGAGAAGCCACCGACGCGTCGCGTCTCTGCCCCTTCTTGACGAGCCTCGTCGCTTCACCGCAGGGGTCAGAAGCGGCCCCGGACCTCAGAGCTCAGGGCTCCCAGGAAGCTCCTCGACCTGGAGGTCCTCCCGCCTCCGAGTCCCCCCCGACGGCCTCACCGGGCAACGGGGACCCCGCTCCCGGCTCGTCGGCGGGACCTCCCGCTCTGAGCGTCCTGGCCCTGAGGGCCGTTCCTCGCCTGCTGCCTCCGATGCGGAAACCGCGTCGCCCCCAAACCATAAACCCGGTCCGCCCTCCTGAAGCAGCTCCTGTGTCATCTGACGCAGCCGCCCGTGACGCCCGTGAGAGCGCTACCCAAGCAAGAGAGGAAAGGCTGCGTGAACATACTTCCGAGAGCGAGGCGGAGGATGATGAGAAGGAGGACGAGCTCGGGGAGACAACTGAAGGCAGACCAACGCTGTCGGGGACAGAATCGCTGCTGCCGCCGGGTGGGGAACCCAGAACCGAGAGCGCGGAGGAGAAGAAACAAAGTGGAAAGGGCGTTAAGCAAACGGAGGAACGCCGGGCGGTTTGCGGAGAAGCAGAGAGACGGTCCTCCGCGGGAAAGTGGGAGCGGGACGGAGCATCCCAGGCGGCAAATGAGGCAGAGATTGAAGAAGAAAAAAGCACAGGAGAGATGCCGAAAGTCACGGTGGAAGGAGGGGAGCAGCGGGACGTCATTCACCCCGGCGTGAGCCCTGAAACGGGGGCAGAAAGTCCATCGTCGACCAAGAGCCCACCAGAGGAGAAGGGGGCAGGTGAGGCGATTCAAATGTCCAGGTTTCCAAGGAGAAAAAGGCGCTTGACCTCAGAGGACCGACTGCGGCCGACTCCTGTCCTCGCCGTGAAAGCCAGAGGGAAAAGCAAGCACTCGGAGGCGGAGGGGAAGTCGGGACGGATTCGGGACGGCGACAGACCAGGACTGAACCTCGCGGGGGCTCCAAGTCCGGCGAAAAGAAGCAGACGCGGGAGGGCCGAAGAGGACGGAGCCGAGACCGCCCGGGACCGGGGGTCTCCAGCTGCGTCTTCTCCGAGAAAATCAACGAAGGCCTCGTCGGGGGAGGAGCCGATCGAACCCAGTTCAAACTGCGCTCCGAGTCCGGGCGGAACGCGACCGGGGGGACCGGAGAGGGGCGGCGACGGGGCCACAGCCGCCGAGAGGTGCAGCGCGGCGGCGGCGGCGGCGGCGGAGGACGAGCGCGAGGGAGCGGGCGGGGAGGGGCCCTCGCGCCACAGCCCGACCAAAAGGAACCCGCGCCCAGAGGGGGAGGCGACCAGCGGCGGTGGGGAAGCGCTCAGCACCGGCAGACGACAACGGGGGCGGCGCTCGGTGTTCCGATTCCCCGCAAAGTACAAAGACTTCGTCTCGTGCAGAAGAAACGCCAGCGAACGCTGGATACGAAGGAGAGAAGGGCAGGAAAACTAAAAAAAGAAGATGGCTCATTGATGTGTGTTTAAGTCTCTGGAGAAGAATGAATCAAACCTCCTTAGAACAGTTCACAGTTTAATGCATTGTTGAATGTAAACACAACGTAAGAATTATTTTATGTAAAATAAAGGCTTTGATATACAGTTTCCTTTTGCACGTACAATTGTCCCGTCGATAAAAATAATTCAACACACAAAAGCTGGAATTATATAAAAAAGACTTTCTCCGTAAAAAGGTAATGGAGTCTTTTAAAAGCATCTGGAACAAACAATCCAGCTTTGTTGGGGGCACTTAAAAAACATTCGTCTTCAAATACAGGACAAACACATTCACACCTCAGAGCCACGTCGTCATAACTTAACACCTTCTTCGCTTCTCTAATGTTGTAATTTTTTAAAATCCATCCACCCACACAAACACACAGAGATACGACCTTTCGCTTGTCGCTTCCCTCACGGATGCACAGCGCATCAAGCAAAATTTGACTTGACCTCCTGCGGCAAAATCAAATTTTCTTTCCTCAATCAAGCTTTTTGTTGTCTCGTCGAGATCCGCCGCCGTCGTACGCGTTGCTGTTGTTGTTCACGGCCTTCCCATCGGCCGGCTCCTCGGCCTTCATGTACTCGCTCGCCACCCTCCGATAGGCCGGGTGGGTCGTCAGCGCCCGCAGCAGATTCTCTGTGGGGAAACCAGGCGGATTTTAATGGAGATCTGACCATTTTTCCACCATCGACGCCTGTCAGAGGCCTCTCCCTGCTTGGAGACCCTCACCTTCGGTGAGCCGGCCGCCGGCCGAGGCCTGCGCGTAGAGCTCGGCGGTGTGCCGCTGGGGGAAATCCAGCAGCGCCCCCATCAGGTCGGACAGCTCCTCCGCACTCAGGCTGCCTCGGCCCTCTGCGTCAAACAGCTGGAGGATCCACAACGAGAGGCCTTTGTTAACCCGGAGAAGCGTTTTTCATCCCCGAAAACAATGAATAAGAAATGGGACTCACGGTGAACGCCGTGTGGAGTATCGACGCGAAGCCGACGCATCCCGACAGAGCGCCGAGCGTGAAGTAGATCGGCCGGATGTCCACAATGTCACCCTGGGAGAAAACACAAAAAAAAAACACACGTTATTACATGTTTTTGTCTGTTTCTTCATAAAAAGTGGAAGAAGAGATGCAGAATTTATAAATGGCTGAAGACGCCGCTTCCACCTTGGAATAAATGTCACAGATTGCGGCGGCCGTCTGTTTATCCGTCAGCCCGAGGATGGAGGAGAGCTCCTCCGAGCTGACCTTTGACCCCTGGCCTCCCGACTGGCACCTGTCAATCATCCGGTCCAGAGCTGCTTCCACTTCCTGCGCTCCCAGACTGAGAGACAGAGAAGTGGAGATGTGATATCAGATCAAATAATAGTTTAAAAAGCTCATTTCCCGGGACGGAGACGCACGTCTTCACCCACTTGTTTGTGCGCAGCAGCTTGAGTGTTTTCCTGGCCGGGGACTCCAGCGGGAGGGACAGACCCCCCAGCTTTTTGACAGGAACTCGGCCCTCCATCACGTGATCACTGGCCGGGAGTCCGAGAGCCCTGCGGTGCCGCCGCAGAGAGATGCCTTGTCAGAGGCGGCGTGCGTCCTCTTAGAATATTACCACGTGTAGCGGGGGCGCGGTGACACCTACTTGGCCATGAGCCTCTGAACGTTGTCGGCGTACAGGCTGGGGTCCTTCCTCTCCTCCGGGGAGGGGCTGTAGACGGGGAGGAACTGCAGCGGGAGCAGGAAAGAAAAGCGAGGTGTCTTGAGGCGTGCGTTCACATTGGCAGACGGAGCCGTGAAAGAATGAGCGGAACGGGACCCCAAGCTGGCACGGTGGTAGTTGGCACACACTTACCTCGACGGTTACGTTGGTGTAGAGCTGAGAAGTCGTGTGCCACAGCGCCTCGACCCTGAGGAGACAACGGCACGTCATTCGGGCAGAATCGTCTTCGGTCAAAATACGGGTTGGTTCAAAAGCCAGGCGGCTTTGAAGAGAGCGGAGGTGATGTAATGGAGAAAATATACTACGCCCTTATTCAGTAAGTAATACACCCACAGTGGAAAAGCACCTCGTAAAACCCTTTGTGTTTTTTGTTGACCTATTGACTTTAGAGAACCAGCCAAACAGGGATTCCGGCGCTGATGGAAAATATTGGATAATTTGCATGTAATTGAATATGAATGAGGCCCAATTCAGCAAATCAACGACTGGTTATTGAAGACACACGTGACGTGTGCAGCAACAATGGAGATAGATATTAAACGGCGGTGGTTGTGAAATGTGTACAGCAGCTTATCGTAAACGTGACTAATGGGGCCAGGAAGGAACACTCCCTCCTGAAAGCCAGGCGCGTTCGCCACCGAGGGAAACCTGTGCCGAAGCTAATGGAGGCGGCAGCACCGAGCGTCGGTCTGCTTTTAAGGGGCGGCGATTACACAACAAACATACGGGAACAGAGCCGACAGAAAGACGAGTTCCAAAAGGAAAAGATATAAAGAATAAAATAAAAAAAGACGAGGCGAGAGAAGACAGCTGAACTCACCAGCTGGTTCCTTTGTACGTCCAGCGAACGGTGTCCTGAGGAAGGGTCATAAAAAGGTCGTAATCAGCGGTTGAGACAAAAGGGCCCGTTGATGAATGGGGTTGTGGGGGCTCGGGGGCAGGGGGGGGGGGTCTTTAAGCAGGGATTGTTATCACAGAAACGCCAACACAAATGTTTACAGGTGAGTAGCCGGAGATCACAATGGAGGCCGTGGCCCAGGTGTGGTCCAGGTGTGGTCCAGGTGTGGTCCGGGTGTGGTACGTCACCTTGCTCGAACTCGTCAATCACACCAAGGACACGCGGAGCTCGTCTCGTGCTCCACTGACACAGTTTCCGATCTGTGCGGCGGATTGTTTCGGATCACGTGCGCAAAACAGCGGGACGATGATCGCTGATTTATCACAAACAAAGTGATTTCCAACTCCTTGACTATAGAAGCTTCGCTAAAGAGTCATTCATCCCACTTGACTAAAGTTTTGTGGACAAACAAGAAGGTTTATTACCCTTTTTTGTAAAAAAAAAAAAAAAAGACATCCTCTAATTGTAATATAAAAGGCCTTTTGCTTGTTTACAACCACAAGCCGGCTCTAGAAGAGACCTTGCCGAGGTTCCAGTGTTTCCTTACTCTTGACACCTTCGATGTCCTCGCTTCCTCGGGCGGAGGGGAAAAAAAAAAACCCCTCTTTGAAGTGACTCGAATCTGTCATCTCGCTCACCGGCTGTTATTATACAAGCGACCAGATCGACGTCTTCACTCACCAGCTTGTTGGGGTAGCGCAACAGAACAGGTTGGACCGGGAGTCCCGCGAGGAAGGCACCTGATGACGGCGCAGAGAAAGAGAGCAAGTGAGACGCGGAGGAATGAAAGGGAAGCAGAGAGCGCCTGCTGCGCCCTTTTCCCGCTCGCCGGGCCGCACTCACCGGGTTTGAACTTGATGAGCGCGCTGCCGTTGGTCGTGGTCCCCTCGGGAAACATCAGCATCTGGGACGTACGAGAGGATGAGGATGCGCTTCGTCACCAGTGACACCTCCCGTTGCCTTTTGTTTTGTAATAGAAAACGCAGACCCCCCCCCCTTGGCGGCTCACCTGAGGCCAGTAGCCGTCGGAGGTCAGCCTCTCGGTGACCTGAGCCACGGCCCTCCTCCTGGACTCCGGGTCCTTCCTGCTCACCAGCACGGCTTGGTTGAACTCCAGCAGGGCTGAAGACACAACGCAAGAAGAAGAAGAAGAAGAAGAAAACAAGAGTCACTTGTTTGTCGCTCGACATCCTCGCATACTTCCACGGCCCTTGAACCGTCTTCTCCAAATATTATTCTTGGTTGTTTGCCAAATCCTATCGGAGGGGGAAAAAAAACACCGATGAGCTTCGTGCACTTTTAGTAAAACTTCCTGACAATTACACGTTATTTATCTCACACACACACGTTAGACATGCGTGCTGTAACACAGCAGTGTGTGTGTGAGCGTCCACTTTGAACAATCAATGTCACCTCCACCTGCACGCCTGTCCTCCACCTCAAAGGAGGACGTCCGGCCTTTAAAAACAGCCAATGCTTTATTCCCATAACAAGGACTAAGTGCATTTGCGCCTTTGACCAACAATTGACCAGTTGTTTTTGTTTGTTTACCGCGCGGTAAACAACGACCGCCCCCCTCACCTCCTACGACCGGCAGGCTGGTGTTCTCCGACCGCGACACCACCGTCGCCAGCTGGGTCGGCATGAGGGACACCATGTCCATGAAGCTGCTGTGAGGCGCCACCACCAGCACCGGCGCCTCCTTCAGCTCGGCCCGGCGACCTTTCACCCTCACCCACAGGAAACCCAGGAAGAAGAAGGCCAGCCGGCTCAGCCCCAGCATGATCGGGTGGAGGAGCCAGCGCCTCCACCCCTGGACGGGCCGAGAGCGCTCCTCCTCGGACAGGCCGGCGAATCGGAGCCGGGCGACGGGCCACATGAAGAGGAAGCAGAGGGCCGCCATGGCGACGCGGACGGGGAAGAGGACGCTGCCCAGGATGACGCCCTAGATGGACCAGAAGACGTTACTTCAAATTGTGAAACTGCACCGTTTCAGACGCCGTGGTGGCGGCTTTGTGACATCAGTATGGGGAAATATGTGTATATACGATGCGTCAATCACAAAGTAGAGTCGCTCTGTGGAACGCCGTCATTATCGTCGGGGCGAGGTATGAAAGCGTTTATGACACGGCTGTTTTGCTTAGGCAACACGGTCAGATAGAGAAACGTGAGAGGCTTTGTCACTAGAAGGAAGAAAACATAAATAAGGCCTGTGACCGTAGAGGGGAACTTTGAGATTAGACCCTTAATCCCACCGACTCCTCAAATCCTTTTTCAAGCACGTTATTATAAAGGTGTTTTACACAGACGAAAGGCCGATTAGTAGCAGGTGTCAGATGCAGTGGCTTTACCCTGATCCTCTGCGCGCTGGTCATCTTCACCTCGTGGATGAACGGATGCGGATACTCCTGCGTTGCTGAGTGACGGCCGCGTGTCTCCATGACGACGCGAGAGGGGAGCAGGAGGGAGTGAGGGGAGGAAGGAGGGGGGACGCCTGATGGACGCAGTCAACTAACTAAATAACGTTGCTTTAAAAAAAAGAATGAAAAAGTTTCACCCCCCCTTTTTAAATAGGGTGAAACAGGTTGTTGTTGTTGTTGTTGTTGGTGTCAGCTGACAGTTCGCCTCCTTCAGTCAACTGTCGAGTAAAAAAAAACAACTGACGACGTCGGCTGAGCGAATTAAAAACTAAACTAAAACAAAACAGAAACACGTCCGGTGCCGTTAAAACAAACCGTCCCTGTTTGTGTGCCGCACACGCTGAACTCGCGCCGCGGCCCATCCTCCCTCTCTTGTACTCAGCGGCCCCGCCCCCATCATCAGCGGCCCCGCCCACCGCCACAGAGCGCCCTGGTGAGTCCCAGCAGGGTGAACCGGTCTCCGAAACCACTTCACATCAAAATAAAAATAAGTTTCGGCATTCCAAGACCTTTCCGGAGGGGGTATCAAAAGATTTGTGGTTAACTGAAAAAAAAAAGTTTTGTCCGCGGCAATTAAAAAATATGAGATGTATGTATGATATTTCTATTTTATACCAATTTACTGCATATATATAATTCATCTGCGGCCCTGCATTGTGATGCATTAATGTTGTCACCCGTGTTGCAGCTTGCAATGTTCGGCCTACTCACAGATACATCACATTATCCCACTGGAGGGTATTTGTAGATGGAAAAAGTTGATTGTCATTATTATATAAATATATTTTATTTACAGTACATACATTACACTTCTATTTTCTTTATACATTTAAATCGGCCTGCAGCTAGTAAGCCCAGTCACGTAAGGTATTCAACTATATTTAAAATAAAATCACAATCCATTGCCTCCGTTCACAGAACACTTTAAAATCCTAAAACCAGCTCTGGATTGTGATGCCGTCGGTTAGCTTCCCTTAAAGGCGAAGCCTGTGAACTTTTTATTGACTAGAAAACACATCATGCATTATACAGATCTAGCTCACTTATAAAACATTCTTGCCACCCGACTACTGGCCTTAAAACATGCTGACGTAATGATGACGGATGGACCTTGACTGTGTTCTCATCTATCACGTTCTGCGGTGTTGGATAATCGGCGTAAATGTCCTTGCACAATCTTTCATGCACAATCGTGACACAGGCCTTTCGAGCTCTTTGCGACTCACCTCTCAAGTTTTCCGTCTGCCCCACCTCGCTGCCTTTGTTCCCCTGGGGAGTTGCTGCTGATACCAGAACACACGCCCAACAGTGAGCAGCCGGAGAGAAGCGCCGAGGAACCTCTGCAGCCTTTTCTTCAACCAGGGCGCTTCAGCAGGGTTTTGGATGTGGGGTTAATAATGTGCTCGTGGTCACGTTGCCCGTGCAAGTTGCCAACCTTTAATTACCAGGTGATTCACATTACAGCTGAGTGGTGCTCTTTTATGAATCCCCAAAATCGCCCAATACTATTTTTCATATCAACATATGTCATGATATAGGATTTTTAATGCACAAAAAAAGGATTATCAAAGAATTTATAGGCACCAAAAAAGTGAATTAGTCAACACCATTTGAAATACATCATTTCCATAAACTAATCTGTCATTGACGGGCAACAAAAGCTATTTATGCCTAAAGATATCAGCAATTAAAGGGACTTTGGTGAGGAAAATGTTAAGCACGTCAGACTATATTCATCATCTAACTGCAGAACCAGCATTTAATGGTGTTATCTTGATTTGGAGCCTGGTTGATTCATCACCTTGAATTAACACGTCGGTTAATATAACTTCGCATGTTTGTTCTGTTCCACCAAAAGTAGTTTCTTTCCACTTTTTAAGAAAACAAATCTGGTATATTTACACGATAAAAAGAGAAAATACTTCAACGTTATTCTTTTACCACCCAAAACATTTACTGAGACAGTTGGGATCCTGTTATTGCAGCCGGAATAGATTTTATTTGATTACAACGTTTTCATGTAGAAATGTAAGTATAAATTAAAACAGGTAAGTAAATGCGGAAATCATGAGTTTCAAGAATTTAGAATGAAAGCAATAGAAAAAAGGAGAAATGACTATTGTATTGTAGTAAAAACATTCGTTCCTGACTAAATGAAAATGCCTGGGAGTTATAAGAGGTTTTAACGACATTAACAAACCCCAAAACTCGCTTCTGGACTCTATATATTAACACCCCCATAAATAACCTGTTATTGTTACTTGAACTGCAAAAGAAAAAAAACACAGTGGTTAAACTTTTTAAAACGTATTGAAATATCAGAGGAGCAACAAAGACGAAACGCACGAAGCCGCCGCCGCCGCACATCCTGCCGCCGAGCCGACCGCCGCATTGACATACGAATATGGAACTCCTCACAGCACCATCCCTCCGCCCATGATCTCCATCCTCTGTGGAGGGGAAGCAGAACACGGTTAAGTCTTGGGACTAAAAAGAAATCAGGGAGGAGAGACTGCGAGTGGACGATCGGATTGCCATTATTTATAAAATTGTTTTGTAATAGAAAAATAGCTTTAATCAAACTACTGCAGCCGAAAACCTTTGCCGTTAAACGCATTGTGCACTTCTCTATTTTTAATCCTGCCTGTTTACCTGAGGCGGTCCTATGAAAGCCAGCCAATCAGAAGAGTGCGTCGGGAGCAGCCCCATCGACTGACACTTGTAGATGGCCAACGCCGAGCCCAGGAGGTTACCGACCAGGTAGACCAGGCCCTGCAGCCACTGCTGGCTGGAGCTCTCCAACAGCTTGAAGGCTGAAAGACACGAGGACGAAGGGGTGAGAGACGTGGCGGGAAATCAAATCTGAACCTACGAGCGCCAATCGCTGGATACTCACTGGCAGACATGGACATGAGCGCTTGGATGGGCCTCCAGGCCATCATGCACACCATCATGATGGGGAAGATGGAGATGGTGTTGCCCGACATGTACATGATGAAGAGGTTCATGGGGATCTGCTTCAGGGGCCCGAGGGCCACGTCCCAACAACGCTGTTTGGACCAGAGCAGGAGGCACAAGCTCAGAATTTGGTGTTTTTGTATCCTGCCCAACATTTGATCTTTATGAGGTGTAGGATAAATGAATAATGAATATTAATAATTCCCCAGATATCTTGCGATAACTTTCACCTAGTCAACTTTTTATTGACTTTCATTAATTCACTGATACGTGTGTATAGAGGAAGGCGACCTGACTTGAACGAGTCGTGCGGATCGTTCATGAAACCTGTGAGAAGGCAAAACCGGAAGTAAAAGCTCCTCCGTCCTGCTCTACCTTCTCCACCAGGTTCTTGTCCGTCTCCTGGATGCTGGTGTCGGGGACGGGTTTCTCAGAGTAGCCGATGGGGTAGACCACGTCTCCCTGGCCGCCCTGACGGTCGCCACGAGACCTGCAACACAGAGTTACGCTTTCCAATGACGGACTCCCTTAAACCACCCGCCGGTGAGTTTCCCCGCAGCCTCAAGTGTCTCTTTAGATTTGCCCCTTTGACAGTTTGGGTGCAATCTGTTTGTATACCTGGTGTTGCCCAAACTCAGCTCCAGAGCCCACTTCATCCTCCTTGCTCCTCTGGTGGACAGAGCTCCTCCTCCTCCTCCCTGTCCTCCTGGAGACGCCATGGCAACCGGCTTCACTGCTGGACCTCGAGAGACAGAAAACAGCTACGGGAGAGGAAACAGGCTGTCAACCCAATGTCTGCAGGAGAGGTCAATCTAAACTGTCACAACAACCGACGACGTCCCCTAAAGATCATATGAATCGTACATAGAATGAATTATATGAGTGAAACGTCTTCGTGTGTGTGTGAATCTTCACCCGTTAACGGACGTAAAATGAAGCCCAAATAGAAGCTGTCAAAAACAGTTGTCGGATTGTATCGACGAGAAACATCGCACCGTTTCTCTTGTGCGAGTCAAAGCAGCCTTAGCATCACGTTTAAAGAGTAAATACGAAAACCACACGCTGCTAATAAGGATGTTACTATGACTTAAGTTAGCGTTGCTGCTCAAATATAACGTAACGCCTAATATGATCCAAACACCTCGTGATTTATAATGTACTTACCTTATAAAAACATCCGCAAGATCAATATCTAGTCGATATATCGCTATTATTGTGACGGAATTAGCAAAACCGTTGGTAAGGTAAAGTAAGGAAGCACTCGTCGCTCGCTGTTTCTGCGTCGCGTAATGATGACGTAGCTACGCTGGCGACCCGGATATTGCGTCGGTTCTGCCCTCTAGCGGCATTTCAGGAAAGTTCTCCTCAAAATCATTCATTTATTATAGATTAATTATTAAATTACTGTATATGCATTGAATACATATCAGCAGGGGTTCATGTCCATGTTTCCATGGAAATCTAGTGTTTAAAGGAAAACAATCAAAAACACTCAAACCCGTGAAGACGCAAAACAATACCTAAGAAATGATCATACTAATCATAAGACGAAAAGCTTACTTACAGCTAGTTTATGACTAAAGAAAAACAGAATTAATAATAAACAGAATAATAAATGTTTTCTAAAATGTATTATTATTGTTATTTATCAGTCATACTTATCTTCTGGAGACAGTTTAGACATTGTGATATCTGCATGCGTGTGTTGACGTTTAAAAAATGAGAAATGTAAACAAACTGGAGGGTGATAGCAAGGCATTTATTTGCAGCTGTATTGTATCAAACAACCCGTCAGCATGACAAAAGTTTAAACATCCAAGTGCAATCTTCACAGTCAGTTTAAGGCAATACTATTATTTACACACACGCGCATACTGACATGTAAAGGAAGCAGTGCAAAATAGAAAGTGTAAAGTGTGTTACAGGCTACAGGCACAGTGGTTCAGCAAACCATTTGTGAGCGTTATTAAGGCACAGTTAAAGTCTAAAGGCCGGCACGGACCCCAAATACCACTAACCTACCATCGAGCATTTCAAACCACCAACAGACTACCGGCTGTGTGTTCATCAGGCGCATTGGATCATACGGCTGTTCTCGTGTAAACGTAGCAGACGGTTTCACTATAAACACGTTTCGTTCTCTCCCTTCTCCAGGTGGACGGTTTTCTTGTGACGCGGCCTGAAGGAGGTCCGCGTCCAACAGCATAAAAAAAACAAACACTCAAATGCATCTTAAACGGGATCGGACGGCCCCAAGCGTCCAGGCTGGTGAAAAAGTGTCGTTTAGCAGCACATACAGACGTCCTGAACGCACCATCATGCATATCAAAAGACTCTTTCAACCATCAGGGAGACGAAATGATCCATCCGCTGCAAACAGCAGGCCAGAAACAAATCTCCCGTCTCGTTCTGTACAACACGTTGTGAGCTTTCAAAACACAAAATAGTAGAATCAAAGTAGTATCAAAATCAGTAAATGTAAGTTGTAAATATCACCTCATCATTGTTTGGGTTAGAAACTAAAGTTACTGGTTGCGTAATGTTTGGAGGGAAAAAACCACAACAACCCACAACGCACTGAATTTGCGAGGAGTAACAGGGGCTCCAGCTGTCAGCTCTACTGTGTGTGTGTGTGTGTGTGTGTGTGTGTGTGTGTGTGTGTGTGTGTGTGTGTGTGTGTCACTTGTACAGGCTGAGCTCGGGGCTGTGGTACAGACACATGTAGGAGTCACACAGCAGGCGCCGGGCCGACTCACGCAAGGAGGCGGGGTCAACTCTTCTCAGCTGGTCCTGCGACAGGCTGAGGTAGCGGCCCACCTCCGGACACGCCTTCACGCGGGGGATGTTGAATCCGTTCTCGCCACCTGGGGAGGGGGGGAAGGGAGAGAGGGGGGGGCGGGGGCGTTCACACCGCGCTCGCTCTCGTTCTACGGTCTCAGGGGGGGTGGGGAGGACGCGCGACTCACCTTCACGGTCGGCCATGCTGTCGAAGAACAGCCAGTCGGCGGCGTCGGGCCCGTGCTTGACGAAGCTCACGTAGTGGCTGGTCTCGATGCACGTCACGGCGAAGAGCGACATCCGCTGGCGCGCGCACAGCTGCCCGCCGGACCACGGACCCCCGGGGACGGCCACGCTCGCCGGCACGTGGGACGCCCGCTTCCTGTGACTGTGCACCTGGCGACCGACGGGAAAAAATCTGCATCATCATCATCATCATCATCATCATCATCCCAGTTAAAAAAAAAAATCTTAGGAAAAGCAGGAAGTGGCCACCTGCGTGTTGCACGTCTGGCAGTACTGCTTGAGGTGACCGGGAGTGATGTCGGGGTCCGTCGTAGCACTGGAGACACTCGAACTCGGCCACGGCCTGACAGATGCTGCACTGCCTCAGAGCTGCGGGGCGGGGGGGGGGGGGGACGACACACAGGCAGGGGGCGCGCTCACGTGGGTGCGGCCAGATCTCACACGTGTAACGGTACCACATTACGTGTGAAATGTCCTCCACCGTCGTCCAGCAGGTCGGTGTCGTCCAGGCTGAGAGTCGGCAAGATTGGCGTCAAACATTTTGAAGTCCTTCCCGATCCCGAGACATGAGCAGTAAGAAGGCAGGAGGGAGTCTGGGTGGAGGAGGAGAGGGGTGGGGAGAGGGGGTTGAGGAGATCATATGCACTCGATGTCGTCGTTTGAGGGCGTTTCAAGGGAAGACAAAACAAACCCGCGACGACCCATTTTTCCCCGTTACCTCGACAAACTTGAGGCCGGCGTGGAGGAAGGAGGACTCCAGCAGCGCCTGGACGCTGGCGACCCTCATGTGACTGGGCGAGGGGAGGGGGGCGGGCGAGCCGAGCGTGGAGGAGGAGGGGGAAGGCGAGCGGGGAGAGGGGGGGAGCGTAGGCGGGAAGAGCTGGTAGAGGTGGCCCTCCTGAGGCTGCCGCGTCATTGACCTGCACGCATTCATTGGGGGTCATTTTCAAATGATGATTCAGGGAAGATCTGCACAATGTTCAGGAATTCACTGGTTACCAAATATCATTTTTACCCTCGAACACAAACAACAAACTGAACTAGATAGATCGAACGTTTGTGAAAAGGTGAACTTTACCGTGCTTGTACTCAAGAGAACGTGTGTGTGTGTGTGTGTGAGGTCACCTGATCTTGAGGAGCGGCTCGACTCGGAGGAGCTGGAAAAGCCGGTTGAGGAACTCCTCGGGGTCTGACGGACAGGAAAAAAAGCAGCATGACGACATTCCTCACAGACACACCTGCCGTGCTTGCGGGGTGGGGGGGGCGCATACCTTTCTCCTGGCTGGTGAAGCCCGTGTCGCTGTTCGGCGCCTCCAGCAGCCGCCTCAGCGCCATGGTCTTGCTGGCACACACGTAGCCGTTCCTTCAAACACACACAAGAAAAAGCCCTTTAACCTAAAGACAGACGTTTATGTGCAACATTAAAGACAAAATACTATTCTCAACTTCACAAAACTAATTGGGTAGAGTCATATATTTACGAGCAAAAATCAATCGATAACTTGAAACGGCTTCACTCGGGAAGGTCGGATGAGCCTCTTTATTAGAAGTGTGGCGACGGCGTATTTATGGATGCGCGTCGAACCTTCGCAGCGGGTTGACGATCTCGCAGCGCAGCAGGTCCTGCGCGCGACTCGAGTCGGCGTCAGAGTCAGACGGCCAGAACAACACAAAGTCCGCTGAGCTGCAGCAGGAGAACAAACTGCAGAGAAACCGCCAATCAATCAATCCATCAGCTTCACGCAGCAACCGACCAACTAATGACATGAAACTCAAAAGTTCTTGACGAACGAGGACGAGAGAAGAAGAGGAAATGATGCACGCAAAATGTTCTTAAGTAAACATCAAGCGCCACCTGAAGAGCGTGGCGTCCAGGTAGCAGGAGTTCAGGTGACCCTGGATGCCCCTCTTGCTGCCCTGGTAGAGATCGGCGGCTTCGCCCCCGTCCACCGGGGGGGTGTGCTCCTCCACCCGCTCGCTGCCCCACTCGGCGAAGGCTGGCGGCCACACGGGAGACAAGTGTCACGCCGCGAACGCCACAAAACGCACGGCAAAAAAAAAAAAGCGGGGGGATTCTCCTACCTATGGAGTTGCATCGCTCCACTTGATTGACGGGCGTCTCGGGGGCGGGAAACCTGGAGTCCCGTCGGCAGTTGCGGAGCTTGACGAACAGCCCCTTGTTGGCCGGGCAACGGAAATGGCGTTCGCCGAGGTAACTGCCGTCGGTTCCCGCAGAGAGCTCCTGGTCCTGGGACACAAGCAGCGGGTTTTATTTTTTTTTAAATTTAAGTTATTGCCACAAAATTGATGGAAGAAGCTGCCGGATGAATCAGAACATCTGTATCGAACAACAGCGTTTCTCCTCACCAGCTCTATTCCCGCCACCGGCTCCGGGACGCCGCCGATCTGTCCGACCCATCGGATGACCCCGAAGAGCGGCGGCTCGTTCACCTCCACCATCGAGCCCACCTCCAGCTCGCCGCGCGGCCCCGCCTCCTCGCCCTCGCTGCCGCCCGGGGACCTCAGCGGCGAGGGCGGGCCGTGCGCCCCGTTGGCGTGCAGCTGCTGCTGCGGCGGCGTCGTCGTCGGGCTGCGGGGTTTGGGAGGCGGGAGAGGCGGGGCTTTGTGGGCGGGTTTGGGCGGCGGGGGAGGTCTAGGCGCCGCTTTGCCGGGGGGCATCAGGGCCACTTTGGGGGCGGAGGCCGGCGGCGACAAAGGGCCGGGCCGGGTGGCCGGGGGCGGGGCCGACTTCAGGATGGGTCTGGTCATCTGGAGGGGGGGGTTCTGACGGTGGGGTTTCGTCTCTGGAGACGAAATGGAAAAGGGTTCAGGAGGAGTTTGTGTCAACGACAGAGAATAAGCAGACACGGTGGTCGTCGGTATCGGTCAGCTGGCAGCGTCCCGCCGGTGTCCCACCTGGGGAGACCTTGGAGACGGGCAGAAGGACTCCGTAGAGGGCGGAGGGAACGTGGCAGAGCGGCTCGCCCTTGTAAACGCCGTCCCAGTTGCCGACGGGAGCGTCCTGTGAAAAGAGGAGGGAGGGATCACAAAGCGGTTTCAGGTAAAAACACACGAGCGCCTCGATTAGGACGGCAGGAAGGAGCCAATCACAGACGGGCATCTTAAAAACACGGCGAGAAAATGAGGCAGGAGGGAAATAATTACGTTGATCTTCTCGTCGGAGGACCGTCTACTACGTTAACCGCGGTCATAGCGCTAACTCATAAAAGCCGTCGCACTGACCAGCAGGACGCCGACGTACGGCCCCGACGAGGGGCGCCCGGGCAGCGGGCCGCAGAAGCGCACCTCGCCCCCCTGGACGCCGCTCTCCAGAGGGAAGCACACGCGCTGGCCCACGTGGAGCGGCCCTCGGACCGGCGCCTGGCTCTGAGCGGCGAGGGCCGACGGCTCGGCGGTTCGAGAGAGGACGGCCGCGCCCGGCGACTGGGGGGGGCTGCCGGGCTGCTGCTGGAAGCTGACGTGCCGGCCGTGCTGCTGCTGCTGCTGCTGCTGCTGCTGAGGACTTGGACGCTCGTTGTTGCTATGGTGGCCGTTGCTGGGGGGGTTGTAGGCACCGCTGCGGTGGGGGGGGTGTTGGAGGTCTCGCTCGTGGGCGCCAGTGGAATTGTTGCGGGACCAGTGGCGCAGGCGGATGTGGCTGACCGGGAGGAAGAGGGCACAGGCGTCGGGGCAGGAGAAGAGCCGGTGGCCCTTGAAGGAGCCGTTGCTTATTCCTCTACCTGCTGCCCGACCCTGCAGGGGGGGGGGTGGGGGGCGGAGGGGGGGGCAGGTGTTTACAGGTCAACATCACGCATCAGAGCTGCCAAAGACCGCGGCGATGATGCGAATAGTTGTTATCCAGTCCCATCCTCCCCCCTTGCCCCTCTGAAGTCCCCCCCTATTATCCTCCTACCTTGAGCTGCACCCCGAACCACACGGCGCTGCTCCCCCTGGTCAGCGGCCCGACGTATTTGAGATCGGCCTCGGCCAGCTCGTCCTGCGAGCCCATCTGGACCCACAGCGGAGAGTCGACAGGCAACGCGACCATCTGCTGCAGCTTCCCGGGACTACCTGGGACCACGGGAAACAACCAAGAGCTCACTGCAGAGGGGGGACGCGGCCGGTTAAGATATGCTGGTCCGATTTCTCTCGATTCTCTCTAGAACTATTCGGTCTCGATTCAGAAAAGTTAATAATCAGAATTAAAAAAAAAAAAAAATTAGAAAAAAAAGCCCGTCTCGCGCAAGATATATTTGCTCGCTCGCGGAGCGTGAACTTCCTCGCTCGCGAGGTTAGTCTCTGCTCGTGCTCGAAGGTGTTTTCTACGCGCTCGTTGTCAAAAAACAAACGCCCCCCTTCGGTAACCGTAGTGGACCGTAGATGACAACCAGCTACAACCGTCATTTACCATCATTACCGGCACATTAAGACCGATGCGTCCAGCTCGCAGACCGGTCCGTCAGTCTGAATCTGAATATCTAATAACTTTACCGAACTATGGAGGAACCTGCGCACATCTTACCTCAATATTTCCATTTTCCAAAAAGTCGATCCGTATTGAAAGTTGGCAAGATATTCACAGATTTGGACTTTTTTCCGGTATTTTACAAATACGGACCGGTCTGAGACTAAGAGCAGCTTTTTCTTCATTTAAAAGAAACATTTTTTTTTTTTTACATAGGCTACTTCCATATTGTGTTGAAATGCAAGGTGCATTGGTTCTTGCATTGTTGATAGAAAATCATAATTTGTGACAAAGATTTTTTTTTCTCTTATAAAAAAAATTAGAGAAGGTAATTTATCTGTTGATTTTCTTTAATTGTCAAATAAAGTAGGAAGTGATTAGCAACCTCTGAGTAGCAAACTCAGATTTGAGAAAATTTAGAAAATCGAGAATCGTTTTAACAGTTTAGAATCGATAATCGGTTTAGAACCGAACCGTTGACCTCTGAATCGGAATCGAATCGTGAGGTGCCAAGAGATTCCCACCCCTATGGTCCACGTCCAGCATACGTCCGTCATCCTTGAGAATTAAGGGACAGTTGAAGTAACCGTTAAAAGTGTTACCTAGAAGTTTAAATCGAGCCTCCGGTTCACATACGGCTTCCAGCAGGCCGTTGAGGTCGGTCGGGATTTCGAGCAGGTACTTCCTCTCTATTTTCAACATCAAGTCGTTGTCTAACACCTGCAGGGAAGAAGAGGAGGAGGAGAAAGGGAAAGGAACAGTACATAACATAATAACAACAACAACAAAAATCAAATTATGAAATATTTAATGCAAACTATCACATAAACGAAGTGTCCATTTCATCTGTAATGCGTGTGAATACCTTGACCCAAGGGGAGTCGCCTCTGCTCCTGCCGGAGTCTTGCTCCTGGCACATGTACCCCCGCTGCAGAACAATGGTACCGTCCAGCTGGTCCTGCACCTTCAGGTCGGTCGAGATCAAAAACATTTTGGGGGGGCGGCGCTTCCTGTTTTGATCGTGGTCCCCTGGCATTCTGTGCGTGTCGTTCAATGTATGCGGTTCACGGAGGAACTAAATCCTTATTTCTCCCTAAAAATGTGGGAGATGTGTTTATTTTTTTGCGTCATCCCAGAACGACACGAGGGCCGCGGCGCTCGTTCCCGCTGGTGTCGGTAACGACAGGTAACGTTAACGGCAGCCGGTTGTTAACTGACATTTAAACTTTTACGTTCTCAGACGAGTCTACTCGTGAAAAACGTTAAAAAAAAAAAAAACTGCCGCCGCCACACTTCGTTCGAACTATCAACGAACAGACCGCGCAGTTGATTTAAAACCGTACGCGTTCATCAAACACTCACCAACTTCATCAACTCCGGCCGTCAACATTTCACCGTCTCATTTAAAGGAGCTACGCTTCGACAACGGGCCGCCCCGTGAAGCAGGAAGCGGCGTGACCGACACCCGCGGGAGCCAATGGCGAGGGAGGAAAGTTCCGCGGGGGAGAGCTTTTAGCCAATCAGAGCGCGCGACTCGGGGAAATTCCACAGTTCTCGACGGGCGAGGTGAACACACTCCATTGTGCATGCGCGGATTTAGTACACGCCGCGGCTGTACAAAAGTACACAAAAGACATCAGTGGTAGTATTTTTGTTTTATTAAGTTTATAAATATAATAGAAAAATATTTCCTTTACTCAACATACTCAATCTCTTCATTCTCTCCAAGTGTACGTTCACACTTCATCCCTCGTAGAAACATTTGATTAAATAAAAAAAGAGAACAGTAGTGTATAATCAACGTTTGCTTTACAATGCAAAACTCCTTTTAAGAAAATAAGTGCAAGAAAGTGCAATTTAAAATGTGCATTATTTTTTCCAAGTTGTTGCAGCATCACATGACAGCCTGCAGTGACCAGAGGCTCCTAAATATTTGGTTTTGTGACACGTACCACAAAATAAAGCGGTGTGTACTTCTACACGTTCATGAATGGTGTAACGGCTGAGTGATTGTGATTGCATATTATTCGTTGGGCGTAGTAGGTAGAACGATCCAGGATTTCACAATAAACTCCTAGATTACAGATGACACATCTGTAATCTGTAACATGGCACCTTTAGACGGTACACAACTAGTGTGCTCTTCTTTCCTTGTCACAGATTCCTACATTCAAAGACTGTTCTGTACCAGCATACTTTGACACAAAACATTTAAATACGAGAAGAAAAAAATAACTAAATAGTAAATGGTGTTTTAAAACACTGTAAAAAGAACATCCTAGAATAAAATCTTCATAAAACTGTAACCTTGGTACTTCTAAGATGGATAGCTTATATCTTTTTTCCAATAAATTAAACCCACACGAACGGCGTTCGTGTGATTCCGCCGTGTGAGCGCGGCATCATTTCAGACTGTGTGTTCGGTGAGAGGGGTGTGATGAACCAGATACAGCGGCAGACACACTGAGCGACCTGCTTTCTATCGTCCTGAGCACAATGCTCAGCTGCACTCTTCATTCAGCAGTTCATCCCGAAGGACGGAGGCAGCTCCATCATCTGATGCTCCGCGTTCGTTTCCGCATCGAGTCAGTGCAGATGTTGGGGGGGGTCCGATGACATCTGTCGGGTCGGGCCGTAATAACGGGTGATCGCTGCGCAGGTCAGAAGTGAGGGGTCGACTGGTCCCTGTTAACGAAGTAGGTGGTGAGGTCGCCTTTGCCCTTGACGTGGACGACTCCTCGCAGCGTGACGCTGTACCCGACGCTCTCCACCATCTGGGCCGTCTCCTCCGTCACCTGAGAGCGGAGGAGGAGGAGGAGGAAGAAGAAGGAGACCCTATGAGGCCTGGAGCTAAAGAACACGCGTGGCGCTGCTCAACATCCGCCCGGCCTGCGCTCCACCCACGCCTTTGACACCTTCCTACCTGTATCTTGTCCAGCACCCCCGTGCTGTCCATCCTGCTGGCCACGTTGACGGAGTTCCCCCAGATGTCGTACTGAGGTTTGTGCGCTCCGATCACTCCTGCGATCACCGGGCCGTGGTTTATTCCTGCAGGTGAACCAACGGGGATTAAATGTTAAAAAATATCTCGGGAGTAGCAGAAAACATTAGATATTAACATGGACCCTGTGTAGGACACACAAAGGGCTTGTGGGTACTAATCGGCATCGACGAGACCCACCGATCCTGAGTTTGAAGGCGTTGAAAGAGTGAGTGTTGATGGCCTCCAGTTTGCCCATCAGAGCGATGGCGAACTCCAGCATGGTGCGCACGTGGGTGTAGGACATATCCACCTTCTGCAGGGGGAGCCACAGATCAGGTGAATGCAAGTGGGGCGGGGGAGGGGGGGGTGGATTTATTGATGGGCTGAACAAATTGAGCAAACCTTTTCTCCTTCCCCTGGCGGCGCGTGTCTCAGCCCCGCGGCGGCCATGTACGTGCTGCCGATGGTCTTGATCTTCTCCACCGAACAGAACTTGGGCTTGGAGAGAATCTAGGAGAGCGAGAGTCAGTTGGGAGACACTGAACGTGACGCCGGCGGGTTCTTTTATCGCGGGTCTTCTTCCCCGTTACATTACATTTAGCTGACGCTTTTATCCGAAGCGACTGACAATAAGTTCATTTCAACCATAAGGACACAAACCCAGAAGAACGAGAAGAAGTGCAATTTTATCAAATAAGCCGATTTACAACTTGCTGGAGATAAGAGGCATTATAAGTCCAATTTAAGTGCTATAATTTGTTAGTGTTTTTAGTCGAGGTAGAGTCTGAAGAGGTGTGTTTTTAGTTTGCGGTCCTGGTGTCATTGTTACCTCGTCGAAGTCCGATATGATCTCGTTGAGGAAGCGCAGGCACTCCAGCCCGTCCTGGTTTTCGCTGCTCTCGCTGTAGAACTCTTTGAACTCAGGCACCGAGGCGAACATCACGCACACCGAGTCGTACGACTGGCTGTAAAGGTCCTGAAACACAGTCGGTTCAGTTCGCCAGTGTCCTCCGACGCGCTAATGAGCCGAAACGTTCTCCTCAATGAGAGCAACAAATGTCGAGTCGTGCACTTTTATTTATGTAGGAAGTTATCAGGCCCATCCTGGCTTTGATATTTAAAAGGACTGACCAGGGTGCAGCGTGGACTCGCTTTCTTTACCTGGTTGCGGTAAGTTTTTCCCAAGAAGAAGGCGGCGACGTGGAGCGGCAGGACGTTCTGGAGGAGGAGCTTGTTGACCGTCTCCATGGTCTCCATCTCCTCTCTCTCCAACTTGAAGCAGCGGTCCAGCAGGAAGTCCACGCGGCCACTCAGCTCGTCCTAAGAACGCGTTGGGACGTGTGTTAATGTGATCTTTGAAAGGACAGAGGACGCGTGTTGTTGAGCTGTAAAAACGCACAACGTACCTGTCGGGCCAGAATGAGGCAGACGATGTAGAAGATGACCAGCCAGACCCCGGACATGATCTGAGGGTCCTTCAGAACGCCCGGCCTGTAGGAGACACACATTCACATATTTAGAGGCACATTGTCATATCATCTGGACTACTTAACTACCCCCCCCCTTCCATTACATCATTACATCACCGTCCCCCGCGGGGCTCTTGAATAAATGATCTGAAACTCTAGTCAAGGATCAACAATCTGGACTCTGAGTGCCGGACAAAAGGGCGGAAACTCGACGCCTCGGCTGAGCAGCGCGATGAGTGCAGAGAGCGGCGTGATGGACGTGTCAGCGGCGTGATGAGTGCAGAGAGCGGCGTGATGGACGTGTGAGCGGAGTGATGAGTGCAGAGAGCGGCGTGATGGACGTGTCAGCGGCGCGATGAGTGCAGAGAGCGGCGTGATGGACGTGTCAGCGGCGCGATGAGTGCAGAGAGCGGCGTGATGGACGTGTCAGCGGCGCGATGAGTGCAGAGAGCGGCGGAGGGACGTGTGAGCGGCAGCAGCATTACTACGCGTGTGAGTGCTTGTGTGTATTCATGTCCGCACACTTTCATGCATCTCATTTGTGGCAGCTTGTCTCTTTTATTATGCAGCGTGCAAAGAACGTTACACACTGTACCTGTTTGCAAGGTTGGAGTCCAATTATACATTTTGCTTTTGGCAAACTATTTTAGAGAGTGAAATATATGTATAAAAATACAACTTTACATGTTTACGTTTTACTATTTTAGAGCATTTGATTTTGAGGGGGAACAAAAGACACAAGACGATCTCTTACAATGGCTAAAATACTTTGATAAAATTATAAATAATCACCTTGGATTAAGTTCTTCTCAACTGACACACTCACTCTGCCAAAAACAAATCAACATCCGCCCCAAAAAACTGAAACCTAACCAATAAATGAGGCGTGTCACTCACTGGTAGTCGTAGAGCAGGTTGACGAGGCAGAAGGACCTCGAGGTGAAAACGCCGAGGAAGAGCGCCAAGTAAACCACCACGGCCAGCGTGAGCAGCAGGGACTTCACCGACAAGCTGGTCCTGACGAACACGATCACTCCCAGCATGGCCAGCAGGCAGCAGTACAGGTAGTACTGCACGAGCACACAGAGACAAGTTCGGTGGGATGTTCAGCGCTGGTGATGAAGCGCTCCACATCCACAGTGATAAAGGCGCCCCGCGGTACTCACAGGCCCGGTGTAAAGGTTGAAACCCTCCAGCTCGGTTATGTTGGTAATCAACGTACAGTTGTTTCCAGGAAGGAAAGACTAAAATAAAAAAAAAACAATTGATAGAACAACAAATCAATAACCACCAAAGAGAGGAATATACCAACAGAGTTATGAGGGAGAGGAGCTCACATAGTTGAGGATGGCCATGAGCAAGGTGATGAGAATACACAGGACGACCACGAACAGGCGCAGCGCCGCCCTCTTGGAGACGCCGCGGGACAGACGCGATATCCACTGAACGCTGAGCGGCATCTTGGTCCTCCACTTCTGCAAGAGAAACAAGCAGGCAAACATTTAACACCATGTAGCACGCAAGATGACAAGCGGTCCGTCGCCCCGAGAAACCAGCAAGTGTCGGCTTACCTCCAGGTACCCGGTGAACGCGATGGACAGCAGCAGCACCAGCACCGGGAAGGTCGTCCCGTACGACACCGCCAGCGGAAAATTCCTGGGAGGGGTGAGAACAAATCACGTACGCACGTTTATTCCTCATTCGCCCCCCCGCGGGCAACGCGAGTAATAACCTGCCGCGTGAGAATCAAAGGTGAGCTCACTTTTCGGAGACCAGCATCTGGACGGCGAAAATAGTAACAAAGATGAAAGCGAGGCAGGTCATGGAATGGTGCAGACCTTTGACCTCCGAAAGGGAGAACTGGAAGACAAGCGGTCGTCAAACAAACACACTAACGAGCGCATTCACTGCATTTCGTTAAGCGTGAGGATGAATGTACCTCCTTCTCCAGACTCAGGTCGTTGAACAGCAGAGTCAAACAGTTGAGCTTCTTTTTTCTCCTCCTGCGTGAAGAACACGGAATGAAAAATATTATAAATACCACTAAAGTCAGTGTAAAATAAGCCAGGAATGAGTCATGTTTGTCTGGATATTCAGAATGGAGGAAAACTTACACTGCCCTGTCCAGAGTGTCCAGTGACCCCCGGACGCCACTATCCACAACCAAACTGGGACGAAACGAGAACACATTAGAAACGGCATTCTGCATTCCGGGTTCCACCAGATTGTTTTTATAGACGGAGCAAAACACTCTTCATCCTCCGGAGCCTCAGTTCAGGACTTTACAGGTAGAATAATGCCGTGAAAGTGCTCTTCTGTTTCCATTCATTCTGGCAAACTTACCAGCCGTCGTTGTTCGGGCAAGGTGGCCGTGCCTGAAGCAAACACACACACACACACACACACACACAGTCAATAGAATGCATGACCTAATCTAGTCAACTCTTTCAAATACATAATAAAATGCTTGTGAGAGCCACACAAAGGATCAGAAGACTGGAATAAAGATTGCGTGTCCCTGAAGACAATACGTATTATGTGTAACTTTGTGTACTTTGACTCAACACGTGGGAGATGACACACACGTACCGTTCGTGGGGGCGTAGGGCGTTTGGCGAGGGTCTTCTTCTTGGAGGGCGTGGCGTCCGGGTCGCTCAGGTCAGCGAAGGGGTGGATGTTCTGCCAGGACCGCAGGTACTGAGACATCCGGATGGACGCCCGCTGCCTGTTCTCGCCTGTCAGCGGAGCCTGGAACCGAGACGGAGTGTCGCTTTACCTCACCGGCTTGTTTTTCCCGCGAAAAAAAACGCGTTTTCTGATAGCTCAGCATAAAACATACTAAATGAGTTCTCCTGGTGAAGCTCTGCGGCCTGTGTGCGTCGATCACCAGGTAGGTTTTTCTGCCTTTGAGGAGAAGGTCCCGACTCCCCCCGTCCCCAACCTCCACTTCATAAGCTCCGTTCAGGTGCTGCATCGTCTCCTCCGTGATATGGACCCGCCTGTTGGTGGTTATAATAATAGCGTCAGCGACAGAAATGCCGACAGCGAACGAGGGCGGAGAGGCGAGTTTTTGCTTCTCTCACCCGGGAAGACCTCCGGACTCCATGTGGTTGGCCAACGTGACGTCGTGTGACCACACGTCGTACTGCCACTTCTGCAGGCCGATCACGCCGCACAGCACGTTGCCCGTGTGGACGCCCACGCGCATGCTGATCTCGACCCCCGTCGCCGCTCGCAGTTTACTGCGGGGAGACGGAAACGCGGGTAAGTGCGCAGCGCCCGTGAAACAAGACTTCCTCAAAAGGCAAGACGATCAAAGATCAAACCACGGACCTGATGGCGTTGCACATGTCCAGGCCCATCTGCACACAGTTCCTGGCGTGGGTGGGGATGGGGTCGGGCAGACCAGATACGCAGTAGTAGCAGTCGCCCAAGATCTTGATGCGAAGACACCCGTTGACCTTGGCGATGTCGTCGAATCTGCCGAAGAGCTTGTTGAGCATGGCGACCAGCTCCTCGGGCGTGCAGCTACTCGCCAGCTTGGTGAAGCCCACGATGTCCGCGTACAGGATGCTGCACAAAACCCGCACGGACGCGGTGAGGAATGTGGGAAGCGGGTCGGATTTGCACACATCTGGCTCGGGTGACACCGCGGAGGACGGCCACCAACGTTTACATCTCATCATGGGTACATTTGACTTTTGGGGATCCTCACCTGACGTCACTGTGCTTGCGCACGTAGAGGCTGTGGAAGTTGTGGGGGTTGCTTTCGTTCTTCTCCTCGCTTTTGGGCTTGAAGAGCTTGTTGATGACCTCGGTTTTCAGCTCCCTGGCGATGTAGCGCGGCAGCACCGACAGGAGGAGCAGCTCCTGTTGCCGGGGGACACACGGATGCGTGATGAGTTTTTGAGACCTTTTACACTGGCTCGTTGGATTTCTTTGACAATCTGTTCACGCGGGCTGTAAAATAAATTGGCGCCCCTGGACGGCGTGTTTACAGAGCGAAGCCCGTTTCATCCATTTGTTTACCTGCTGTGAATGGTGTCTATTCTGTCGCCGCCTGCCTTCAGACGAGTGAATGATTAATCGATCGACCTCATACCTAGAAAGCGCATACAGTGACCGAACCCAGGCTGTCCCGGTAATGAGTACCTTGGAAATGAGTTTGTGCTCAACTGAGCCGCCTTTTCCCTTTAAAGCTAAATAATTATCTCCTCATTCAGAACAAAGCTGCACTGTCTCGGCGTTCCAACCTGCTGATATTTCCTTATTTCCTTGCGGGAGCGAATGGCGCTAAACTGTTCTCTCTTCCGGTTGGATTTCCTGCGATCCCGCTCGCTCATCCACAGGTGGAAAATCCCGACGCCGTTCACGCACACCAGCAGCAGCGCATTCGCCACCAGCTGAGGAGGAAGCCGGGGAAGAGAGAGAGAGAGAGAGAGAGGAGGTGAATGACACTTCACCAACGGTTCATCGTCAATCAATCATCATTATTATTGGGACGCATTGCTGACTGAACGGCCCGCTCTGCTATTTAGCACACGAGGAGGAACCGGTTTAGGACATGAACCAACGAATAGGGACGCAGGACTTTTGCATATGTCCCGTTTGGTTCAGAGCAGCTGTAAAACCCGCCGCTCACAAACCACAAGGCCAGCGTAACCATCGCACCATGTATTTGAATTGCAGACCCTCTGGATGAGGGCAGGTCATTTGCAAATATTTGTCTACGTTCACATTTCCAGGCTGTATAATTAACAGATGCGGGGCCTGTTTTTTCGAGTCTCTTAAATCGCCTGTACCTGCACGGCCAGGTCGGGAGTCCTTGGGCTGGTGACGGGGACGTACACGCTGATGATGACGACGTGCGAGAGGCTGGTGCCGATCCCCACCATGAGGGCCCAGGCCATGGAGAGCGGCAGCACGGTGTACACGCTCAGAGACAGGAAGAGGAAGAACGCCACCTGAGAGGGCGGAGGGGAGAGGAAGACTCGGGGGGGTTAGAGAGCCGTCGTGCGGAGCCCAACCCGAAAGAGAAAACACCACCATGTCCCTCTCTCTTCCTCGTCACCTGCTCCCACGCGGTGACGTTCCCGCCGGTGAAGACGAAGACGATGGCGACGACGTACAGCGTCCCCCAGACGAAGAGCGCCAGGGCTCCTCCGCAGCGCCTCACCGTGGCCAGCCAGGGCAGGCAGACCAGCAGGGCGGCGCTCAGGCACAGGACCACGCTCAGCACCGACAGGGCGCCGACGTGGGGGTTGATGTTCTGGAGACGGACGGAGGACAACGGAGAGTGAGAGGTTTTCCTTGGAGTCGTGTACGATGGTGAAGACACTAAGCGTCCCAAATGAAAAACGCCTTTATTTATCAGACGGGAACGCCGGGCTGAGCGTTACACAGCTGCTGCTTTTTAATCTGCTCCTTTTATGTCAACGGTATTTTCATCATATTTCTCCCCCCTTAGAATATTAACAGCGTTGCTGCTGATGTTGACGCTCTTTGTCAAAGACTTTCTAGACATCATGAACTCTGCAGGGTTTAGTTCTCTTTGGCACTGTGAACAATTCAAATGTTGTTCTCAAACTAAAGGGAAGTAAGGTGTTGTTTTTTTTAGTTTGCAGGTTGACCTGCATGTGTGCAGTCATCACGAGGCTTTAGTGCAAAGTCACACCGTGTTTTCGTGTCGAAGCGCAGGAATGTTGTGGAAGAACGGGTTTGAAGCTCTGCTTCCTTGAGCCACATTCAAGTCACGTATCCAAAGGAGACGTAATGACGGGGATCTCATGATGTCCTACAATTATTCGTAATTAATTGAAGCCTAAAAGTGTGTCACGCATTCTCTTGGTTCAGCGGGAGGACTCGCAGCTTTTCTCGCCGTGCCTTCCCGAGACATGTTGAGGACGTCACCAAGAGTCCAAAACCAAGTTTCAACTCCAACTGGAGCCTGATGACACGTATTGTAAGTATGTCTCACCTGTCCCCTGGTGGTGGAAGTGACGACGATGATGGCCACACAGAAGGCCAGAGACAGCACCAGTCCGGACAGCATGGCCGGTGTCTCCTCCACGCACTGCAGGAAAGCCCTGTGGAACATCTGGTAGCAGCAGCTCACCCCCTCCTTCACGCTCTGCCGGGACCGGTTGCTCTGCCGGTCCTCGTCTCCGTCCTCGTACTCGTGGTCCCACCTGACGTCGATGCTGTCCCTCGCTTGGGCGCCTCTGAACGCAACGTCGGGCCACGCGGGCGGCCCGCCGCCGGGCGGGCTTCCCGCTTTGGCTTCGCGGTCGCCTCTGTCGTCGTCTGGACTGTCTTTGGCGTTTTGGACAGAGGGGTCCGAGCTGCGTCCGGGGACACCGCCGTCGGCGGTACGTCTCGTCTTTCCGTCGGCCTGCGGGGTCACGTCTGTTCCCTCCAACCCCGGGTCGGCCCCGAGGGGCTCGGGGGCCCGCTCCGTTCTGGCCACGCCGACCTCCACCTCAACCCGGGATTCGCCGAGTCCCCGGTCGCCCGAGTCCGACCCGCCGTCCTTCCAGCTCTTTGAGCCGCCGCCTCCGAGGCAAATGTCCACGCCGCTGCTCCGCGCCGGCTGTTTTAGTCCGTCTTCAGTTCGGCCGAAGTCGTCGAGCTCCACGATATTGGAGACGGCCGCACTCTCCGGCGAAAAAGACACCTCCGGGGCGTCCTCTCCGGTCCTCCCCGTCCCCAGAAAACCTTGCGACTTGTCCTCCATTTTGCCCGCCAGTCCACTTGTCACTCTGCTCCGTCCGGCTGTTTGTCTCTCCGTCTGTTTGTCATGATAAACACACAATTTACATCTCGGTCTTGTCTGTCTTGTCTGTTGGTTTCTACACAGCGGGGACAAGTTCCTCTTTTACCTGCACGTCACGGCTCTACAAATTGCAGCAAAACTAAATCTGTCCCCGGTGAGAGTCCCGCCTCCGTTCCTTTGAGTCCTCTCCTACCCACTACGACGACGAGGTGACATGACATCCACGAACGTCCAAGAGGTCGCTGGCAAGGGCTCTCGAGGCGTAGTTTAATCTCTCCTGACGAGCGTTGATGCGCGCTGGATGGAGTCCCGCTGCCAGAGGGAAGAAGGTAAACAGATCCGAATAAACAAATAAATAGATGAACATGTGTTTCTCTCCCCGCTGAGAGGCTGTGTCTGTGTCGCAGCGGCTAAATCCAGCCGTGAGAGCCAGGAAGTCCTACCTGTGCGTGGTTTTGATGCCGCTTTAATGACAAATTTCTTCCAGTCGTTTCCCCATTATGCAAAAGAACTCGTTAGTCGAGCTGTGTGCTCTTCCCTCGCCACAAGCGATCACACTGTACTGGAATGACGAGTCGGCGGCGCGCCCAGTGCGAGTTGAGAAAAGAAAAAACCCAAATTCCAGTCCCCACCTACACCCGGTGTGTCTCCTGTGAGGCTCCTGCCCCCCCGTCAGCTGCACAGAACCCCGTTGTGTCGTAGCGGCCCCCCCATCGAAAAGATCTCTCCCTAATCCGCCTCGTCTGCCGCAGGTACTCGGGTGATTTGATAGCAAAGCGACAGCGGGATTAAACAGTAATTCATCCGTTCCCCTTGATCACCCGCCCTCCTCCCCCTTCCTCCCCCCGGTGTAACAGATCCATCTGCAGTTGAGACATTTCACATCACAACAGCCTGGTTTCTTTTGAACGCTTTTACAAAAGTCCTTTTCTTCAGGCGGACACTTTATACGGGGACACACACATGTAATTGTGGTTCCATTGTGCCGGCCTGCTGCTTTCACTACTTTGTTCTGCTTCTCTGTGAAGCACTTTGCGAATAAAAAGAGGTTTTGTTTGTTTTGTCCAGACAGACGCATCGTTGCATCCTGCTGCCGCACTGTGAACAATCTACACCTTGTGTTAACTTTAAAAGGGAGGAATGTGTCTACTTTTATTTGACCTGCACATGTGCATTTATCAATTGTGCCTCCGTTCAGTGGCAAAGAGAAGTCACACCGGATTTTTAATTGAAACACATGAATGTTGTTCTGGATGCTCCATTTCTCTTGTTAAGCAAAGTGGTCTCGTCTCCTACAGCATTGAGCTGTAAAGAAAGTACTGTCCGACTCAATCAACTCTGGCATTAATCAAGTTTTGGGACTTATCTCATAGAGCTGTAACAGTCAATCAAACTTATAAGATAAATTCTCTAAGGACTTTTTTTTTAAAGTCATTATAAAGTGACATCATTTGGTAACAACAACACACTTATTCATTTTCCTGTCTCCTTGTTTCAATAATCCGTCTGTCTGTGAAAAACTTGGTTTTTAATTCATATTATGTTGATGACCCAGTTTTTTCAAGGTAGTTGATAGTATCATACAGCTTTTAGATGACCAAACATAAAAAATACATTCAATCACACACATTAGCTATTACTGTATGAGGGCTGCAACTTTAGCAATTTGCATTGTTTCCATTATTATTTAATCGAATATATTTTCAAAGTAAAAGTTTGAACCAGCAAAACAACAACAGAACATAATTGACTCAAAATGTTAATAAAAAGCAGGTTATCATAACAGAGAAGCAGAAGTACTTGCATTAATATAGTTTAATGTATTCTTTTCAAGCAAAATGACGTCCAATTTTGAAAAATCGCGTATTACCGAACTTTTCTTGTCAACCCGTCGATTACCAAACACTTAACGTTAGCTTAGCGTTAACCTCAAAGTTAGCTGACTTATAATGTCCGTATTTTCACCGCAAATGAACGTAACGTAATGCTAATTATTTCACGTTAATAAAAGTGGACTGCTCGACTAAACAAGGAAAGTAAGAGTTGAATAAAGTTGTTATCGGGGGATAAGTGCTGTTCTCACCTCATAGTTAATTAACGTCAGTTATTAACGTCCACTCACACGCGACCGGGTCCGAGTGACGTATTTACCGATCCGCTCCCTCCGTCGTCGCCGACCGCCGTTGCCATGGTGACATAAAACGGTCCGTAACGTCCGAAAGCGTCCGTTAAAAAAGCCGCCGCGGTTCGTTCACGCGGACGTTTGGAGACGGGTCTGGCGCTCGCGTTCAGCGCGCGAGGGCTCGAGCGAGGAGGCGGGCGGGGGCGCGGGAGTGCGCACGCAGAGCACGGGGCACGAGCGCCCCCGGTCCGGCTGCGCCTGATAGGACGAGAGGAGCGGAGAGGGATGGAGAGGAGGCGCAGGTGAAACCACAGGTGTTTTACTTATAGCATATATATATATAGAAATATATACCGGAGTTTGTCTCCAGTATCAATCGGATTGATTAGAAATAATTTACGATGAATTCCAACGTTTTTTTTTAAATATTTTATTTTATGTTATATATATATATATATATATATATATATGTTTTTTTTTATTTTATATTATATATATATGTTTTTTATATATATAATATAAAATAAAATATTTAAAAAAACGTTGGATTCATCGTAAATTATTTCTAATCAATCGATTGATACTGGAGACAAATCCGTCATGAGAATAAGTATTACTTAATAGTTTAAAATGCAACTACAGCATTATAATACTGCTTTTCCATTAATACACGAATAATGATAATGTAATTACAGAATATATGTATGTATAATAATATAAGAGTTGCAAGAGACATTTTTCGTCATTGAGGACTTGAGCACAAACTGTGAGCACAGGGCTGTGTTTTTGAGGAGCTGGTTTATTAAATAAATACAGGGGTGTTCTTAGTATTATGTACCACATTAATGACTCCTAAACGCCTCTCATTATACAAACAATACACACAGTGGAACAACTTGAACGTATATGAGGCACAAGTTACTGGCAAGGAAACTGGCAAGAAACTGATAATCTAGAGGGAGAAATTGTCTGACAGCATAATAGAAAAAACTTCTTCAAGCAAAAAAGGTGTTATTGGTTTAGAGTTATTTGCCTTTATTGCCAAACACGGTATTTTACAGCTTCGGCAAACACACACACGCTCGTGCTGCTGTGAAGACGGTGCAGCTGCAGGTTTTATGGCCAGGTAAACATACCGTACGCCAATTCAGAGATACAGTATCTATTTTCTGCTTCTTTACACTTAAAACATTGAACTTTCTTAAGATTCATCTGACAACTTCAGTCACTTTGCAGATGATGATTAAAAACAGAAAATATAATCAGCAAATGAACCATGGTACATTATGGTGATTTAAAGTAAGACAGATTCGATTCTTGGAGGTATTTTCACAAACTCAGTAATTAAAAGGAGCTGCACCGTCACCCGAAACACTTGCAGCAGGAAAACAAGCAAACAGGGAAGTTGGTGTAATATTTAATAACCAGCAAATATATGAAAATACACTTCAAAAGGTTGCACGCATTACAATCAGTAACATACATATTTAAATCATTGGTTGGCCTAGTGCATGCTGGGAGGCTTTTCTTTGGGAGTTTTATGGTTTTTGAGCAAACAACACAAGATAATCCAAACATATTTCTGTATTAGTTAAGTGATGTCACAAAAATAGCTTCACAGACCCACATTTAAGTGACTCAATTATAAACTCCCATACGCGGGTGAATCAGACGTCACGGGAAGTTTCCCGAAATAGATGCTGTCTATTTGCCATATTGTTTAAAACTCCCCCGACCGGTTAAATGAGGATCTATTCTCTAGAAGTCAAAGAAGAAACGAGGCTCACCCTTTCTAGCGATAATTATTATGAGCTTATGAGAATAAAACACAAAAAACCTTCTCAACACTTTACAGGTGAGTCAGAGTTTTCTCTCTTTGTCTGGAAAGAAGCACCTGAGAAAAGGAGTTTCATTTGGTTTTATATGCTGCACACCGACGTTGATTCCATTCAACCCACGTCTCTTCTCACGTGCCGACACACAGTGGTGACGTGCGCCCCCTCCAGGACTTTATTGTGAACTGCACTTTATTTTAATGTTAAAATTGAATTTGTTTTTTTCTGAGTAAACGTTGTGCGTTAAACCAGCAGTAATATGTATTATTTGACTCACAGTGAAACATTTAAATGTTATATTTATTACATTACATGTCGTTTAAGCTGACGCCTTCATCCAAAGCGACTGCATTTTTAACTGATGGTTTTAACATTTTTGCCCGGTGAGCAATTCAGGGTTGGGTGTCTCGCTCAGGGACACTTTGACGCAAAGCAGCCAGGGTTCGAACCGCCAACCGTGGGGTTCAAAGCACAGCCTCTGTACGCCACGCGCCACCGCCATGAAACATTAACACCACCTTCAACCTTGATTTAGCCCCTTTTTAAGCCAAAGAAAACAGCACCGTGGACCTTTTGAATGAAACACCTTGATGGAAAACATGGGCAGAAATCGGCATCAATCTCTCAAAATGTACATAAGAAACAACACAAATCTCGTGTTAAAATATATAAATATATATATTGTACAGATTATTATGCATTTCTTCTTTAGAAACAAAGAGCTGACATTTTAAGATCAGCAGGATACAAAAGAATAGTGACAAACAACCTTTTTTTATTGCTTTTTCTCAAAACAACATTAAAAATGGATTTCGAAAAATGCTCATAAAAACAGAACAAATCGCTGGTTCTCACAATCCCGCCTAATCCTGCTTTAACATTGTTGCATGATTAAACACACACACACACACACACACACACACACACACACACAGTGTCCTGAGGACAACCCCAAAGTGTTAAACGGCCTTGAGGGGGATGTTCCAAAAACATTTGGTCGTGTTTTTAAGACGTTAAAAGGCTCCGCTGGAGCTAACTGCTAGCATGGGCGTGCTAACGTGCTCACTGTGACTACTCTAACATGCTGATGTGGGTAAAGCAGGTTCACTGGGTTCATGTTCATGGCGTCACAGACAACTGAACGGTAACGGTGCTTTGCAGGTGTTTGGTCGCGAGTGAAGGTGCAGAGGGAGGAAAAGTCACCCCATCGTGCCCCTTTGAATCACTTCATGGTTGGTAGAAAAATAGTCCAACCCCCGCTTAAATACTTTAAGACTAAAAAAACAGCCCGCTCCTTTTATGGTCGCGTTTCCACCGAGCGGTACGGTACAGGACGGTACCCTTTTATTTGTGTCTCCACTGCCAAAAGTTGAGAATGGTACCAAAAATCCGAATCGTACCGTACCACTTTTTGGGTACCCTTCCGTTGGGGCACCTGGCACAGGTGTTTGGTACTAAAGGGCGGAGCTAGACTCACTGCAGAGCGTTGATTGGTTGAAAGAGTGTCGTCATTTGCGCGCGCCGCAAGGGGAAAGACAACACACGTGTAGCCTTTGCTCAAACAAAGAGTGTCGTCTCCTTGTGACAAACGGCCACATATGGAGAAGCAAGAACAGGATCGGCCGTCTGTCCTCCGTTGTTGTTTGCGGTTAGCTTTCAGTTTTATCGCCTATCAAGTAAGGGTACTGTTGGCGGTGGAAACGCTTTGCCAAATCATGGTTAACAGACCCGACCCGTACCGTGCCGCTCGGTGGAAACGCGCCATTACTGCTCCAAGAGCAGATCGGACAGCACGTTGATGTCCGTCTCGGCCGGGTGGCTCTGCAGCACCAGTGCCACCATGTTGTCCTGACCCGGGAACACCTGGCACAGCTGCTCCCTGAGGGCCGCCGTCTCCTCCGGGCCCCTCTCCGCCAGCCGCCCCTGCAGGAGTCCCGCGTCCCGCCCTTTCCCGCGGCCCCTCCGGCTCCCCCGGTTGCCGCCGCCGCCCGGCACGCGGTCGCGGAGGTTCAGGAGCTCCGTCTGGGAACAACGCACGGGCTCGGAGGAGGGGAACGCCGTGGAGGCGCCGGCAAAAGAGTGGTTCCCTGGTTCCGGAGTCCTGAGAGGAGAGAAAGGAATTCCCTCATCACTGTCTTGACTCGTTGTTACGACTGTGAAACAAGCCGGCGTGCGTCTGTGCGGCCGGTCGTGTGCACCTGTGATCTGAGCGCAGGAAGTCGTCCAGGTGAGGCCCCCCTCGGCCCAGAGGGTCGTCCGGCACCATGAAGTGATCCCCGACAAACGTGTACTGGAGAAGTCTGCGTGGGGGAGAAACCATGACGTCATCCCGCCGCCCTTTGATCCTGGAACACTAAATCTCTATTTTTATCATGGTGAAAAAAATTGCTGGTTAACTGGTAAAAACGGTACTCAAGTACTACAATTTAAAGTTACGTTGAGGAACTTTCAAGTGCTTATGAAACTTTCTCTGTGAAATACTCACGCGTCAATTTGACTTAAAAGAGTTAACGAGGATATCGGCAATTTACTTTTAACTGCAATATTTATTTGAAAGCTTTACAAGCGTTTATAACAAAGATCTTTGCACACACAATATGTGAGAGCGCATGTTTTGTTTTCATAATGAACTGCTTCTGTACTCTACAATATACACAGGTAGCGGTAAATTGATTAGTTAACTCACAGCAGAGTGCTAACTATCCTTAGAATTGTGTTAGTCATTTTTAAATACGTCATGTTTAAAAGAAAGGATGTTCTCTGAATATTTTCAGAAAGCGAAAGCAAAAATAAGGAAAGGAAATTTTGCAGAGCTGAATTCCTACGTTGCTGATCCACACGCTGTCTTCTTATACCTCTTTTTGATGATGTCCCTCCACACGGGGGACTCGTCTGAAAGGTCTCTCAGGTTGTCGTTAGTTACGATCACGCCGTCGGTCTTCTGCGCGTGCTGCAGCATGAATCTGCAGGAATGAGGGAGAGAAGCATTTCAGAGCAGTCAAATCTCGTTCCCCAAACACTTATGGAAAGATTAAAACAACCGATCGGCATATCGATCCTCAGCGAGTTGTGCGTGAAAAGTGCGTTGACTCAAATATACAAAGTATACACAGTAAATGTACTATTGTCTCACAATGCAGTGTGCAAAGGAAATGGAGCAGCTACGGATACAAAATATATAAATAATAAATTGCGGATGCCGGTGAACCTAAAAAACCAAAAGTATATTTGAAGTTTATTTGGCATGTGGCATCATATGGATTTGACCTTTTTTTATTAGGAAGAAATATAAGAATATGGTAGTTTTGAGTTACTTCTGTTCCTACTTTAGCGCTTTTTAGCTCTTTTTTTTAGCTATTTTTTAGCTAAGCTACCATCAGTCAGACGGCAGACTAGCAGATGACGTTCCTGGCTACCTGTCGTCGTACGAGCTGATCATCTTGCCCTGCACCTCTCTGGAGGGGGTGTAGGCGAGCAGGCCCAGCTTCTGCAGCTCCGTCAGATAGTGCTGCTCTGCAAGGTCGGGAAATAACGACGCTGCGTTTAGTCTGCACCGAAACGCCCACACACACACACACAGACGCTCGTAGAAAATTAGATTCGATTTTCATTTTCCAGTTATTTTGTTGTATGTGATTTCATCAAGTTTCTCACTGCGCTCAAAAAAGATGAATCAACGGACCAGTGTCGGCTTTAAAAGACCTTGAGCGCTACCTTTGATCTTGGGGTTGCTCTTCTGCCGCCACTGAGGCACGAGGGCGCTGATGTGTCGATGACCCCGGTCCCAAAAGTGCTGCACGGCCAGAGCGATGCCTCGACAGGAGAAGAAGTGACCCAACCCGTGACTGTTGGAAAAAACAGGGAACAGTTGGACGTACAGATCCACAAACACTCAAACTAAATCTCTCCCCGTCCATCAGAGGACCGACACGTTCTCTTTCCAGCCTTTCTGACCTCATGGCCACGTTGCTCCCGTCGATGATGATCGCCCTCACGTTCGGGTCTCCCGTCTGGTCCGTGAGCTGGAGGTCGAAGGGCGTCAGCAGGCCTTCCAGAAAGCGCTGCTCCCCCGTCACCACCACCGAAGAGGCGGCCGTGAAGCCCCGCCTGTCTCTCGCTCCGGAGGGCGGCGGGTCGTTCCTGGGGGAGAGGTGGGGTTGCGGCACTTGGGCCGCCTTGTGTTTGGGGTGTGGGTCCTGGTCGTAGGTCGGATCCATGTGTTTCGGGGGGGATGCGTCAAGCCGGGGGGTGGCCTGGCCATGTCGTTTGGTGGTTTGGATGAAGTCGAGTGCGGGGTGGCGGCGCGAGGGGTAAGTGGGCATGGGCGGCCCTTTGACCTCAGCCGGGGCGACTCGGTGTGGGGTCTGTGGGGTCTGTGGGTCCGCACGCCTCTTATCATTCAATTTGCTCTCTTCTGCCGGTATCAAAAGCTCGGCTTCTCTCGCCCTCCCTCCAGAAGATCTAACTTTGTCCGGCGACACGTCGTCCATCTCCCTCGGCCCCTCCCGGAGGGCCTCCTTCTCTTTGCTCACCTCTCTCTGCAGCTCCAGGAGCAGCTGGCGAGTGGATCCGTCGGGCAACATGTTGTACACTTTGGCCACTTTCTGCTCCATGTACCCGCAGCTGGCCGCCGCTTTCTTCACCACTCCCAGGACGAAGTCCTCCTCGGGTGAGTCCCCCCTTTCCCCGGCGACACCGCGCTTCGCCCCGGAGTGTCCGCCGTCTCCCGGCGCTCCCTCCAGCGACTCGTCCCCCGCCACCTCCATCGCTTCCTCCTCCCTGTGCTCCGTCTCGCAGGGTCGGTTCCTCTCGTCCCGGCTTTCCTCCGCCTGCTGGCGGTCGCTGCGGTCCTGCTCCTGCTGAACCACGTCCAGTATCTGCGAGGCCTCTTTGGGGCCCGTGCGGGCGAGGACCCGTTTCACCACGTCCTCCGTGTACCCCATGGCGGTGAAGAACTTCAAAAGGAGCCAAAACTCCTTGTTTCCCGATGACATCTGCAGATCTCGTTCCTCCTCCTCCTTCGTCTTGGTGTTTAACTGCGGCGGCGCTGCTCGCACGTCCGGAGGAGAGCGCGCGGCTCCTCCCTCGGCGCCCTCTGCCCCCCCTCGGTTGTCGGCGAACTCGCACCGGAATGAGGGGTCCCCGGTTGCAGAGTCTTTCCCCAAACCTGCGGGCAAACCTTCAGAAGTCCTCGAAGGCTCGGGAAGCGCGCACCTACCGGCGAAAGGTTTGCCCGTTCGCACGTCCTCCGAGTCCTCGCGGCGTAGCGCATTTCTGTCCGTCAGAGGCCGGGCGGGGCTCAATCCGAGCCCGGATTCTCTCACCAAACCCAGCAGGACTTCCTTCACCGACCCCGGCAGCGCCAGAAGATCCAGGAAGTGCTTGTCCTCCCATTTCTCCACCAGGTCTTTGAAGGCCCGGCGCGAATCCAGGGACTCGCCGGGGCCCGCGTGCCCGGACTGCGCGCCCTCGTACCGCTCCACCAGGTCCGTTATCAGGGAGTAGGCTCGCACCACCGGCTCCTCCAGACCGGATATGAGCAGGAAGCCCGCGGAGTCCACCTGGTTTGGCGAGAGGGAAGCACAATGACATTGATACTAATGAAAGCAAAATAAAAAATGTAAATGGGTTAATTTATTGTTGTCGCTATCCATGTCCCAATAATGATCAATATATATATATATATATACCAGGGTATATTGTATTAAATAATATCAATAATACTGCGAATGACATAAGACATGGTAAAGTTTTGTATACTCTTGTGTGAATAAAATACTTCAAAATGAAAAGTACACAGAACTTGGGTTAAAATGCTAATGATTTGTGAATATTTCCAGCTACACTGTTGCATCACGTTGAAAGGCCTCAACAAATACCCAGCATGCAACACTCACCACTATATGTGCCGAGGTGTTTTTTGTCAGGCCGTCCACGAACAGCCCTCGGGCCCCACAGAAGATGCAGTGAAGGACCTCGGGGTAAGAAACCTCCTTCTGCTGCTCCTGGTTCACGAGGCCTTTCACAAACAACTGCAAGACCATCGAGTTTAGCTTTACGTTTCAATCAAGCGATGTTGTGACACGGACCACAGATCATTTATGACGGGAGATGCCCGGTTTGAAAACTCGCCTCAGCTTTATGAAGCGCAGGCTCAACCTGTTTCAACGCTCATTGTCCTCCTGCTTCTCAGAACTTCCTGCATTTCAGTGAAACTATTCGCAAGCAGACTTATGCTAATACGCTACCATGTGACCTTTAGAGGAAAGACGCAGCCGACACCCCGTGCAGGTTTCAGTCTTGTCTCTGAATCTTTAACGTACTCCCTGTAAAATATGAATACATCAAATGTCGGCTTGGCCAAACGCAGATGTGTTAGTGAGAAAAGAGGACGCACACAAGCAAGAACTCCCTTCTTGTTTTCAGTCACCGTCTTCCAATTCATGACAACATTTAAAAAACCCTCTATGAGTCAATAAAAACTTTCCAAATGGAGGGTTAAACTGACTAATTGGCGACAAAACGACAAAAGGCCGCGCGTCGGAGAAGTCCCGCCTTACTTTGGCGGCTCTCACGTCGCCGCTCGGCCCTCGCAGCTTCAGCCATATCTGCCCGCCGTCGCCGTGGGAGCCGCCGCCGTCCGCCCCGAGGCCGAAGGTCACGCCGAATAGCCGCTCCACGGTGCCGTGGAGGGAGGCCAGGGGCCCCCGCAGCACGTCGGCGCACGCAAACTCGTCCTCCACCGGCGGCTCCCCTCCGCCCGCGCCGCTTCGCTCGCCCTCCATCCCCGGTTCTCAAAGTCGCCGTCAGATGTCAGACATACTGTGGGAGGGGAGACGGGGGAGGGAGGGGGGAGGGAGGGGGTATATTTAGGTGCGTTGCTTCTTCAATCACAGATAGGACAGTGTCATCACTCTAAAAGCGATACAATTGTGTTGCTTTTCAATGCAGCTTTAACTGGAGGCGATGAAGAAAACTGCATGTCCCAAGATGCACTGCTTTTATAAAAGACCCATAGAGACAGAGCCCAAGAAATAATTAAAAAAGGAGGCAAAGAAAAAGTTATTTTATGTCATTTGTTGTTACTGTATTTAATTCATTAGAATAAGGCTCGTTAGTTGGAAACTGACAACAAACAACAGGTTTATTCTAAAACAGTAACAATCTTCTTCCAACCAAAGTAGTGGAGTAACAACACCTTAAATACAAAGTAGTGAAGTGGAGTAAATGTACCTCTCCACCACACCTTCACACTGCACACCTTCGACCTCCAGCCGTGTAAACAAGGCTCTCCCTGTCTACATGTCCAGCTGGCGTTGACTGTCGCTGCCTTTCGCTTCTGCTGAGGGCGAACAAACGGTATAAATGAGCGCACGACGCGGCCCGGCGCCAGATAGTTGCGCCAGATCAGCGCGTAAAGAGGACGAGCGGTGAGGACACAGCGGGCGGCTTTTACGGTTCAATACGACAACGGAAGACGGGAGTTTGGGTTCGTTCTCTTACGTGGGGTCGATCGCTCCTCCGAAGTCTCGGTTCCTGCGGCTCCGTCCGCCGCACTCATTAAAACGACAACAACAACAACAACAACCACAATAACAACAACCACATGCAGCCGATCCGATCAAAGTTCAGCCGCCGAGTGCGCAACGCACACAGCGAGACGGAGAGAGAGAGAGAGAGACACAGAGAGAGAGAGAGAGAGAGAGAGAGATGGCGGAGGAGGAAGCTGGAAACCGAAACTAAACGAAACGAAGGAGATAAGCGGCTCATTTCCGGAGCCCGGCGGGCGATTCTGTCCGGATGTTTTGTGTCCATTTAACACCAAAATGACGTCACTTTAATCATTAAAAATGTATCCGCATTTTCACACGGAGGACCGCGCGCTGTCCGTTCACATGATGTTTTCACTTTGTTCCAACCAGAGTGGTTGTTATGACAGAGGACACGCGACAGAAGGGAACATTTAAAGCGTGTAGTTTCGGATGTGGCTTGTGTTGATTTGTGGGTCGAACAGGAGGTGAAGGGGATTTCCAATGACGTCACAGCCGGGGTTTTTCTGAATGTGTGTGTGTGTGTTCTTCCTCTCTTCTGACTTTTAACACGTCTCTGTTAAATGCAGAGAAAGAGGAATTGGGGACTTTTATATGTTTACAGGGTTATTTGGTGCAGTTTCACACACAGGAAGAGTTATGTTTCCTCCTGCACATCCTGCCTCAGCCTGCCGGGGCACACCGGGTAGACTGGGTTCCAAGTATGCCATTAAACGGATGTGTGTCTGTGTCAACGTGTGCTCAGTTGTGTAAGTGCCCAGATCTGTGCAGGAAGACATTCTCTGCTGCATGTATTCAAAGTGTTACTCCAGTTAGAGCCATGATTATAATCCAAGGTTATATTTTGTTTTAATAACCTGAATCTGCAAAGTAACCATAAAGGAAACGGGCAAAGTTTCCCTCTGAACCGTGGACTTTGACCTTAATGCCGCACGTGGCCCAATCCGAACCAAGATGCTGACTTTGCACAAGGGAATTACCCACAATTAACTGCAATGTCACGTTAAACAGACAGCATGGATACTCACAAAAACAATGAGTCACGGGGGTTCAGGGGAGACTTTGAGACTGGGCCAATCTTGTGTCATAGTGCATTATGTAAGCCGGTGTTTCCCAAACTTTTTCTCTCAGGGCGAGTGTGGGTTTTATTTCTTTTTTTAGGGCGGGTGTATGAAGTCAAGACCCCTCTGGGAGTCAGAACCTTCCAGTTTGGAACTACTGATGTAAGCCATGCTAGGTGTAATCATCAATGATTTAAAGAAGCCTCACCTATTTCCTGTAAATCCTTTAGCAGACTCTTCCCTCTGCTGGTGAAACTCAAAATAGCATTATAAGATTTTTGGGGATCTTTTTCTTTTGGTCTAAACTTTAGTACAATGTCCATAGAAATCTTTTTTTTGGGATGGACATAAAAAGTATGTTTAAAAAAGAAAGAATGTTGCGGTTAAGAGGCTGTTTTATTTCCAACAATGCGGAAAATTTGTGCCTTCAAAAACAGAGTCAAGCACGTTATTCTGCAGTGCGCCTGTATTAGGCATTACGGTAAGTGCATAGGAACTGACTTCAAGATAAGAGCCTAGTTTCACCATCAAGAAATGTGACTGAATGAATGACAAATTATACATAACAATGATTATTATGATTGGAAAATATAACAATTAAGGTTGGGATCGACGGCAGACCCCTTCCGAGAATTTCAGAAAATTCGTTATTATACAGTGAAAAGAAAGAGTGAGATTCTGAAGGGCTTTTATTTTGAAAACGTTGTGAAAACCTCCAGCAAAGCGGTATAGAGCTACATAAAACTGAATCCCTATGTGGAGACACCTAGGAGTGTTTGTTGAGCTGTTTGAAAGCAGAAGTAAAAAGGAAAACTAGTTTCACTTCTGCTTCCGTGAAGCTGCCAGTACAAAGTCACCGAATGAGTGCCAGGGAGTTTACACTGGCTGAAGGATGAGGAAGAAGAGTTTATCTCAAAGGGTGAGTGATTTCCCCCTTTTAAAAAAAAACATCGTGATGAACTAATTATTGTTGAGTTTATCTCAAAGGGTGAGTGATTTCCCCCATTTAAAACCCCCCATCGTGATGAACTATTTATTGTCTTAAGTATCTGTTGGTAAAGGAAATGTGTCGGACTTGGATTTTACGAAGTTACGGAAATCCAAAGTAAAATTTCGACGTTCAAGTCAAAAGTGTTCTCATTATTCTGTCCAACAAATCCATGTGCCCTTGTGTGACATGAAGCCGTGGTTCATTAAAAGGAAGGAAACAAAAGAAAGAAAAGGAAAAGATACTCTGTGTTTTAGGTAATGTATTACTTGATTAAACACGAAACACCCAAACAACCACCATAAGAGGGCACCATATATTTCTTTTGTGCTAAAGCAGGGATTCCCAAAGTGTGGTGCGGGGACTCCGGGGGGGTCCGCGAGCAGCCTCTAGGGGTTGAGCGAGAGGAAGAATGTAATGGCGGTCTCTGTAATGATTAATATTAAATATATATATTTTTTTATCAAGTGGGTTTTTATCCGTTTCTGAGAGTATACATGTGCCTACATTATTTCTTTACGTGGTTCACTGTGTTACACAATTTGAAATTCCCCTACCTCTGACGATCAGTCGTGACGTGTAACTTTACATTTTTTATTTTGAATAATGTAACCGGGCTGTGCATGGGTTAATTGTAAATGAAATGTGATGCAATCTGCCACTGAGCCTGAGCCTGAGCCCCAGCCATCGGTATTGCTGTTTAAAAATGACGTAACTGGAATTTATTGAAACGTTGTTGCAGTGTTTCAAGGCATTTTCCCACCTGTAGTTTGTTCCTATTGGGGATTAATATGGTACAATGTTGCAGCTGCCCCTTTGTTTGGTTTCTGTTCACACTGCAGGATTCAACAGCCATTTAAACATTGTAAACCAACACCACGCACAAGCAAACAGTTTTCTCATTGGTCCTATTTTATTGCAGCTATAAATAGGCTGTGTGTTTCTTTCTTCCTTTATTGCGGATTGGAACGAGGTTGGGATGTGGGGGGCCCCAAAGCGACTCTGCGTCCTTGAACTTCTTCTTAATAACACCCCGGTGCAGTGTTGATGGTGCAGATACCTGTTTTTATTTTATTTTTATCAGCGCTATTATTTTCCTCCTCCTCCTCCAGTGAAGTATGTCCAGCTGTCAGTTCCCCATGTCGGTCAGCGACTCCAGCCTGGAGGCCTGGACGGCGATCGCCTCCGGGGGTTTCGGACAAGTATTCAAAGCCAGGCATCGAGGGTGGTGCTGCGACGTGGCCGTCAAGCTGCTTCACCACGATGACCGGTGAGTCGCTTAACCGAAACAGCCTTCCTGCTTCAGGTCTCGACTTACCCATGTTGCAAACGCACACAGGAACAGCGAGTCGGCGCTGCTGAAGGAGATCGACATGGCGCGCCAAGGGAGCAGCCCGCACGTGGTCCTGGTCCGAGGGGTCTTCAAGGGCCGGCCGCCCGGCGTGGGCTCTACGCGGCTGGGCCTGGTCATGGAGTTCATGGAGAGAGGATCCCTGGCCTCCCTGCAGGTAGCCACGCGCGGAGGAGGGGGAAATACATATTTTGTAGTGAAACGCGTAGCTCAGCACCATCGCCCGCTATGCGTGTAGATCCGTAACTATGGAAACAATCTTACAGCACAGCTTAAACGAAGCCCCGCCCTGGCCGCTGGTCTGCAGACTGGCTCACCAAGTGGGCCTGGGCATCAACTTCCTGCACAGCCTGTCGCCTGCTCTGCTGCACATGGACCTGAAGCCCAGCAACGTGCTGCTGGACTGCTCTCTCAACGCCAAGGTGAGTCCGAAACCTCCGCTTTCTTTTTTTGGGACTAACCATACCGCTTTTTCCATTCCTTTTCCATTAGGACCATGTAAATAATTGTCAGGTATCAGAATAGTTCATTTACTCGGTCAATTTGGTTGGGTTCTTTTATTGATCACGAAACACATTTCAGAAGCACTTTTAAACACAAATCTTAATTTGTAAAGAGACTAAATTGCCCATCAACCCTCCTTTTGGTCATTTTCTCTTCAGCTCACAGATTTCGGCCTTGCGCGGCTTCACTGCAGCGTCTCGTGCTCTTCAAAGAAGACGAGTGATGAGGAAGGTGGGACGATCCGGTACATGCCGCCGGAGGCTTTCGACCTGTTGTACAAACCGGACAAAGCCTCCGACATCTACAGGTACAAGGACCGGTTGAACGCGTTTTAATACTCGTATAAGAACCAACTATGGCACATGGTTTCAGCTTCACAGGCCCCAGGATGTGACACTCTGCTTCTTTCTTTCAGTTATGGTATCCTCTTGTGGTCCATTGTCACAGGGAAACCACCATATGGACGTAAGTGACTACTTCACTCTTTCTTCACTCATTCTTTCAGCTCTGTTTTGGTCTCCACCAGATCCTTGATTTTAAAAGAGTAAATCCGCGAGTTGTAAAATCAAAACATCTGGTGAAAAGATGGCAAAAGTCTCCTGAGATACACTCCACCCTTCCTCCGCTGCAGGAGCTCAGTCCAGCCTGGTGCAGTATCGCATCCCAAAGGGGGACCGTCCATCGGTGCCCGAGTTCATGCTCCGGGCCGACGGGTGTGCCGGGTTTGCCGAACTGAGGCGGCTCATGGAGAGATGCTGGGACCAGGCACCCGGAAAAAGACCCTGCGCCCTCGGTGAGAAAGCTCTCGAGTCGACTAAGGGAAATAACACTTCCAACAAGTTGTGTAACTGTTGCGTCTTTTGCCCACAGAGTGCGCAATCGAGGCAGAAAAACTGCACAAGATGCACAAAGAGGACATCAACGACGTCGTCCACGCCGTGCAGAGGATACTGGTGAGGGAGAATCTTATCATGACGGTGCTGCCGAGGTTCGGTTAAATCGTGACATCACGTAGGTCTTTGTCTTCCTCTCTGCAGGACAAAGAAAAGGACGCCCAAAGAATGCTGAAGCAGTTTGAGGGGATTCACGTCTCTCCGTTTTTAGGTCTGCTTTTATTTCATGTTTTCTTCAACACAGCAATTCCCTTTCTTGATAAATGGATATTAAACTTTGGTCGTTTGCATTTGATATATACAAAAAGCAGGCTAGCGGGCCCCTTGCACCTTCTTTGCTTATTAATAAGGCTAGCATTTCTCCCGTGTCCGGTCGCTAAGCTACGCTAAAAAGTGCTGTTGCGAAAACAACAAAAATGTGATTTCAACGGTAATTTGTTTGTCTTGGCAGGAAGCGGGCGTTGGGAACCAGAGAGTCACGTTACCGTGCCAACGGGTCGCACACCAATCCAGGTTAGGGTCGGACAAATCACACCGGGTGTCTTGCTCAGGGGCACTTCGACATAAAACCCTCTCCACCCCATGCGCCACGGTCGCCATGGAGAGACTATTAATATTAACATGCCTCACTTACTGCTATGCTATGCTATGCTATGCTATGCTAGTTGGCTGCTGGCATCAGCTTTATAGGACACAAACAAATGTGAGTAGGATCGATCTTCTCATACACAATCCCAGCTTAGCAAACAAAGTACACTAAAATGTGCCATCCTGGTTGCAAATTTTGTTCTTTATCAAACACACGGTTTACTTTAATTGTGAGAAAGCAGGTCGAATGATTCAATAATTCATTTAAAATGGGGGGAACTTGTTTTGTTTCTTTTGTCTCATTGTGGAGAACAAACTGCTGACCAGTTATTTTTGATTTGATTTCTTTATTGGGATTACAGTGCAACTTTTTTACTGTACTGTTGTTGCAGGAAATGGATGGCAGTAGGACAGCAGATCAGAAAGACATTGCGCGAGTCGAAGGTAAAAAAGGAAGTTGGTGTTGAAACCACTGTTTTTAGATCCCAAGTCAAACAGAAACACAAATCAAGTATCGTAGCTTGTCTTCCCTTTTCAGATCCGCCTTCATCTCGGCATCTGGGCGACGACGTGAGCCGGCGGCCGACGGACGATAAAGTGAAAAAGTCCTCCGTTTGCCCCATTCGATCCCCCCCGTCGTCTCCTTCCGCTCGGCGGCCCGCTGGGGGAGGAACGGAAAAGGCCCCCCAGCAGGGTTCGAAGCAAGAGCGGCCTTCGAAGTGTCAAGTGGGTGTTTCCCTCCACACCGCATTGAAGACATCATATCATTTCTAAGGAGCATATTTATTTTCTCGCCTTTTCTTTTTACTTTTCTCATCCGCAGCGGCAGAATTCCAGCCCCGCCCCTCAGCGCGTCATGGAGATCCGCCTCAGCGACGTGGTGGGATTACAGTACGGCGACAACAACAGCATGAGCATCCAAACCGTTCTCCCCCGAGAGAGGAGACGGCACCCGACGGCCCCGCCGGGGGTCAACCACCCATCGCAGCGCCGAGGGAGCCGGAAGGACACGACGGGAGGACCGCCGCCACCTTGAGTTCTCTAATTCCACGAAACAGCCCTCTACACTTCATACATACTTTCTTCTTTTTTTGTTGCTTTTCAAATGTAGAAAGTCCATGTGAAACGTCATTTTAAATACTTTTTTTTTTTAATTTAAAAAAAACCCAAAACTAAATAATAGTAAATAATTTGTATTGTATTATTTGTAATATAGATTAAGGCCTGTCTTAATGCATTCATTTGTTTTTTTTTTATTACTATGCGTCTCTTTTAAGAAAACCGTTCCGACCCTAAGAACTTCCTGATGCATTTTGCATTTACCTTTTTTACAGATAAAATAAAAAATGCAGGCGTGTACGATCCAGCATGTTGTTTCCGTTGCTGTAACGGCGCTGCCATGAAATGTCAGCTTCTTGAAAACTTTGAATTGCTTCATCCTAAAGGTACATTACAAAAAATATGAAGAACCTGGAGATTGTATATGTTAAAAAAACATAGTTTACTTAGATTTAGATTTCTGAAAACCTCAGGTGTGTTTTTTCATGTTCCTTTACAACTTCACTTTTGTTTTAATCAATAAATGCTTATTTTATTAAGTTATTTTAAAGGAAAGTATTCTCTGATTTCAGCTTCTCAGACTTGAGGTTGAAACCAGCGGTCAAACAAACCACTCAATTCTTTGACTGTTTTCTTCTTTTTTAATAAATATATTTGAATAATAAGTGTCTGGCCTTTTAATGAAATTAAATGTGTAATCATTGTGAATTAATTGAAGGAATTTAATTCCCTGATCGTGATTTCATTTTGGTGCAGCGTTTTGGTGGTAATCTCCATTTAGAGCCTCCAGGTGGCGCTCTTTGTTCATCTGTTCCGCCCGCTCTTTCGATCCAGTCCAGATAAAACACTGCCGTTGATGCTGGAAACGCTTGATACATATTTCAAATGATAGCTTTTGAACCACAGTCACAGGAGTGCTAACACAGGCCTCCGCTGTGCACCGGGGCTTTGACACGCATCGGTTGGGATGGTCCGGTGTGACCTCCAGCTGGGTTCTGGCACCGGATCCCTTCCTTTACTGCCGATCCTCCATCTGCCTCCTGGTCCCCCGCGGAGAGACACGCACACTCGCAGAGTGTCACCGCCGTGACAAAACACACCAAAGACTGTACGTTTGCAAAGGGTTTCACAACAAACCTGCAGATGTGATGGTTAAGTGACATAAAGGACAATGAATGTGCAGTGTGGGAGTGTTTAGGCTCAAAGTCTTGTGGTGTTTCCCCTCGATTACCCTGAATACACCTTTAGAACACAACACAGGGATCAGTACTATTTTTAGAGCATCCGTCTGTCTGCAGCAGTGATTTATGGAGCATATGTGTTTCGGTGGGTGAGGATGTCCTTGATAATCAAGTTAATGAACAATATGGTCAATTGCAGGCTTTGAATAAAATAAGGTGGGTTGGTAATAGCTAAGCTAAGGTCGCTTTTTGTTTGCACAGGACTATTTACCGCAGGTTGGCTCCCCCTTTGTGGTAGTAGAACAATTGTGCAAGATTAAATGCAGCATGATATTAATAGCAATTTTTAAATGAATTTTATAGCAACAATGTACAGCTAACTATTCTAAATAGTCATAATAATGTAACTGAATTATTAATGAAAAAATTGTTTAAAACTTAAAATGCAATGCTAAAATAAATATTTCAACTTTTATTCTCAATTCAGCAATAGATGGATAGATTACAATACGTTCAATTTCTTCATTCTGTCATTTTATTTGTTATTTTGCATTACAACTCATAGCAATGTATCTTTCCTCACTAAACATTTGTAATTCCTTATGTATTAAACATACAATCCAGTGCCAATTTTCTGTGCACCGCCAACACCAGCTGCTAACAAATCTAATTCAGTGACATTTAAATGGTGCCTATGGTTTTAATAAATAAATATAAGTTTGGCCATAGTTAACCAGCCACCCCCATAGAAACATTGTTCTTTTTTTTGTTAATGGAAATAGTTTTAACAAGTTAAATGGGCAGATAAGTTAGAGATGTTAGACACAATACCTTAATTAAAAACACTTAAGCTTATTGTCACTTCATTTCATGCATTGAAAGAAAATCACAAACCCCAAGCATTGACGACTCAGGCACAGGACACAAAAACTGCAATGAAGAAGAACATACAATCATGATTATTGTCTTTAGAGAGAACTCCCTCACTCGATCAACGCCTCCGATTGCGACGAGAACGCCGTCCCACCTCGACGCTGGCCTACAAGGGGAACACCAGAAACCCGGAGAAAGTGGAGTACTTCCAGCCGCCCCTCAGGTTCCCCCTCTCCAGTTTGAGGGAAGCCTTGTCCCCCCTCTCCATCGTCACCAGCCCCGCATTGGTGGCGGCCTCTCTGGTGACGTCCTGGTCGCCGGCGAAGGCGGAAATCACCGGCCAGCCGTTGAGAACCAAACTGGCCTGTGAGAAGACGGGGGAGGAGATGCAGCACGATAGATCATCGATCTATATCTACATATGTTTTTTTTACAATTCTTGGTCTTCTTGTAGCTTCAGTATCAGCATGCTTATCAACAATGTTGGGACTCCCCTTTCAGCGGGTATTCCTTACTTGTATTGTCTGCCGGTTGTAAACTTTGACAACGTGAAAGCTGAAACTGTAGACTCCTTTTCTGGGGGCCACGAAGATACTCCTCGCCGGATCAAAATGGCCGCCAACGTTTACGAGGATCTAAGAAGAAAAAAAAAAGATTTGTAATATTTGATGCCTCATTTGTTTTTTTCAGTTCAGCTTCAAGTAATTGGCAGGAACACAGCAGAAGTTAGGAGGTCACTAGACAGACCCGCGGATCAGTATTTGTCTGGTTTGTGCAGCAGTTAATTAAATTGTTCTAGGTCACAGCTCCCAGACGCTGCTAACAATGACTCAGTCAACACGGTATCGTAATTGTACTAATACTTTCAGGCCAACAAAAGTAAACAATGATTAAGATGTCACATATGCAGTGACGTCTTTGTGTGATGTATGTAGATAACTTTGTCTCAGTGGCCCCTGACTAATGCGGGTGAATTTATTTATCCGCAATAACACAATGTACCTTTCCCAATCTCTGCCAGTGAATCACAACCATTAACAGTAATTCATTGTGTTGAGTGACAGCATTGAGAAGGTGTCACACTTTTAACCACATCATAGTTTATTTTCATCTTAACTGCATGTTATCTAACTATACTGTCATTTCGTATCACCGCACATCATCCACTCATTACCCTCACCTGGTTCTCCTTGCCCTCCTCACCTATCTGTCCTGACACGTAAAGAGTACCACTCAAATATATATATACATACTTCCAAAAACCCTTCACAATGTGGTTGGACCATTAGTTTGTGTTGTGCCTGGAAATCTTGACAGTCCAATTCAAGGCGGAGCCAACAAGGGTTCATGACAACACCTGCCTTGTTTAACAAGCGTCTACGTAGAGAACTTTATTTCACTCATTTCACCCACCTGGTCAAAGTAGATGGTCATGGTGCGGTTGCTCATCTCCGAGGGTTCGTGGTTGGTGTTTCGGATGGCCGAAAAGGCCACCCGACCGCTTCCTGACCTCACCGACATGCCTAGGGCGTTACCTGACGGCTCCGCGGAGGGGGTGGAGTCGCACACCACCAGACACTTTCCCTCCAACACGATTGGCTCCGTGTCATTCTGGCAACTGACCTCTGAGGCCCCCCAAATTACCAGAAGAAGAAGTCCGGCAATAAAGACTGAGCGAGGACCGAGGCAGGGCCGAGACGGAGGGGATGGACGGCGCATTGCTTCCGAACGATGAGTGAGTTTTTGGTCTTTCTGTGGGGGGGGGGGGGTGACAACGGGACCACCACCTATTGGCGAGGACGTGTCTTTCTTGATGAACACTTTACTTAAGCATCACGAGGGTGTCTTCACCTAGAAAGGACCCTTCAACCAAGGACTTCCCACATCTCGAGGGACCTTTAATGGTTCAGGTAGTCCTTTGTTAACAGTGGTGGGAGATTATCTGACTAAGTTGGCACCAGGATGGCGGCTTCGTATAACAGCAGACCGAAAGTCCCTCTAAGCACAGTTCATCCAGCTTCTCACACCTCAGCAGAAATGTCCATTCGCCAAACAAAGCCTGTCAAGGCTTCAGGCCTGTTGGAAGAGGCAGATCACAGGAAACTACTGCATCACAGTGACAGAAATGGAAACTGATGACTTTATGTATCTTGGCACTAAGAGAAATTAATTTGTGATGAGATTCATTACATTCTATCAAAGTTGAATGTTTTTTCCTATTGAAACCTTGTGGGGCTATTTCTCTAGTCCATAAATCAGAACAAAAACCGTCTGGATTTTGCTGGAGAGGAAAACAAGTGGAAGCAGAAGTGATGAGGTAACGGTTTGGCCAGGAAGAGGGCGTGAAGGTGCCAGCTGGGCTCAGGAGGGGGGGGCCTGGACTACTGTGGACTATCACAGTCCACCACCAAGAGGCCATCTGCTGGTAAACACGCCAACTCTTTCCCCCCTCCAACTTTCCAATTAAATCCCTGTCTCTGCACTGTCTCTGTCTGATTCCTTTACACGAATACACGTTATGAATACAAATACTACAAAGCCAGCTCATGCGTTAAGGAGGTGGCACATTTGTTGATCAGTAAATTACCATGACCACACAGAAGATGACTCTTCATCCACGTTATCTTCATAATAAATTCAGTTAAAAATAAAGAGGAAGTTTTAAAGAAATAGACAAATCACCCATAACAAGTGCCTCAACAGCCCAAACAACAGCAGACCATAATAGCATTTTCACAAAATCAACCATTGCAAAATAAATAAAGATAGTATGGTTTGTTAGAAGAATATTGACAAAAGAACACCCACCTGTCCCTTTCCAAATGTTCAATCTGCAGCGACAGCAACCGGCTTCCTCCAGCTAAGTTAGACCATCCCGAGAGTCCCGCTCAGCTTTTCCCCATCACTCACTCCCTCCCTGTTTCTCTCTCTCTCTCTCTCTCTGGTGCAGGAAGCCCTTGTGTTTGAGCAGATGTTTGATCACATCACAAGCATCCTGCCTTCTGTTTTCACAGTGCCTCGACCCCCGACTTGTCCTCCTCCCTCCGCCTCCAGCTCCTTCACCTCGGATATGTCACGGAAAAAAAACGGGTTGAAAAAACAAAGCTCTTCCTATGAAAACGATTCATCTTTGTTGTTTAGCAAAAGTTAACATGCAACAAAATCGGATCTATTATGCGTTATCTGTTTGTAGCAACTAGAAGCAAAAGGAAGACGAGTCAGGCACAAATATCCGGTTTGGAAGAAATAAGAATAATTATGAAGCTCAATGCAGGAAAATTTATTTTTAAATTAAACTTAAATGCCCCACTCAAAAGACTCAGGTCACTATTTTTTCTTCTTGATTGGCCTCTGCTGCTCAGTAGAATATATTTCCAGCAGTGGCAGCTTGCCAATAGAGAGCAACAATTGTCAATATTTGTGTTTTTGAAATATGGAATGTACCCAGTAATGTGTTTAAAATACCATATCAGCTCAAAATGTCTGCTTTTCCTGCACATCCTTGGCCGTCATACGCATTCTAGCTGCAGAGAAGGCGGGTCTAAAAGCACTTGAGCCAATTGCAGATTAAATATAAAATGTTCTTTAAAACAAGCTGGCATTCACTTCCTTCTCACTAGCAAAAAAGAAGTAGGTCAGCTTGTTCAGATGACTTGTTAAATCACAACATGTGCAGAGTAACACAAAAATATTGGGCTGATCAGCCACAAACTGTACAGACAATGACTCATTAAAATTGCGTCTAATAATAATGTGGTAACTCGTTGGAAAGTAGGATTAGTGCTAAGGTAGAAGCATTCATCTTTATACCAGGGACAACTGGATGTCAATATTTTGTATTTTTGCTAAATATCTTTTTGGTAGTCAATATCTGGTACTTCCTAGAGCAAATTATTTATCGCGAGTGTTGAAATGACATTTTTACAGTTAAGATTATTCTGGTTCTTTTTTTATTTTTCATAAAAAAAATTCACAATTCAAAAAATAAATAAAGGCATATAAAAAAATACATACTGTCAAAAATCACATTCATGCAAAAAAATCAAATACATTAAATTAAAGACAAAATAAATTTCCCTAAAATGGGAACTTTACAAAATGACAAGTCACACAGGCGACTCAGTTGACACTTTCTTCCACAGGACAGATGATCAACGGGGCGATGTTCTTCCCCTCGTCTGGAACACAGGGGTTGAAGTACGGGTTGAGGGGCTCGTTAAAGTCACACCCGCTGTAGGTGTAAATGTGGGTCTTTGCCTCTGCGTCGTAGAAGGACACCAAGCCTTCGTCGTAGTCCAGGAACACGCCCACTTTCTGGGGCGTTTCTTTGAGGCAGAGCTTGACGGAGGGGCCGGCGCAGGCATTGAGGCCGGCGCCTTTCCGCCGGCAGATGGCCCAGTATCCGCTGTCGGGACGCACCGCAATGGCTCCCTTCCTGTTGATGGACTCCCGGGCCACGCCGAGGTCCCAGTCTGTTTTGTTTCCAACCTGAAACAAACATAAGACGTACATTGTGAGTCACTGTAGGCTGATGGTGTTTGAATATACTACATGTTGAACTTGTAAGAACCGCAGGGTGCGTTATATTAGTTATACATTCAATTTAATTTGTTAAAGTGCACTGCTATGGCCCAAAGCGTGTTTCCTGTTTCTGAGCTCCTTACCTGAACAACCCAGTAGCGCCTTCCGGTAGCAAAGCTTTGTTTCCCCGAAACACAAACGCAGGAGTTAAACCGCCGAGGACTGTCCAGGACTAAATTATTCTTCTGGCTGCCGACGGCCACCTGTGGATCAAAATCATCAACGTTACTTTTACTGTCTTCATCATATCAGACGTTTGCCTAATTCCTACAATTGCTAACAAACTTTATTACTTTCTACTTTGAAATCTGCATGTCATGTTTTAGAGGAGAAGCACAATAATTAGTAAAGTTTTATCAAACTATACCTTCTTTCTGTCCGGAGACAGGACGAGCCAACCTGAAGCAGTCTCAGGGTCCAGAGTGACATCGACTGCAGAAAACAAAGAAGAAAAACCGTGAGCCACGTCATAAGAAGAGGAACTAATCAAGATCAAAGTAGCTTATTGAAATAAGCAGTAGACGTGTGGCTGTGAGCATACCTGCGTATTGATTCAGCCTGTCTACTTCTGCAAAAAGAGAAAAGAAAAAGTTGATTTTCATGCACTGGTCATTACAACATTCTTTGGCAGTTAAAGAGGAGATCATGTTTTTTTCTAAAAGACTACTGACCATCTTCAGACAGTTTGTCCGATAGATCCTGGCAGACGGCGATGAGCTCGGAGAAGGCTCTGGTCACCGCCCCCATGCAGTGATCAGAGTAGACCGCCACCTCGGACCACTCTCTGGTGGATGGGAGTGGACTTTGAGATGGGAAACTCTAAAATGGGGGGAAAACGGTTTGTCATGATTACGGTTGTTGAGACGTTGACTCTGCAAAGAGACGAGGACCTTCATGTATCTAACCTGCAGGAGGTGAACCGGGCTCTGACTTTGCTCCAGCTGCACCAGCTCGATGCCCCTCGCCTGAAGCTCTCTGATTTCTTGCTGCAGCTCCTGCAACAGCTCCGCGGCTCTCCTCTCGGCCTCTTGATGCTTCTGCTCCAGCTCTTCCACAAGCCTGGCCTGGTTCTTCTCAATGGCGGTTATGAGCAAGCTGCAGACCTTAGCACTGCCCTGGATCTCCCTCTCTGTAATTTTCTGTTCATTGACACAATGGAAACGTTTAGTTTTATGGATGACAAATAGACAAAGATGTTTAGTTAGAGCTTTTTTTTAACATGAACTTACTTTACTTAGATCCACAGAGTTATTGATCTGTTCCATCTTTCTGCGTCTGGCATGGATCATCTGTTTGATGCTGGTCTTTTTGTCCCTCAAAGAGGTCTACAAAAGGTTAAAAGAAAGTCTTTCAGTGTACAGTAATACCAGAAGTAAAGGGAGGGAGTGTATTAAAAGAGAATTTGAGAGTTCATGTGAAGACGATGGCTAAAAGAACAGGTGTCTCACCTTGACCCTGTTCCTCTCCTTCTCTATCGGTACTATGGTGTGGTGTTTGTGTTCCCTCTCTGTACATTTCACACAAACAGGCTTCTGGTCGCTCGTGCAGAACTTGGTCAGCGGCTTCCTGTGTTTTCCGCAGAGGTGAGTTGTGATGAAAGTGGCCGTATCCATCAGCTGGTGCTTCTGCAGCGCCGCATCCCTCTCGTGTGGCGTGAGGTGAAGTTCGCAATAAGACAGCAGGCAGGTTGGACACGACTTGACCGATGGGGACTTGTCTCCGCAGCAAACGTCACAGGGAACTTGGTCAGCCTCGCAAAGCGGGTTCAGGGAATTTTTCCTGCTTCCTGGCGGCGTCGCAAGGTTCGCACTTTCCTCTTGAGCCCTTTTGGTTTAAATAAAATTTTGTTAAATATCAACTTAGTTGTAATATTTGTGGTTCGACTTTGGGTTGCTTTAAAGCCGAGAGAGGAAGTAATTAATAACAAACCTTTTGTAAATCTCAATGATTTCAGCAAATCCACAGTTGATCTTCAGTGATGGTCGCTTTTTGAATTTCTCTTTGCACAAAGGACACTCGGGCTTTCTCTTAGTGTCCCAAAATCCCTCAATGCACTCCAGGCAAAAGTTGTGACCACATGGGATGGAGGTCGGGTGGGTGAAGATGTCCAGACAGATGCAGCACTTGAACTGCTCCTCTAACGGAACGGCGAGGGACATGTTTGCAACTGCAAAAAAAACCAAACTGAATTACTTAAAAATCCATATTTAAAATGTAAGATGTTTGCTTCCAAAAACAGATGTCAAAACAGGGATTGTTGGGCCATTTTCTAATTTAAAATTGCGCTTCAATTATAGTTTAAAAGTCCCTTAGCCCTCCCTTCCAGGGTTTAAAGACAAAGTTAGCAGTAAAAACCATTACATTGTTTCTAATACCTGTTCTCCAGATTATTCAACCAGTACATGCTGCACACTCCTCTTGCATCAATGTTCCCTAATGTTTATCATTTAACTAAATATCCATATAAATGGGTTTTGCATATGTAAGAAATGAAAGTTCATTCTAATTCAGTGTCTCCTGATTGAAGTATCGCGTCCTACCTGGATGGGTCGTCATGGCGAGTGTCCCGATCGTCCTCGTAGAATAAACGTACAGAGCAAGTGCAGCGCGGTTTAAATAAGCATCCACACTCCCTGTTTGCAGAAGGATTAGTCACACTTGTCTAATTACCGTTAAGCTCCTCCTCGCTCGATAGGAATTTCCCCGTATTAAATGTTCTGGTACATTTTGTACCTTTTGTTCCTCTAATTACTGGAGGTGAAGAAGAGGAGCTCGAGCAGGTACAACAGGGTTTGGCCTCAGCCGCTGCAAACCTAAACAAAGAACTTTAATTATTCCTCCGGCATGATAGTGATTCAGCATCTGGTAAAACATGATCAATTATTGTCGGTGTGTGCAAACCAGCTGACAGAATGGGACAGGTTGAAATGTACCTTGAGCAGTCGTTGTGGACCTGCATGTGAGTGATGTGGGATTAAAAATACTTGATATTGTTCACACTTTACAACGTGCCTCTGGAAAGGTTTGTGCAATTCTGTGATCTTAACGTCATTCCAGAGATGTATCAGTATGAAGATTAAAAAAGTCTAAAAATGTAGAAACGCCATCTTCAAACCCTCATTGACCAACAAAATGATCTAACACTGGATAAAATAGTTTCTGTTGAAACTTTTTGAGATAAAGTTAGAAAACCTTTGTGTTATTTTAACATATGTAAACCTGTGGCCATACAAACACATTTACAGCCATTTAGTGTTGAACTATATTATATTGTAGGCTGAATCAAACAAAATCAACAAATTTCCCCCTCATCCAGATCACAGACACACACGCACAAACACACACACACATATTTTTGGATTGAAGAATTGCAGAAACTTTGCTTAACGCAAACTGTACAAAAAAATATTATTTTTTGTGAAGTAAAAATGTTAGTACTTCTAAGCCTAAAGCACTCGCATGATGGTTCACAAGAATCGCCTGTGAAACATTTCTCTCTCTCTATTCCGGCCTGTTTTTTATACATCTTATTTTTTACATCCATACATGCGCACATTTAGTTGTCGTCATAATAATTAGTCCCGTTTGCTGCCACTCAACATGTAAATGCCAGTAACTGACCTAGATATGGTTTTTAATTACGGTACGGTAACAACATAATGTGATGACAAAGAGAGAAAGTGACCTATTAACACATTCAATCTAACGAGGATGAGCTAACAAGTACTTGTGGGTCAGCTGCTGCTTTTCCCCATCCTGTTTGCTTGTATCTTCCTTTTCCCCCTGTGTGTTTGTCTGTGCATTTTGTCCTCACCTGCAAGAGGCGTGGCCATTCATCCTGCTCCACATTCCACGATTCACCCCTGCAGTACTTTGACCCGGGCTGTTCACCTCTCCAGCGGCAGATCGTTACGTACTCCCATGTGGTAACTTGGCTCCGTATCCCGGCCGTGTGGTCTAGCTAACTGTTGTCTCTGTGGGTCAGTGTGGGGAGGAGGCAGAGTTCGGGCCGGCTGCTTTGTGGGGGTTTTGTTTTTTAAAAAGCCTGCTGACATCCCTCTTCATTCTGGAGAGTGTCGTCACTGGGGAGGGGGGCGTGGGAGGAAAGGGTTATACAACAGAGCATGAGCCCCTTATGGAATTGGACAAAAGAGGATAGGGGGTCTTGGTTTGGGTGGTGGCCCTTTGCTGTAATGGGGGTCGGACCTTCGCATTGTCTATCAAATACACAGGGAGAACTCATTCTGCCAGTCGGAAGGTGGGTTCAGGGGGGGGGGGGGGGTTGGCTTGTAGTCTGTGATTTGTCTGAGACCTTTCCAGACAGAAGCAGCATTATTATCTGAAAGATGATGTTACAGCTTCTCAGACTACATTCGTTAAGTGTGTATCACTGCCTTGCTAAACCTGTATTTTGCCTCTGTGTAAATATCTTTGTCCCCATCCCTAAATGATCATCATTGTCTCCCCAGTGAAGGACGAATGAAGCAATGGATCATCCAAACAACACTTACACAACTGAAGCTGTCATGCATCTGTCATGTGTCTTGTCATAATTTCTTGGTTTCATTGATTGTACCAGAAGTTATTACTATTTATTTTAGATACAGTACTTTAGTTACTTTTGTCATTTTAATGAAGCTCAATTCACAACAATTCCCCAAATACAATCATGTTTTGTTTCTGAAGTTCTTAAAGAACAGCACAATGAACACTGTGTTCCAGATGTTGTGTCATCATGTCAGAGGGATTACTCACACCGGAAAGACTTGAACCATGTTGTGTTGTCGCAACACTTTTCAGTTATAGTTCCTTAATTATCGGCTCAATCTCTAATCCCGGAAGCAAGAAGGTCTGAGGACATGGTTTTGCTGAGTAATAATCTGGTTTATTATCTACGTCTCTCACTGCCTTCAAAACCTGTATTTTGCCTCTCTGTAAAAGTGTTGGTCCCCGTTCCTAAATGATCATCATTGTCTCCCCAGTGAAGGACGAATGAAGCAATGGATCATCCAAACAACACTTACACAACTGAAGCTGTCATGCATCTTGTGTCTTTTTCTCGGTTCTCGGTTTGATTGATATTACCAGAGTTTATTAGTATTTATTTAGACGTCAAACCCTGTGATTGCAAAAGTTTCCAGTGATTTTCCAATTTTCTTTGGTCTAGGTTTTTAATACAAATTTGGAGAATTTGAAGCACAAAAATCAACAGGATTCATTCTTTTGGAATCATGAATGTTGTGGAATATTTTGCACAGACAATCGGTGAATAAGAATAAGGCTCCGAGTCAAATATGTCTTTCTCCGTTTATTTCCTCGCAAGGGAAAAAAGGTCACAACAGCTACGTGCTCAGTAGACTGCAAAGAACCTTTCTCCTCTCACATTAGGGCCAGGCGGTTCTTATACCTAAAGGTGGCCTTCAAACCAACTTGTTGTGTCTCTACAGCCAGGAGACGGGCATCTTGTCAGTGTGAGAGACCCAGCTCAATTCTTTTTCACGTCCCCACCAGCCCAGCCCTTTATGACCTTGGTCGTTCAAGGAAACATTTAGAAGGGTAAGTTACATGTTTTGCCATTACATGAACCTATGTACAGAATTACATTTCAATCCATCAACTGTTGAACCCATCAAGTGAAAGTACAATATTTTGAACATAATATAAGTGAATCATGCGAAACTTCAACTCTTTCTTACAGTACTTGAGTTACTTTTGTCATTTTAATGAAGCTCAATTCACAACAATTCCCCAAATACAATCATGTTTTGTTTCTGAAGTTCTTAAAGAACAGCACAATGAACACTGTGTTCCAGATGTTGTGTCATCATGTCAGAGGGATTACTCACACCGGAAACAATTTAACCATGTTGTGTTGTCGCAACACTTTACAGTTATAGTTCCTTAATTATCGGCTCAATCTCTAATCCCGGAGGCAAGAAGGTCTGGAGACATGGTTTTGGTGTGTAAAGCAATTTGGTTTATGTGGAGTAAAAGCGTGCTTCTGATACCCTCAATTGGAGTTGGAGCGGCACGGGGGGCGTTGAGGCTGTAGAGGTCATTTTTGGGTCATTGGATGAAAGGATGTAGGTCATCACTTATACTTGCATGAAACTTCCATTTTTTTGCTTGTTTCTTGGTCATATTGTAAACTAATAGTGGCCTAATAAAAAGGCTACCAAGACGTACAGTATATTATAGCCAATGTATAGGTTGGTGTTTTTTTAGTATGAAGATTTTAATGATGATATTGTGTATTAATGTTGTGACCTACATTTATACTTATCAGTACATACTGTACTAGTACACCGGTAGTACAATACAATAAAAACTTCAATAATGAGTATCTGCACTGTACGTTTGCAGAGTGTTGTGTGACCGGTTTCTTTGTATTGAAAAAGTTCTTTAAAACAAGTTGGCATTTACTTCCTTGTCACTAGCAACAAAGAAGTAGGTCAGCTTGTTCAGATGAGTTGTTAAATCACAAAAATGTGCAGAGTAACACGATAATATTGAGCTGATCAGCCATAAATGATCAGAGTGTTGAAATGACATTTATACAGTTAAAATTATTCTGGTTCTTTTTTTATTTTTCATTAAAAACTTTTCACAATTCAAACAAATAAATAAAGGCGGATAAAAAAATACATTCATACAAAAAAATCAAATACATTAAATTAATAACAAAATAAATTTCCCTGAATTTGGCACTTTACAAAATAACACGTCACACAGGTGCATCAGTTGACACTTTCCTCCACAGGACAGATGATCAACGGGGCGATGTTCTTCCCCTCGTCTGGAACACAGGGGTTGAAGTACGGGTTGAGGGGCTCGTTAAAGTCACACCCGCTGTAGGTGTAAATGTGGGTCTTTGCCTCTGCGTCGTAGAAGGACACCAAGCCTTCGTCGTAGTCCAGGAACACGCCCACTTTCTGGGGCGTTTCTTTGAGGCAGAGCTTGACGGAGGGGCCGGCGCAGGCATTGAGGCCGGAGCTTTTCCGCCGGCAGATGGCCCAGTAGCCGCTGTCGGGACGCACCGCAATGGCTCCCTTCCTGTTGATGGACTCCCGGGCCACGCCGAGGTCCCAGTCTGTTTTGTTTCCAACCTGAAACAAACATAAGACCTACATCGTGAGTCACTGTAGGCTGATGGTGTTTGAATATACTACATGTTGAACTTGTAAGAACCGCAGGGTGCGTTATATTAGTTATACATTCAATTTAATTTGGTAAAGTGCACTACTATGGCTTAAAGCGTGTTTCCTGTTTCTGAGCTCCTTACCTGAACAACCCAGTAGCGCCTTCCGGTAGCAAAGCTTTGTTTCCCCGAAACACAAACGCAGGAGTTAAACCGCCGAGGACTGTCCAGGACTAAATTATTCTTCTGGCTGCCGACGGCCACCTGTGGATCAAAATTATCAACGTTACTTTTACTGTCTTCATCATATCAGACGTTTGCCTAATTCCTACAATTGCTAACAAACTTTATTACTTTCTACTTTGAAATCTGCATGTCATGTTTTAGAGGAGAAGCACAATAATTAGTATAGTTTTATCAAACAATACCTTCTTTCTGTCTGGAGACAGGACGAGCCAACCTGAAGCAGTCTCAGGGTCCAGAGTGACATCGACTGCAGAAAACAAAG